TTTCAATCACGTATATCAAAATGAGATAATACAGAACATTATAGAACTTATCAAAACAGAATATTGAATAGAGCAGTACCATTAATCAGAATAGAGCAAAACAGTAGTAAAAATATTTGCCTTCAAAGAGATGGTAGAAGGAAGTCCCCCTTATTTGCTATGTTCAACCTCCCAGGAGACGCTCAGATTTCTGGTTCCTATTTGCTAACGGGGGTGGGGGACAGGAGAAGGGCTAGGGGAAGTGGGATGTTTGACTCTAGGCTGTGCATCAGTAGGTTCGCTATTGCTTAGCAGGGAGGCAGGATGGTTGTTTGGTTTCACAGTGTTCTAAGTTCCAACGTGGCGCAGATCTCAGGAGCTGCTGCTGGTTCTCCTCCTGGAAGGGCGCAGTCTGTCACACCACCACCGCTTACCAAGGATGAATGAGTTTTTAAAAGTGTAGAAAAACTGATCAACTGTTTTGAAGATAACAATATGTAATATAGTGACTATTGTTAATTCCCTATCAACTTGTTTTGAAATCCTGTATCATTTCTATCATTCTGCTTTTATTGTTTTGTTTTCTTTTAATCTCTGTAAAATAAAAAATAATTAAATAAAAGTATAGAAGAAGTTCATTAAAACCAAAAAAGAAAACTGTGCTAAAAAGGACATTTATCAGGTGGGCTATTTAGCTCAGCAGCATAAGTGCCTGCCTGGCAAGTGCAAAGTCATGAGTTCAGTTCCTGGTAAAAAAAAAAAAAAAAAAAGACATTTATCATTAATCACAGAATTTGGGGTTGGCTTAATGACATTCACTCTAGAAAACTGTCTGCTCAAATTGGTAGTTGCCAAATTCAGATTTGAAGTTTTGATTGAAATCTTCTGTGGGGCCGAGAAGGCAGCTGCTGGTGGCCTGTCCGTGGTGGTATCCAAGCGGGGCTCGGGGCAGGGGTCTTCCACAGGGCAAGCAGCACTCACAGTCGGCCTGCAGAGCCCACAGGACTGAAACTGCAAGACCCAGAAGGCCAGGTGACAGCACGAGACACTGAGCAGTGTGGCCTTCCAGAGAGCAGTGCAGACGCAGGTGCGCAGCTGAGGCCCGGGAGAGGAGCCTCTGGCTCCGGGCCCCTGTGTGACTGGTGGAGGCCAGGACCTTTACCCAGCATTCAGGTCGCCCCAGCCTCTGCCATAGGCACCATGCGGTGGAAGCAAGGCTTCTGTGTCAGACCTGTCACTCTGGGGGCTAGAAAATTACAGAGGGGCCAGAAATGGTGGCGCATGTCTGTAACCCTAGCCCTCTGGAGGCTGAGGCAGGAGAATTACTAGGAGTTCAAGGCCAGTTTGGGCTACCTAGTGAGATGAGGCATCAAAAAAAGGAAAAGATTAGGCCTGAGGATTTAGCTCAGCGGCATTAGCACCTGCCTTGCAAGCATGTGGTCGTGAGTTCGATCCCCAGTACCAATAAAAAAAAAAAAAAGAAAAAAATAGGGCTGGGGATTTAGCTCAGTGCTGTAAGCACCTGCCTGACAAGTTTGAGGTCATATGTTCGATCCCCAGTACCAGAAAAAAGAAGAAAGAAAAGAAAAAGAAAAAACAGAACACCACCCATACCACACACCAGCTTACACACTTCTAAGCACTGAAGAGGAAGGAGATCTTCATGGGATGTGCAAGCCAGTTCTAGTCACCATGGCTCCACATGGGGTCAATCAAAAGCCCCACAGTGTGCAAACTGATAGGGAGCCAGGCTTTCCCCTTATGATGGAGACCACTTGCCAACAGGAAAGGACTGGCTGCTGCCGCCCACTGTGGAGGACAGGGACTTTCCATGGGCCACCGCATCAGTGAGTACAGGTGGACTCACCCCTCCCAGGGGCCAGGCGCAGTCACCTGAGCTGCCCTGCACAGTGTGAGCAGACCCCGGAGGCCACACCTGCCCAACAGCAGAAACACCGAAGTGAGGCCAGGCCCCCAGGTCCCAGGGGACCCAAGGGGCACAAGTCCACTTGCACCAAACAAACCCATGAGAAGGTTCCTCAGAAAGCCCAGCATGGTGGTGTACCCTTTAATCCCAGCACTGAACAAGCTGAGGCAGGAGAATTGCCATGAGTTCAAGGCCAGCCTGGGCTACATAGTGAGACCCTGTCTCAAAACAAAGTAAGTTCCCTTTGGGAAAGCTGCTTGAGAACTAGTATAGGAAACCCTCCCCCCAGCCTCCTCAAGGCCCAGAGGGGTCCACACCTGTAATCCCAGGGAAAGTTACTGGAATTCCAATAAGTAATTCCAGTCTACCACTTCCAATGCACCCCATGGCAAGAACAAAGAGACAAACACGTGTCTGTAGTGGTGGGGAGTCCAAGTCCAATTAGAACAGTGGCTAACTGGGCCAAAGGCTATGACCCAGGGTTAATGAATTAATGTAGTATTAATTCGTGAAGAGGGCAGTGGCCCGGGGATGAGTGACCGTGAGAATGGCGGGAATTATGGGAGTGCTGCGAGTTGGGCCAGGCAGGAGGGAAACATCACCTCTGCAACGTGCAGAGAGAGGGAGAGTGAGATGCAGGAAGAGTGCTCTGCCTGACTCCTCCTGAGGAAGTGCCTTGGGTCTGGAGCAGGCGCTTCAGCTCTGACGGCTCAGCGCGGGGACCTGAGGCGGGCACCTAACCCTTGCTGACTACACCTCAGCGCCTGGCTAGACCCATTTGCATGGCTGAAAGCCAATTGAGGGGACAAAGAAATATCCTAGCCAGCTCTGCACTTATCAATACACTGAGTCAGGGCCTAGTTTAGCCAAAATTGAGCCAAACACTCTTCTTTCAAGGAGACCCGGCCAGGGTTACAGCTCAGCAGCCATGCATCTGCCTGGCAAACTCAGGGTCCTGTGTTCAGCCAAGGGGAGCTGTCCTGCTAGTCTTCTACACCCAGGACCCCCCTAAGGCCTCCACCCACAAGCCCATCTCTCCCTCATGCCATAGCTGCCGGCTAAGTACAGTGCCCCCAAGCGCACCCCAGGGACCTGATCTATCTGTCGCCTGCTCTGTTCCTTTCTGGACTGAACATTGCAGCCTTTCCCTCCAGGCAGGGCTGAGCCCCCGCCTTGATAGGAGTGAGGAAGACACAGATGGACAAGAGCCGTGGGGTAAATGATTGTCCTGCTGGGCCATCGGCTGGAACGAAGCAGTACCAGGGAAACACCTGTGAGCAGGTCAGTACTTCAGGTGCTGGTCAAGACAGGGTGAGGTCTACAGGCGCTCTGCCTGGAGACAGCCCAAGACCAAATCAAAGGGAAGCACCACACATGCCCAGCCTGTGGGAAGGTGGAGAGCCAGGCACGATAGGCCGCATACCGTCTGGGTGATTTACACAGAACTCCAGGAGGAACAGGGCATGTGTCAGGAACCAGAGGCGTGGCTCAAGCTGGGTAGAGGGCAGGAGAGGACAAATGAAGGGATTTTTTTGGAGAAATGGATATGTGCTTCATGTGCTGAGTCAGTGGCAAGCCTAATGTTTTCATCTATTGAAAGTCAAAAAAATAAACTAAAAATGTTAGGTATGATGGTGCACTCCTATAACCCCAGTACTCGGGAGGCTGAGGCAGGAAGATCCTTGCAAGTTTAAGGCCAAACCGTTCTATATAGTGAATCCAAGGCCTAAGGTACCTATCAAGGTCCTGTCTCAACAATAAAACAAAAATCAGCCTCTGCTGTTTACTGACACCTCTTAAAATCTTTTTCTGGGACAATACACTGAGAACTTGCCTGGGCCCAGGTGAGGGACTGTCTCTTTAGTGGATCAGATCTGGGGACAGGTTGTGTGGCCAGGCTGCTTTCCAGAGACTGGAAGGACACCTTCACTGGGCTGACCACAGCCAGATGAAAGCTGCATCTCTGACTTCCAACTTGTTCTGTCCCTTTTGGGAACCACAGACAGTGAGCGGCCACCATAAAGAGGTGGCACCTGAGTTCCTCGAAGACCTTCCTTTCTCCCGGGAAAGACAAGAATAACCCTCCCTTTAACCGCCTCTCTGTCTAGCCCAGTCCTATGTCTGTAATTTTGTGTTTTGTGTTTTTGTTTTGAGGCAGGATCTCACTACGTAGCCCAGACTTCAACTTGCCGCTCTCTTACCACCTCAGCCTCCCTCATACTGGGATTACAGGCGTGCACTACCACACCCGGTTACTGTCCTATTTCTGTAAGCCCTCAGCTCCCTGCATTTGCGAGGCTGACTTGCGAACAGAGGCCTGGCTGCTCCATTCTTTGGACACTGCATAAAGTACAAGGGCGACGCCTCCCCCTGCACTCTGTGGAGTCTGGTTTCTGTGGCCACAGCTAAGAACCGTCCTCTGCTCACGCGGGAGGCCCTGGAGCTTCCTCCGCCAGGGGGCGCCTCGTCGCCGTCCCCAAACCCCGGCCCAGGACCTAGAGGCTCGGGGGCGCAGAGCTCCCGCGGGCGGACAGCACCGACCCAGGCCCGGGCTCGCAGCCCTCGCTGTGCTCGGGTGTGGTCTGCGCCCGAGGGCCCCGGGGACTGCGTCGCGCCGTGCGCACAGGGTGCGCGGACGCCTTGGGTCTCGCCTGCCCGCCGAGTGGTCCGTGAGCCGGGCGGCCGCAGGCTGTTTCTGTGGCGGTGCGTGGTTGGAACGCAGGCCCCGTGGTCGCTGAGCCAGCGCTGAAACCTTGAACAGCGCCCCAGCCCGGGACACAGCCGCTCGACAAGTGTCCTCGTGCCAAAAATGACGCTCCCCGAGCGGGATGGCCATGCGGGCGGGAGGAGCTCAAATGCTGAGGACTCCGGGGTCCCCTCCGGCTCCCCAGCTTCCAAGCAGTTGCTGAGGGTGAGATCCAGGTCCTCCGTACTGAGCTGCGTCCCCAATCCTTTTTTAAGGCTTTATTCGGAGGCAGTGTCTCGCCAGTCGCCGCGTTGCCCAGGCCGGGCTCCAGCTGGCGCTCCTCCTACCTCAGCCTCCCCGAGTGCTGGGATGACGGGCATGCGCCACCACTCCCGGCCGCTGCCCGCGGTGACCCCCGCTGGCCGCGTGACCGCGGAGACGTGCTGGGGACCCCGCCTCTCCCCTCCCGCCCCCTCCCTTCCCGCCCACTCTCGCGCTCCGGGCCTGCGCCTGGTGCAGTCCGGGACGGACGGACGCAGGTGCGGCGCAGGCAGGCAGCGCGGTGAGTCGGCCCAGCTCGGGCGCGCGGGGGCCGGAGGGGGCCGGGGCGGCGCCGCAGTCTCCGGGTTTAGCTCGGCTTGCGGGGGCCGGGCCAGCTGGTGCCTCGCGGAACCTGCGGAGGAAGCGGGGGCCGGGCGCCCGCGCTCCCTGGCGCAGAAGCGACCCGAGCGCGCCCCGCCGCGGGAAGCCCAGGCCCCTCTGCCTTCTGAGCCGGGCCTGCCAGCCGGCGCTCGTGCTAGATCCCTAACCTCCCCGCGTCTGTATCCCGTCCACGGGACAGCACATGTCCCTGCGACACCGGAGCCAGAGCTGCTGCAGAGGCCCAGCCCCCGCCTGAGCGCAGAGAGGCAGTCACTTGGCAGAGGAGTTGCCCGGGCTCCCGCCCAGATGACGGGGGAGCCTTCTGGTTGGAGACTCAGGCGCAGGGAGCCTTTGCAGGGCGACCTCGCGGCAGAACTTCGTGCTTTCCCGAAGGAGCACATCCCCCTCCTCCAGCGTCGCCTTTCACCGCAGGCGCTTGCACCTCTTGAGCCGGCTGCAGCCCTAACACCAGGGTCTCGGCCCCAGCAGGGCCGGATCCTGGAGGCCGGAGCAGCGGGGTCCCAGATTGCTAGAGATGTGGCCCAGCTGAAGGGCGGGCCTTGTCCTCTCCGCTTCTCCCTTGTGTGCGCGCGCGCGTGTGTCGCATTCTCTATTAATCTGCTTGTTCGGACCAGCAAAGAGGAGGCCACCAGCCCCAGCTCTGCCAGTGCCTTTGAGCTGCTGCAGGGCCTGGGCAGCCTAGGGGTCCAAGCGGATGAAAACAGCACCACTCGGGACTTGAGAGGCCGCTCCTCGGGGGGACCCGGGGACTGGGCCTGAGGGCTTGGAGTACAGGTGCCCCCCATCAGCCCTGGGTGCAGGCTTGGGGCCCTCCTGTGACACAGTCTTAAACCGAGGCAGGGTAGGGCCAGACCGAGGGGCCCAGCAGCTTTGTCAGGAAGAAGAGTGAAAGATGGGGACGTGGTTTGGGGACAGGGCCTGATACGATGACAGCCTCCCCCCAGCCCTGCAGTGGGCGCACAGAGACGCCGGGACCAGGCCTGGACCCGCGTCTGAAAGATCTGGCCTCCTCCGTGCCTCCCCCGGGGATGGAGACCGGGATGGGGATACGGGTAGGGTTAGGGGAGCCTCTGCTGCTTTGCATGACGGAACAGACTCGCGCCTGATTGGGGCGGTGAATGTTGGCTCCGCCCCCGGCGCTGCCCCCCCCCCCCACTCCAAGCGGGGCGAGAGCGAGCCGCAGGGGTCTCTTGCTCTAGGTGCGGTGGCGGCGTCCGGAGACCTGGTAACCCAGGCAGAGCCGGTACCGGCTCTTGGGCAGTGGGTCGGGGCGGCAAGCGAGTCCCCATGAACAGAGAGAATCAGCCGCCTGAGACGTCCTTAGGTTTCCTCTCTTGCATTTCACTATGGCCTAAGGCCATCTCGATTTACAGAAAGACGAAGCCAGGTTCCAGTGAGACACTTTCTCCCTGAGCAGGTGACAGCAAGGACTTAAGGCCTGGTTTGCTGGGTGCCATGGCGGGAGGCGGGTCTTAGTCCACATTGTCAGCAGAACCTGCGAAGAAGCTGGCTGGGGAAGGTTCGGAGGAGCAGAGGGCAACTGCAGGGTTCCCTCGAAGCCAGGCAGGGTCCTGATCCACAGAGTGGAGGGGCAACTGTGGCCTTGGTCCTGAGGGAGGTGAGCAGTCTGCTCTGGATCCCGCTTCTCAGTGGCCTTCTTCTTATGCACAAACAGAAGTGATTACCCGTTCAGCCCAGTAACTCCAGCCCTGCAAGGCTGAGGCAGAAGGATGGCCATGAATTCCAGGCCAGCCTGCCTGAGCTACATAGTGAGTTCAAGGCCAGCCCGAGCTGCATAACAAGACCTTATCTCCAAGACAGACAGACAGACAGATAACTGTTCTATCACAGGGTGGTAAAGGAGGCTACTTCCAGCTAGAAGCAACCAGTCCTGGAGCTCTGGCCATCCCAAGTCCCTGTGCTGTCACCCCTAGGGCTGAAGTATCCCGGGCAACGTCCTCCCGGGTGGCACATGCAAATTCCGATAGGGACAGATACTGATGGGGAGAAAGTATCGCACGTGGAGGAATGAGAGAGGAGGGGGGCCCTGGCTTCAGGACAGCGAACTGGGCAAACTCCATTTTCCTCACTGCTGCGAGGAGCGCGGGGTACAGGGGCCCTGCAGCAGGAGGTGATGGCTGCCCTCTGGCTGCCTGCGCTGGCTATTGAGGCAAACAGGCCTAATCCAAGCTAGTTCTGCTACCTCAGGCAAAACAAAACAAAACAGCCTGTTAATATGTCTGTGGGACAGGGATAATAATGGGCCACAGAGTTGCCGCAAGAATAAAAGGAAATAATGAGCAGACCACAATGTCCTGCACCTATAGTCCCAGCTGCATAAGCTGAGGCAGGAGTGTAGCTGGAGCCCAAGAGTTCAGAGTGACATGAGCAACATGAGGAGACTTTGTTGTTTTTGTTTATTTGTTTTGTTTTGTTAAGAGTAGAAGAAATAATTCCAGCTTTCAAGAGGCTGAGGCAAGAGGTTCTCAAGTTCAAAGCCAGCCTCCGCTTCAACAGGAGACCCTGTTTCAAAGAATGCCAGAGAGACAAAGAGAGAGAAAGCTCACAGTGGTGCTTGGAATATAAAAAGTATCCAATAAGTTCCCACACTGTTGTTATCCTGTTATTATTTATTATCAATAAATCTGAAGCTCAGAAAAGAAGCTTTCAAGAGTCACCAAGTGGAATTTGAAACTATAAACATAAACAAGATGGCCCCACTGGAGGGAGGAGAGCATTAGGACTTCCGGGACAGCTCACAGTGGCAGTGCTAGCCACCTTTTTGCGTGCTCCACGCAAGCTGGGGTGGCCCAGCTGCTCCCCTCAGTGGAGCCTCAGAGGAGGCTGCCGTGTCCTGGTTCACCCTATCCCCTGGGTGAGCCTTCATGCCACTGACAGTCCCCTTGCCAGGAACAGGTTTAAGAAGGGACCTTTGAGCATGGTAGTGTATACCTATAATCCCAGTACTCAGGAGGCTGAGGCAGAAAGGTCACCGGCCTGAGCAATTTAGCAAGGCATTGTCACAAAGTAAAAAAGAGGAGCAGGAGACGGGGGGGGGGGGGGGGGGGGGGACATTTGATGCAGTTTTGTGCGATAAGATTTGACAATCTGCTCAGGGACTTCTGGAAAAGATTTCCTTGATCTTAAGAAAAAAAAAAAGGTCTGCTGGATGTGGTGGCTCACACCTGTACTCCCAGTACTTAGGTTGAGGCAGGAGAATCGATGCAAGTTTGAAGCCAGCCTGAACTATACAGTGAGACCCTGTCTCAAAAAACCAAAATGAGTAAAGAAAGAGGTGCGATGGTGTCACATCTGGGGGCCAGGCATACACACACTATGCCACTGCTGGGCCGGAAAAGTTGCTACAGGGATCCTGCCAGGATCACGAACTCTCAGCCTCAGTAATGAATTAAAAGAGGCTGAGATTAAAATAAGAGGAGACAGTTTATCTGGAAAAAGACAGAAAATAAGGGAAGACAACTGCTCTGGAGCATCGGAAGTGAACACTTCCGATGGATTCTGTCCTCAGCGCCTTTCATTTAGGACTAGTGATTTCTCCCGCCCCCAGCTGGGCAGCTGGAGTGGTCGCCATGGGACTGGCCCTCTGGCCTCTTTGACTCTAACCTGAGCTCGTCTGTCTACATTCTTTCTGGCCATTTGATTTCTTCCTGTCCCTCCATGAGAGATGAACAGGGAGAGCCTTACAGATCTACACTTGATCTTAACTGAAAGGCTGAGAAGCGATGGGTGGGCCTCACAGAAAGGTTTCTTGGAGTTAGTGAGTCAGTAGAGGAGACACGTGTGCTTAGGTGATGCCCCTTATCTCCTTTGCATGTTACTGGGGGAGGCAGGAGGTTCATGAGTTCAAAGCCAGCCGAGGCTTCAGCAGGATATCCTATCTCAAAGAATGAGAGAGAGACAAAGAAACAGAGAGAAACTGCATGTTCCTGGCTACCGGCCTGTGTTGCCTGTCACTCTTCTCGCTAAATTCTTCGGTTAACTGTGTAACCTCATGCCTGCTCAGGTCTTTTTTGTCTCTCTCTTTACTTTTGTCTTTCTAATTTCTGGAGTCTAACTGCAGAGGCTAATTCTGCCTATAGTAAGATTTTTTTACTGATTTCTTTAATCAAGCAGTGATCCTCCTAACTCAGCCTCCTGAGTGCTGGGGTTACAAGGGTGCACCTCACACCTGGCTTAGAAACTGTTCTTATGGGACTGGAATAGCAACTGTAACCCACTGGCTCTTAGACCTCTCTACTGATGGAGTCTGATATTTGTCATAAATCTCTCCAGTTTCAACTGTAATTATTTCCAAAAGTTTGATGACTTATGAGAATCAGATTATCACAATCAACATGTTATTTCTGACCAATGAAAAACTCAAGTTGTTGTACATAGACAACAATATGTATAATATTTGTAAAACCAGTCTTGGCATTATTTTGATTAGCTGGCAACCTAAGTATATATATATATATATATATATATATATATATATATATATAACATGTGAATACAGTTGAGGAATGATAAAATATCTCTCAGCCCAGGATGGGAGCTGGGCTTTTAAGCATAATTAAAATGAATGGGTACAGAGAAATCATCCTTGTTACAGCTTACATGACTTATGATGATGATGATGAGGAGGAGGATAATGATTTTGGGGACCCTTTTATTGAGGTGTGTCAGCTGGAAGGAAGGCCAGGGTTGAAGAGAAGGACCAAGAGACATGTGCCAGTGTCCACCCATATGCTGGTTTTTTCTCTATAGTTATGATTACTTGGGGCTCCTCTGTAGAGCTGACCATCTGGCTAGAAGGAGGATACATGGTGCCCAGGACCCTTAAGTCTTGCTAGATCAGCTAGGAGATGAGTCTGAGCTCTGAGGTCTCTGCCTCAGAGTGTAGTCACTTCCGGTGGCCACCTTGGCAGCCAGGGAATGGCACGGGGGTCTCTAAAAGTGTCCTTCTTGAGGTGGCCTGGCTTTCCACAGTGGTAGAGGTGCGTTTTGTCTTTGATCTCTTCTTGGAGCCCTCAGAGTCAGATCTAGGGTCCGTTCTTTTTCAGGCCACACAAAGGCAGCCACTTTTTTGCCTCTGCTTTCTCTTCTTGGCTTTCTCCCAGTCTCAGTTATAGAATGGTAAGGAGACAGTTTTTACTAAAGTATCAAGTGAACTATCTGGAGCAAAAGCTATCTTTTATAACTTTTTCTTAATATCTGGGGCTGACTGGGTGATAAATCAGTCTTTGAGAATGATCTGTCCTATTGAATCAGGAGGTAGGGACATATGTTTTATCAATGCCTCTTGTAAATGATCTAAGAAGGCAGAAGAGTGCTTGTTTTTTTCTTGTTGAAAAATCAACAATTTAAAATAATTGAAGGGCTTTAGTTCTCTCCCTTCTTAGACCTTCAAGCACACATGCCTGAAGGTATATCCTACTCCAACCTGCTGTCTGGCTATTAGACCAACAAGGGTCACAAATAGGGGCTGCTTGGGCTCCAGGTGAACTGGTGGTTCCTCTGGCTGTCTAATCTCCTGGTCTTCTAAAATTCACAGTATTATATCCACCCCAAATATAGTAACAGCCTATAATGCTGCTTATTTCTCACTAGAAGTAAAGGTTGGATTTAAGAGTAACATTACATCTTTCCAGTCTGACTCATATGTCTGAGTGAGTCCTCCAAAGACTTCAGTGTACTTAGCAGGGTCATTTGAAAACTTTCCCAGATCTAGCTTGATCTGCTTTAGGTCATTGAGAGAAAAGTTCCAAATTGCTCATTTACTTACTGTGAAGGATGCTGTCCTTGAGGAGCTTGCATAAACTCAGCTGAAGATGGACACAGCCCTGTAGAGGTTCAGATTATACCTTCGCGAGAAGCCCCATTCTCAGGACTAGAAGGTCAAATACAGGAAACCTTAGCCTGAGTAGTAGAGGGTGAGGCTTTGATTATAGCTCGTCTATAATCCCCATGCTCAGGACCAGACGGGCAAAGTACAGGAAGCCTCAGACTCAGTAACAGCGGGCGAGCTTTGATTAAGGCTCTTAGAAACCTTGTTCTGGGGTTCCAAGGTGGGGAGGAGCAGTCACAGGCTCAGGGACAGTGGATGCCTTACGGGCCTCAGGTGTCTGGTTTTCCTGTGGCTCATATTTACATTCTGAACACAAATAAGGGCTGTTTCTTAGTGCAAAGAAAGTCTGAAGGCAATTCTGACCGTTTCCCTCATTTTTACGCAGTCTAGCTGTAAAATAGCATTATAATTAATACTTCCCTTTGCATTCCATTTCAGCTCTAAGGGGTACATATACCACTCACATGTGCAGAAAAATATCAAATGGCTCTTTTTTAATATGTAAGAGTTGAATGTCTTCCAGTGCTGAAGAATAAATTCCAGGTCAGGTGTAGCATTGCACACCTGTAATCCCAGCACTTAGGAGGCTGAAGCAGGAGGATTGCCATGAGTTTGAGATCCCTGGCTACAAAGTGAGTTCAAGGTCAGTCTGAACTGCATAGGAAACTTCTGTATCAAACACACACACATGCACAAGCACACACACACTCACACTCAAAGAATGCGTTCCAAAGGAGTAAAAGATTTTGACTTTTAGTTCCTCTTGTCTGAAATGTAAAAAGAAAGAATTGGGTACCCCCTTTAATTTCTATTTGATTTCTGTACCCTCATTGCATCCCTCAAGTCAGTTCCACTCCAGGACAGGTGGACACCATCAGGAGAGAGACCAGAAGACAAAATTCGACCAGGCTATCCACCCTTGCACTGATATACAGTTTTGTCTTACCAAAGCTCATGTATTTAGTCCTTTGGGGGCCTTTTTTCCCCCTACTAGACAGGGTCTTGCCATGGAGTTCAGGCTGGCCTTGAACTCACTGTGTAGCCCAGGATGTCCACAAACTCATGGCAATCCTCCTGCCTCAGCTTCTCAAATGCCTGGATTACATGTGTGCACCACCATGCTGAACTTGTAGGCACTTTTATAAGCATATGTTATAATTGGTCTCAACTCTGACAGCCATGTTTAAAGAAGGAAGCCCTGGTTTGTGTTAAATTATTTGTTTTTTAATCTTTGAAAGAGGATATATACCAAAGAGTGAGTTGGAAGTAGTTGGAGACTCCTCAGCCTGCAAAGAAGATAAGCTCTAGAGATAGGAGCAACAAGTGACAAGAAATCCCACCTCAGACCCTAGGGCAATTCCCCACGACATGTGTGTTGTCCACCTCATCACTTATGCAACCTTTCCTAGCAACAGGACAAGGCTATGCTTTATTTAAATTTTTATATTTAAATATTTGATATTTGGAGAAGCAGTCTAACAACAAAGAAGTATTAAAGTAAACTCAAAAGCTTAGGGAGAATTTCTAGGTCAACAGCAGAGAGATGAGAGGCATGATGCATAAGTGGAGAGTTTTCTGTGGTTGAGAGCCAGTTTCCACTTAGGGGCCTTTGAGTGTCCACCAGAGAGCAGCGTGGCCATGACCCCTCGGTTGCTCTCAGTTTCTGTTGGTCGGCACAATCAGAGCTCTGTCTCCAGAAAGGATCCAGCCGCCTGTCTGGTCAACATTCCATTGCCCATTGGCTTCAATGGGGACTCACCAGAAGATGCTGGGGAAATCTGTCCTCTGCTTTACGAGTGGCAGCTGCTCTGAGAGTGTTTACCTAGCCAGCAGGATGACCAGTGTTTGTCAAAGTTCTGTAAGGGATAGGTAAAAGCCAAGCAAGATCATTACCTAAAGCTTTATAAGTTTATAACAAAGATGTCAAAGTCCACAGCTTCTTATCAAAGTATTTTTCTCCTATACACGTATATGATAACTAGACCTAGGAGGGAAGAGGGAAGGTTGGAGATCCTCCCTTAGGCTAAATGTGTTTGGTCCCATGAGTGTGGTGCCTTGGAAATAGCTCCTTCTGGTTTCACCCAGAAGTCAGTTCTTTCCACCGTGTCTCAGGTTCAGCCTCCTGAAGGAGACCGTTGTCCAGAACACTGAACCAGGACCTGGGTTTTATGTGTGTTCTCCTGGATGGGCAAAATTTTGATGTCTCATCTGACCCAGAGCCTGGGTATGTGTCCTTCATCTGAGATGACTCTCTGTCTATGGGCTTAACTAGTTGTAGGAGAAAATGTTGGGGCAGTATAGAGTTCTCTTTCTCATCTTACCTGCTTCAAAAAAGGGGAAGTGCAGAGTGGCAGGAAAAGATAGAAATGAGATGAGAGAAAGGAAGTCTTTTCTTCTTGTGCTCACAGTGAATTATTGAAAAACTTGCCCATGAGGCATCATTCTCAGCCTGGGAAGCAGATAATGGGGAGTCTCAAGAGCTAAGTTTGCCTCCTCACCAGCAGAAGACCACCCAAGCAAGGAAACTGAGGCATAACTGGGTCAATATTTCCTCTAGAGTATAGAGACGGATCAGGGTCAATCTGTCCCAGTGAAACCTGTCCTCCAAGTCTTACGAATGGCTACCAACCTAGTGTTTTTACCTGGTGGAAAGAGTCTTGTGGTTTAAAATAGGCATGTATATTTTCTAAATATGAACTGGGAGCTGGATGTGGCACACACCTGTAATTGCAGCACTCAAGAGGCTGAGACAGGAGGATCACTGGGAGTTTAAGGCCAACCTGGGGTACAAAGTGAGTTCAAGACCAGCCTGAACTGTATAGCAAAATCCTGTCTCAAAAAGACAAACAAATAAATACAAACTAAATTTTATAGAAAGACCATTTTATAGCATTTCATGTCAAAATCTACTAGGGAGAACTTTAAATACAATTTTTCTAGTGCTGCTAAGATAACAAACCACAGCAGTCAAACAGGTCAAACAAGGAACACTAGTAAATTTATTAACTAAGTCTAAGCTAAGCATATTCAGAAACAAAACAAGAATAAAATGCCCTATCAAAGAAACGTCATAATCTTATAACTTTCCTATGTTCTCAACTAAAATTTATCATTTTTTTATCGGTACCAGGGATTGAACTCACAACCGCGCACTTGCAAAGCAAGCGCTTATGCTGCTGAGCTAAATCCCCAGCCCCAGAAATTTATCATTATTTTTAAAAAATTATATGAGACAAAAGGCATGAGCAATTATAAGCAATGACCAAACACATAACATAAAAATTTGAAGCATAAAATTTTTAGTTATCTGAATGAATCACAATCCAGAATCACAATCCACAATCCAGAATCCACAATCCAGAAACAAAAGCAAACTCTTACCTTCATCCAGTTATCTTGGTGGGACCTCCAAATGATATAGGGAAAGAAACTCCCAATCTGCTAGATATCCCGTATGAGTTTTTGTTCTCTAAAACCAAGGAATGAATTCTAGGAAAACAGAGGTTAAGAGCAGAAAATATTCACTGGGGAAAGAAAGCTTCTGTCTGAAAAAGGAGGGATCCTGAGGGAGTTGCTCAGGACCTGCCTTCTCAAAGGGTTTTTATAGAGCAAAACCATGAGGTGAGTCGGGTCCACGATAGGGAAAAATGGGAGATCACAAGGTGGGCATGAGGGGGGGACAAAACTATGGTCAATCAATAAGATTACAAGCATAATTGCTCAGGTAATACTGATGAAATGGGGAAGCAAGTCACACAGCAAGCAGGCAGGAAACGCAAGTGGGGCTTTTCCTGGAGGGGGCGGGTCAGCGGCTCTCCCTGGCTTTCCCAAGGTGGTGACCTCTATTTAGAACATCACTCACTGCTGCTTCTCCTTAGGGAAATAACCTGTGTGCATTGATTTCATCTTTTGTCTTGCAGTCTGGCCCTCAGCAGATGTGTCTGTGTCTCTCCCGTGGTTGCAGTGCTGTCTCCTGCATTGGCTCCTTAGAGGGTCCAGCCCCATCTGACAGCCTATAACATCTCTACCTAACTTAGCTGCCTATAACACGATGAGGCAGGAAGATTGTTGTGGATTCTAGGCCTGCCTGCGCTGCAAAGTGAGTTGAAGGCCTGCCTGAATCGCATAGTAAAACCCTGTCTCAAAAAGATTAATTACAATAAAATAAAATAAAACAAAAATAAATAAAGAGGTACATAAAAAGTAAAAGGGGGACAATCCCTTCTCCATAGCTGGTGACTGCACAGGTTACCAGGGAGCTAGCTGCTTGCTGTCATCCTCCACTGATGTCATCTGTCCCGAGAGCACTGGGACTGTGCGTTTTTCCCCTCACAGCCAGAAAATACACAACTTCCCACACAATTCTCCATCCCCGAAGCAAGGCAATGCAGGCCTCTAGACTCTGAGACGTGGGTCAGCATCCCAACCCTTAGGCAGCCCAGCCCCAACAGAGATCATCAGGTCGAGGCCAGCCTGGGCTACACAGACCCTGTCTCCATGGATTAAATACATAAGGCAGAACAGCTGGACCATGGGAAATGGCCTCTGACTGACCTTCCAAATGGCTCCCTTCCAATGTCTTCCTCTGTTCTGTGTTCCTACTTCTGTCTCCTAGATACAGTTGCTTCTGCTTGATGCATTTCCTGTAGAATTTTTTTCCTTTTATTTCTATTTGTGCATGTTTGCAGTATCTAATGTTTACATTCATGGTGGCTTTAGAATTCTCCAAGGATCCAGTTGGGATGATCTTTCAACTTTGTTTACTGAAAATATCTTTTAAAAAAATTTTCTGGGTATAGAAGATAAATCAACAGTAATTTTGGTAGGGATCAAATTCATGACCTTGTGCTTGCCAGGCCTGTGCTGCGGAGCTAAATCCCTGGCCCCACCAACAGTGCTCTTTTTTCCGTACAAATAGCCTCATCCTCAAGGACATATTGCCTGATGCCATTACTGGTACCAAAGGAGAGGCCAACAGGAAAAGAATCTGAAGACCAGTGTGGCAGTGCTCACCTGTAATATTCGCACTCAGGAGGCTGAGGCAAGAGAATCATTGTGAGTTTGAGGACAAGTTGACTGCATTGCAAGACTCGGTCTGAAAACAGAAACAAACAGCAATGACAACCAAAAAACAAAACTACAGGGAAAATACAGGACGATACAAGGAAATCCCAAGGCACACTGGAAAGTAGCTGGACTTGGGCTGCTTGGGAAGAGTGTGAGCAGCCAGAAGTAACTCTCCAGACAGTCTGCCGCCTCGGAGACAAGCCTGCCAGTGCACAGCCACCTTTGGAACTCAGTCAGGTTTCATAGGACGGCACTGTGGCCGTGAGAATTTGCACTGTGTCTCCACAAGCATGGAGCAGGACAGGACACCAGGTCGCTCTAGAGGAAAACCTGTTCTTCCCAGCCCTGTTGACCAAGGAAAACAATCAGCTGAGCAAGGTGACACACATCTGTGATCGCACATCTCAGGGGGCTGAAGCAGGAGGGTTGCAAATTCAAAGCCAGCCTTGGCAATATAGCACAACCCTGTCTCAAAATAAAAATTTAAAAGGCCAAAGATGTAGCTTATTGTGAAGGTCCTTGTTTCAGTCCCCAGCACCAGAAGGAAGGAAGTGGTCAGACTGCCCTCACAGAGGCAAAACTCAGTTTTGCTGTTGCAAGGCTAAAACCATTTTTAGTGTTGCAAGGAGCAGCCCGGCCAAGGGCACAGGCTTAGGCAGAGGGAGTAGTAATTGGAGGTCACAGTAAAAGTGGGTTGCAAGACTATAATTTGGCTACGCTAGAGCCTGAGGCAGGAGGATTACAAGTTTGAGCCCAACCTGGGCAACTTAGGGAGACCCTGTCTCAAAGTAAAAAATTAAAGGACGGGGGGACAAAGTTCAGTGCAAAGGGTCTGTGTTCAGTCTCTGGTTTCCCACACACACAGTGGAAGGTAGCGTCACTGTGCAGAATGGACAATTTGTTTGGCTGTTGTGCTCAAACAATGAGAGACCACACCATGGCAAGAAAAGTAGTGGTTTAGAGAAAGAAGTTGTGTTTTGTTTTGGTACCAGAATTGAACTCAGGCGGCCACTGAGCTATATCCCTGGTGAGAAAAAGTTTTATTGCAAGCGGGATACAGCAGTGAATGGCCCAGGGTCCCTTTATTCTGGTTCCCTTTATTTCCCCACATTTCCTGGCCTTTACGGTGCTCTACGTTCTGCTTCTGCAGATGCATGAATGAAGAGGATCAAATTAAAGGCATCTGGCCTGGCAAGCATAAGGTTGTGAGTTCAATCTCCATTACCAAAAAAAAAAAAAAAAAAAAAAAAAAAAAAAAAAAGAGCATCTGGGTAGTCACTGCTTATTCTCTGCTGGGGTGGCAAGCTCAGCTCCCCACCATCCCCCCACTCCTGTCTGCCTAGCTTCTCTCCCTCCTGGAGCAGTAATAGCTCCTGATTCTAGAGAGGTGCCATTAAACTCCTTTCTCTCTGTGGGTGGGTGCTCAGTCCAGGGCTCCCGGGAAGTATTCTCTTGCTGGCCCAGTTGGTAGCCCTTAGTTCCCAAAGTCATCTTCAGGTTTACAGCCTCAGAGCAGGAGGATGAAGTTAAGGAGGCGGGATCCAAACTGGAGAAGGAGAAGGAGAAATAGAAGTGGTTCCAGGAACGGCAGCAGCCAGGAGGACAGGGAAGGTATCTCGCTGGTGCCATCCCCTGATGCCACTGCACAGGTCTTATGGTTCTGGCTGGGAGAGACTCTTAAGAAGGTGGCCTGGTTAAAGATGTTGTGGGTCCCTGTCTTCACCTAGCCCCTTTCATTAACCCAAAAGTGAATGGCTGATTACTGCTGCATAGGACACACATTCACACATACTCTCTGGCCACTATTACATCTAACCCTGTCCAGTGTATGGAATCACAGAGGCCACAGAATTGGGAGAAGCAAGGAGGTCTTGCAGGTTTGCATTTGGCTGTTTGGCTATATTTCAACCACAGTGGACACAGTGGCCATGGTGACTGCATTGGAGATGGTTCCCCCACCATGGGAAGCCCTTCTCAGACCTTGGAGGGGTGTGGTGGAGTTTACATTTGTAATTCCAAGGAAAAGTTATTGGAATTCCATCAGTCATTCTAATCTACCACTTCCAGTGCAACCCACAGTGAGAATAAAGAGATAAATGGGGCCTGGGGATTTGGCTCAGCAGCATAAATGCCTGCCTTGCAAGCAGGCAGTCGTAAGTTCAATCCCCAGTACCGATAAAAAGGAAAAAGACAAAAAAAAAAAAAAAAAAAAAAGAATAAAGGGATAAAAATATATCTGTAGTTGCAGGGAGCCAAGGGGTCCTAAGTCCAGTCAGAACAATGGCTAACTGGAACAAAGGCCACGACCCAGGACCGAACTTGGGTTTTATTAATTCATGAAGAGAGGCATGGTTCTGGGATGAGTGACCGTGAGAGTGGAGGGAAGTTCGCGGGTGCTGTGGGCTGGGCTGGGTGGGAGGGGAGACAGCACCTCCACAATACCAGAGTGGGAGAGATGCAGAAACAGTAATCCGCTTAGCACAGTTTGAGGGAGTATCTTATGTTTCGGGGTCACTGCTTCAGCTTTATGTGTGGTCTTCATGCCCTGAGACATGATTCTTTCTCAAGCCTCAGCCTCACTGGGCCTGCCCCACAGATACAAGCTGGGAGTTACAGGCAGACACCACTGACCTATAGCTTTGCTTTAAAGACCACATCAGCGCCCCAGCTGCACCCATTTGCATTGCTGAAAGCCAATTAAGGGAATAAAGAAATATCCTAGCCAGCTCTGTACATAGCAGTACACAGAAACAGGGCCTGGGTTAGCCAAAATGGAGAAAAACGTTCTTCTTTTGAAGACAGCCATCCGAGTGGTCCTCCACCTCCCCTCCAAGAGGCCAGAGACTCCACCAAGGCTGTCACCCCTGCCACCACTAGAAGACCCACCATCCTGTGTTGACACCCACCTTGGTTTTGGAAGGTAGTGTGATTCTGTTGGGGGTCACAGCCAGGCAGGTCACTTCCCTGCAGTAGGACATATGCCCTGCCTGCACCTGTGGTCATAACCGCAGTAGCAAGTGCTGAGTGGAGCTGAGTTCAGAGGGCATGAACACTAGACCCTGACCCTGGGTCCAGGGTCTCTTTGCTGGTGGAGTGTGGACGTCTGAAGGGCTGATTATAGATCCCCTCCACCAGGTGGGGACTGAAGGGCCTGATCTCTGGGGACTACATACACCTGGCGAGGCAGGAGCTGACACAGGGGCCCCCTGTACCCACCCTGCTATACCACTGCAGGACCTCCCCGCTTCTCTGGATTCTCTGATAGGGTTGATGATCAAGATCAAGACTGCACTCTGGCAATGCACGGGAAGAGCAGTTCCTCCATCCTGCAGCATGGTAACTGCCAGGGCTGGTTTTGACCAGGATGACTGCCAGACACCTTGATCTAGTACAACAGATGAACTTGGCTATGGGGCACATGGCTACTGGGAAGGTGACCAAATTGTCACTGCTACCAGGCATTGTGGGTTCCAGGGAAAAGGGAAGTAGTCCCTGCCAGCTCGGTTTCCCAGGGCATCGAACCTGTTAGATAATAAACAGAGGGGAGTCCGTGGGCTCTTCCAGCTGAACTAGGTTGGAGGAGTTCAGGTGCTTCTGAATGGTGTGCGCATCAGGCAGGGAGGTGGTGTTCATTCACATGTCCCTGAGATTTGGGGCCATGAGCCCTGTTTTAGCACAAAGGCAATTAGTGAAGTTGTAACCTTGCTGTATAGGAGAAGTTATTTGTATCCACGTATTAGAGGGATCAGCCTCTAACCCTGCAGCCCTTCCAGCCAGAGAGAGCAGGAGGGAAAGAGAAAAGAGCAATCCAGCAGTCATCTTCGGACCTCAGGGCCCAATCTACTCACCAGAACAGTAGCTCCAGCCCCCAAGAAGCTGACAGGTCAGAAAGCACCGTGAAGAAGCAGAATCAGGAGCCCAAGAAAATTAATACAGGACGGGCTAAGTCAAAGACCCCTATCAATGATCACCAGTGAGCCTCGGGAGTCTTTTTGAAAAGCAGCCGGAGCCTGCCAAGGGTTCACAGGAGTGGGCTGCGAAACTGTCGCCCTTGGCCCTGTGGAGGGCCCTCGACTTGGAATTTTTTTTTTTTTTTTGTCTTTTTCATTTTTTATTTTTATTTTTTTTTTTTTTGTCTTTTTCATTTTTATCGGTACCGGGGATCGAACTCACGACCCCCTGCTTGCAAGGCAGGTGCTTATGCCGCTGAGCTAAATCCCCGGCCCCTCGACTTGGAATTTTCAGTCCCCTCTCTGGGGTTTTAAGTTGAATGCAAAGGATCCAGGAGTTGTGTCTCTGGCTGCCGAGGGAGTGGAAAGGTCCCTCCCTGATGGGCTTAGGGCTAGGTGAACACTCAGGCAGGACCTCCGACAGCAGAGGCCAGGCCTCTGCCTTCCGGAACCAGGCAGAGAAATGACACAGTGAATGGGAGCAATCACTTCGGGTCTCACAGGAAGTCACTGGTAAGGAAAGGGCTCCCAGGCATTTCACAGGGGCTTCCTCCTGCTGCTTGGAGAGTGTTTCTCAGCCTCAGGAGGGTGGCAGGCAGGACCAAGGCGGTGTGTGAGCTTGCAGAAGTGGGTTTTTAAGGTACCACCTTCCTAATGGTGGGGGTCTCCATGCATAAGGAAGATGGTACTGGATGCCAGTGCCACACAGACCCCTAAGTCACAAAGGCCCTCAAGGAAGGCCCACTATCACCCTGGAGGCTGAGGGAAAGCCCAAACCCGGGACATTCCCATGAGCCTGAGCTCAAACCACCTTGTCCTGTTCTATGTCCTACAGGGAAAGCCCTGTCAGCCCTGTAAATGTGGAGCTGTGCTCCCTGGGCTTTTGGCTGAATCTCTCTGGCAGTCTGCCCAAGTACCATTCCCTGTGTATGCTGGGGAGCCCGTTGGTGAGACAGAATCGTTTTAGGGTTGTTTCTCTCATTTATTTATTTATTTATTTATTTATTTATTTTTGAAACAGGGTTTCACTGTGTAGTTCAGACTGGCCTTGAAACACAGTGATCCTCCTTCGTCAACCTCCCTAGCAGTGGGGTTACAGGCGTGCACCACCACGCAGGGCTCAGAATTGTTTTATTTTGACAAATCTCATATCCCTGAATCACCAGCGAGACTGTCCCTTTGAGCCCTTTTCTAAGAAACAACTAGTTATCACCAGGCGCCGAGGCACAGGCCTGCAATCCCAGCACTAGGGAGGCTAAGGTAAATTCGAGGTCAGCCTGGGCTTCAAAGTGAGTTCAAGATCAGCCCAAACTGCATGATGAAACTGTCCCAAAAAGACCAAAAAAAGATAAACAGTAAAAGGACCACCGCCCCCACCCTCACCCCCACCCCCCCGGCGGAGGGGTGTCTTTAGTACCCCCCACTGGCCAGCAGTGAGGAGGACGGGCTTTATCTCCTTCTTTGTTTCCGGCCTGAGGGCTGGAGAGTTAGGCCCCGGTCCAGCGCCAGCAGACTCAGCGCGGGCGCGTTCAGCTTTGATCTCACTCGGATCCCAGTTCCCAGAGGAGTGGGTTCAGCACAGCCGCAGGCGGAGGGCGATCTTGCGCAGACCGTTTGGCCATCTGCGGTGAATGTCACTATCACAAAAGGCTCGCGTCCTCTGCTCCCCTCTGGTGGCCTCTGTGCGTATTACAGCCACTTCCCCGAGCCCAAGCACTGTCCTACGCGCTGTTCAATCTCCTGACGACCTTTGAGGGGAGACGTCGCAGCCCTTAGGAAGTTTCTTCCTCCCAAATGACAGTACGTGCATGAGGAACCTAGTGGGCATGCTTGGACGTCTGCATGGATTTCCTTGTTGGGTCTGGGGCTCGGCTCTGCCAGCAGGGCACTGGTCACCAGGAAAAGCGGTCACTACCCCGAGCAACAGCTCTTGCGTTTCCACGTGTCCTGTCTTCCTAGTGCCGATTTCCATGAAGGAGCGCCCATTTGGACAAAGGCTTAGGTCAGGCTTGCTCAATGGCCCCAGGACCTTTGCCCCTGGGGATATACCGCCTTTAAGTAGTTTTATTTGCAGTGCCCTGACTCCAGCACCACAGGTCTCCAGCATCTCTTATTTACAGTTCTGTGCTTGCAACTGGCCTGCCCAGGCTCCTCAGGAAATAGGGGAGCCGAAGCAGATTTGAGTTGAATCTCAGGCTCTTCTGGTAGCATAGCCTAGTACTGTATTACTCGGTCACTGGAAACACAGCCACTGCCCTCGGAGAATGGCAGCCCAGCGGCCCAATCTGACACAGAGGTCTGACTACTTCTCCACACCCAGGAATCCATAATTCATAAAATTCAGTGATCCCCAGAAATCCTGACTTGTCTTAGGGTCTGAGGAGCAGAGAACAAAGTTATGGGTTCTATTGATTCTTTTCCCAGGGCTCATGTCCCATTTGAAATACTCCTAAGTATGGTACAGAAGTCACACAGTTGAACCGGCTGGGTGTGGTGGTGCATGGCTGTATCCTAGCACTCAGGAGGCTGAGGCAGGAGGGTCAATGTGAGTTCAAGGCCAGCCTGTAAGTCAGTTCAAGGCCAGCCTGCACTGCATAGCAAAACCCTGTCTCAAAAAGGCAAAAACTAACAGCAACAAAACCAGCTTATATCACCTCTGTGTCAGGAAATTGAAGAGCGCCTGAGTCCCATCGTCACGGTCCTTTTCAATGGGAGCGCAGACCGAGAAGTCATCTGCATTTCTGAAGGACTTTCCCTGTGGACAAGAGGACTGAAGGACATCTTGGGCCAAGGCCTGCTCAGAAAGATGTGGGACGTCAGGAAACCCCAGGGCAGCACAGCCCAGGTCAAGGGTGAGGTCTGCAAAAGTGGGAGGATCTTCAAAAGCAAAGATGAACTGTGGGTCTGAGTGGAAAGGGCTGAAGAAAGCTTATTTATTTATTGGTACCAGGAATCAAACTCACGACCTCGAGCTTGCCAGGTAGGTGTTTGCCACTGAGCTACATCCTCAACCCCAGAAGGCATCTTTTAACTCCAAAACTGGAAAACCACTAGCGTCCACTGGTAGAGGGGACAATAAAGTATGGGGTTAGGGACCACCAGGGGCAAAGGGACAACAGCTTGATTTATGAGTCTGAGGTCCTGGACCAGCCTCCGGGCTCCATTGGTCACTGGTACTCCTTGAAACAATTAAACTGCTGGGTGGTGATTTTTAGAGGACCCCCCCACACACATACACACACATTAGCGCTCTGAGGGGTGAGGGGCCTAGCAAGGGGCAGAGAACTGAGAGAGGGTCCCACCAGTAGCCAACAGGAAATTAATGGAGGTGCCCCCCCACGATTCCAGTACCACCCTGCCCCATTCAGCTTTTATTTCTGTGGATCCAGAGTTCTTAGAGACAACTGCATGGTTATATAACTTTTTTTTTTTTTTGAGACAGTGTCTAGCTATGTATTTTGGGCTATCTTTGAACTATTGTAGCACATGCTGGTCTCAAACTCCTGGCAATCCTCCTGCCTCAGCCTCCGAAGTGCTGGAATTACAGGCATGCATCACTGTGTGTGGCTAGTTTACATTCTGATATCACTCTCAGCAGACATAGACCTAAGGACCAGCAGAGCAGTGACGCCATGCCGGCCTCTCAACCCACTGTTCAGCAGCAGCTGAACCCGGAGTGGGTGGCCAGGACGTTCTGGGGAGGCCTCAGCGTGCTCCGAGTTCTGTGGTGCCTGCTCCCGCAGACGGGCTACGTGCACCCTGATGAGTTCTTCCAGTCGCCGGAGGTCATGGCAGGTAACTCCCCATGCGTGGCTGGGGCAGAGCTGTGGTGGGGAAGACGATGCCCATGGGTGTAGGTGACCACAACACACACCAGGCTCCTGGGTGTTCTCCTGTTGGGACCCACAGGTCATTCAGAGTGGAACTGGGCTTGGCACTCTCCACGGGGCAGTTCTAGTTGGGCTTTCCCAGGAGCTTGGGAAATTGGCACACAGATGCCATCTGATGAAGCTTTTCCTCTTAGCTTCAAAGGAGGGAGGGTCCCATAGACAGGCTGTTCCCTGGGCAGAACTGACAGATCGGTGGCGGGTGGGGTGCAGCATGGGGTGCTCTCAGAGGCTCCGGACAGGTGGCTTCCTCTTCATGGTGCAAGGTAGCTGCCTGTGCTCCAGTTGTCATGTCTTAAAACAGTTCACGCCTACTCCCTTAGGGTCACATTTTGCAAATTACAGGCTTTCTGTCCATCCACTGTTCAAAGTGTCTCATATAACTACATCTTATCACCCAACCTTTGTTGCAAAGGAAGTTGAGAAATACAGTGTTTATATTTCCAAACATCCAGCTGAAGAAACTAATGGCAAAGGGGAAAACTGGTATTTTCAAGGCCTCCGGCTTCCTCTGCAGGGGGCTCAATAGTTAGATTTGGTTTTGAAGTTACAAAGTTCAGTCTTTTTTTCCAATGCATTTTTTGTTTTGTTTTGTTTTTGTTTTCTAAGACAGGGTCTTACTACATAGTGCAAGCTGGCCTTAAACTCAGTGTGTATTCCAGGCTGACCTTGAATTCTTGGTCATCCTCTTGCCTCAGCCTCCTGAGTACTGAGTACTTACAGGTGTGTGCCACTATGCCTGGCCAGGAGTACCAGAAGGAAAACTAAAGTCACACTTGGTTGTACCCCATACTCACCACTCTCCTGAGTCACAGTCACTGTCACTGAATGAGGTCTGACTCTGACTTGGAATTCTATAAGGAGCAGAGCACCCCAGCTCCTTCCCTTGGCCTGTCTTGGGTCCCGTCACTTCCTGCCCATCCTCAGGGACCTCACCACCCTAGCACAAAAAGCAGCACAAACCGAGCAGTTTAGCCTGGCACACATTTGTAGCCTCGGTTCTTCAGGTTAGAAATCCTGTACACGGCCTCTACTCAGAGAATCCGAAGGCTGAAATCAAGGTGTAAACGGGGCATGGTGGTAGACGCTGCAACCCCAGCACTCAGGAGGCAGAGGGAGGAGGAGAGATTTGAGTTCAAGGCCAGCCTGGGCTACGCTATCTCAATGCAAAACACAGAACAAAAACAAGAATAGAAATCAAGATTCAGGCAAGGCTGGGTCTGTCTGGAAGCCCTAAGGGAAAACATCGGCTTGCAAAATTCCTGTCCTTGGCGGAATTCCATTCACTTCAACTAGGGGACCATGGCCCTTATTTCCTTGGCATCAGCTTCCAGCCCCCCCCCCCATCCCTTGCCAGCAGCCTGTCCATGTTATGTGCAGCAGGGACATCAAAGCCTTCACCTGCTGGGGACAGGGCTGTTAGAGGGCTGGTGACATTAGGTCAGCCAGGGGCTGGAACATGAGAGGATTAGAATCACACACATCAAATGCCCCTGAGATCGGGACCCAGGGATGCACAGGCTCCTGGCGCAGGCTCACTGGCCTCTCTGATCTCCGCAGAGGATGTCCTGGGCGTGCAGGCCACCAGGCCCTGGGAGTTCTATGCCAGCAGCTCCTGCCGCACCGCGGTCTTCCCACTGCTCACCTCAGGCTCTGCCTTCTGGGTGCTCCGACTCTGGGAGGAGCTAGGGCCGTGGCCAGGCCCTGTGAGCGGCTATGCACTGTTGGTAGGGCCCCGGCTCCTCCTCACTGCTCTGTCCTTTGCCCTGGACCGGGCCGTGTACCACCTGGCCCCGCTGTGGGGCGCAGATCGCTGGCGAGCACTGGCCCTGCTATCCGGTTCCTATGTCACCCTGGTGTTCTACACTAGGACCTTCTCCAACGCCATCGAGGGGCTCCTCTTCACGTGGTTGCTAGTGCTGGTGTCCCCTCATGTGACATGGGGCCTCACACCCACGAAACCTGCCCCAGTCCCATGGTGGCACAGCTGGCTTCTTGGGGCCATGGTGGCTGCTGGCTTCTTCAACAGGCCCACATTCCTGGCCTTCGCGCTGGTCCCCCTCCTCCTCTGGGGACTGCGTGGATCCCGGAAGCCCAGTGTCAAGTCCCTGGCCTGGGAGGCCGTGACACTACTCCCTGGAGCAGCCCTTGCTGCTGGGGTCTTTGTGGCTGTGGACAGCTGGTACTTCTCCAGCCTTTCCAGGTCTAGCAGCCTGGTCCTCACCCCTGCCAACTTCCTGCGCTACAACCTGGACCCCCAGAACCTCGCCAGACACGGCACACATGCGCGGCTGACTCACCTGGCCCTCAATGGCTTCCTGCTCTTTGGGGTGCTGCATGCCCAGGCGCTGCAGGCTGCATGGCAGCAGCTGCAAGCCGGCCTCCAGGCGTGGGCACAGATGGGCCTGGTGAGAGTGCAGGGTGCCTGGAACCTGCTGTCCAACCCCCGGGCATCCCTTCTCCTTCTCTACTTCGTGCCTCTGGTCCTGCTGTCCGCCTTCAGCCACCAGGAGGCTCGGTTCCTCATTCCCCTCCTCATCCCCCTGGTCCTGCTGTGCAGCCCACGGACCCACCCGATGCCCTGGAAGGGCACCCTGGTCCTCTTCAATGCCCTTGGTGCCCTCTTCTTTGGCTGCTTGCACCAGGGAGGCTTGGTACCCGGCCTAAGGGTCCTGGAGCAGGTGGTCCATGCCCCCGTGCGCCCAGGCCTGCCGACCCACTACACGCTTCTGTTCTCGAGTACCTACATGCCCCCCCAGCACCTCCTGCACCTCCCGGGCCTCGGGTCATCTGTGGAGGTAGTGGACATGGGTGGGAGCAAGGACTGGGTCCTGTGCCAAGCTGTGAAGAACTTCACCAGACAGCCGGCTTGCCAGGGGGCTGGCGGGCCATGGCTCTGCCGCCTCTTTGTGGTGATGCCTGGGACCACCAGGCACGTCGTGGAGAAGTGCAACTTCCCCCTCAAGAACAAGACGCTGGTGTTTCCCCACCTAACCCTGGAGGACCCCCCTGACCTGGCCTCCCTGCTGAGTAGGGCTTGGAGGGACCATTTGAGCTTGCACATTATGGAGCTGGAGACGCCTGACAGTAAGACACAGCAGTCACTGCCCAAGGGGCAGCTGTAAAAGGGCCCCTCTGGCTGGGTTGGACATAAGACAGGGCTGGTCCCCCTGCATTGCCACTGCCACCTCTCCCAGGCATGGCCATTGCTGTTCTGCCTTCTGGGGGAGCCCATGCTCTTCTCAGACACCCAGATCTGAACTGTGACAGTCCTGATGCTAAAGTCCCAAAGAACCCTGGTGTAACCAATGGCACCTAGTATCTGTCCCTACCCTACTGCTTTCAGCCACTGTTCATGTTTTAAATATACAGCTGTCCCTAGTTGTGAATAAAAGGCAATATGCCAATGACGTCCTTGAGTGATCTTTCCCATAATGTCATACCTCTCATTGCCTTGACAAATCTTTGGGCTTCCCAGGGCCGATCTGGCCTTCCAGGAACCTGGAAGGGTGTGGTAGAGAACAAAGGGCTCCAACTCAGGGGACGCCGGTTCAAGTCCCTGGTCTGCCACTATGATCTAGAAAAGGCCCCTTCACCACCTCACTCCCCTCCCAGTCTGTACCCAGATCAGAGCATCTCTGAAGTGTCTTCCAGCTAACACTGGGTCATTCCTCGGGTCCCCTGCCTTAACAGGCTCATCTCTCACAAATCTCTTTAGCCAAAGAAGTGGATGGTTGCATTTTAATGGCACATTGATGTCTGCTGCCAAAGTTTGTTTTGCACTAAAACAAGTCATTCTGGAAATCTCCCCACTCACTTCTTTTGTCCCTCAGAGATGGGAGGAAACTCCACCCATTTCTGCATCTTGTCCTTAAGAGTCAGTCTCACAGTTGGGCATGGTGGGGCAGCCTTGTAATCCCAGCACTCTGGAAGGCTGAGGCAGGAGACTGAAGTTTGAGCTCAGCCTGGCAACTTAGCAATTTAGTGGGGCCCTGCCTCAAAAATAAAAGCCTGGAGATGTAGCTCCATTTGAAGGTTCTAGGTTTTCCAGTACCCTCCCCCTTCTCCCAAAATAAAGGTTTTCCTTGCCAGGCATAATGGCACATGCCTACAATGCAGGCACTCAGTACTTGGGAGGCTGAGGCAACAGGATCATCCCAAGTCTGTGGCCAGCCTGGGCTACGAAGTGAGTTCAAGACATGGCAAGGCCCAAAGGTTTGGAGGCAGGACTCAGTTATGAGCCTGATTACCGTTTAGCCTGCTTGCAGTTCTAGGCTCAATCCTCAGCACCAAAAGAGAAACATATTCTCAAAGTAAGGTGCCCAGCTATTCTCTCTTCTCCATTTACAACTGTGTCTCAGGCCTCTGGGTCTGCCCTAGTGGGAAACCTAAACGCACAATGTGCAGTCAGCATCCATAACCAGCCTAAAAGTTTTGCTTCAAGCTTTCTAGGTTGCATGCTTAACAGTGCAGCCTACATAGGGGTGATGAGAAATCTACCTAGGGGCTTCAGTTGACACAGCATTTTTGTAGGTCATAGATTTCCTAACCATAGGTCCAACTAGCTGACCAGTCTCTGCTCCACGGATGGTAGTCACACTTCCTAGAAGTGATGTGGAAGCTGGTCCCTGAGCAGCAGGGAAAATGCTGCCTGCAGAGAGCTGTGATCTAGGCACTGAAGTCATGCCTGCGCTCATACTCCACTCTGCAAGGTTTGGACAACTCGAGAAGCGGCTTCCATTTCTTCTATAAGAGTGTCTGTAAAAAATGACAGGCCAAAGGGAACCAATTAGCAAGAGTGAGCACGAAAACAGGCCTTCAGTGTGTGGACCACTCTTACCATGGCCCTGGAGCTCCAAGGCCCCCACCCCACCTCGCTGGAGAAGCACCACACTCATGCCCATGACTCAGTTCATTTAATCAGAGAATGGCAGAGAGCCTTTCCGTCCTTCTTCCCTGCAGTCGGTATCCTGTGTCCCGGTGCAGACGTAGCAGCCTCTATAAAGCGTTGAGTCCCATCTGCACTAGGCAGGCTCTTTCCGGGTAGGTCACAGGCCGTGCAGCGTTTGGGTGTCTGGCAGGGGCTTCTTCGGGGTCGTCCGTTGTGCCCTCGGCCCGATGAGGACGTCAGCCGGCGGCAATCCTGTCACGACTTCTCAATGCCGAGGTCAGTGTCCAGCACGGAAGAGAAAGCGCGGGCCCAGGCCGGTCTAAGAGTTCGCGCCCGGACCCCTCTGACTTCCTGGAGGCCCCGGGCGGTCGCGAAGTCCGCGGCGAAGCTCCCGGACAAAGGTGTCTCGGAATCGAGCGGCGCGGCGGCCCAGGTCCCCCACGGGTCCTGCCGCAAGGGCCCGCAGGCGACGGGCCGCGTCCTGTCCGCGCATCTGCGCCTGGAGGAGCGCGAAAGCGGTGAGCTGCGCCGCGCGCCTGATGGGCCGCGACTCCGACAGCCGCTCCACCAGCTGCGGGTTGTGCAGCAGGGCAGCCAGCAGCCGCCGGAGAATCATCCTACTCGGAGCGACCCGGAACCGCACGCAACTTGCTCAGCCTTCCCACCGGCCGCGCCAGACGACGGACCGCTTCTGCGCCCGCGCCGCGTGATGACGACACTGCCGGGCGCGGATTGGGCGCACCTACGTCCATTGCGCTGCTGCCTTGCGTGTTTCCGCTTCCGCAACCGCTAAAGCTCTTTTGAGTGTTTACCGAGGCAACGCGACTTTTTTCAAATCCTCCTCAGCATCATGTCGGGCGGCCTCTTGAAGGCACTGCGCAGCGACTCCTACGTGGAGCTGAGCCAGTACCGGGACCAGCACTTTCGGGTAAGGCAGGTCGGCTCACGGGAGGGGCACGGTCTGGATCAAAACGCTGCATTTGGTCTGATTGTGTCGTCTTCCATTCCGCTGTTTTGCTGAAACGCGAAGTGGAGTCCCCTGTGCCCACTGTAGGAGCGGGGAATGGATGCCAGAAAGCAGTGTGACTATTACTCAAAACATTCTCTCTTCTGGAAGGGAATCTGAGACTTGCTTTCCCATTCCCTTGCAACTGCTGTCTGAACTTGATGCAGTACATTTCAGGCGACAATGTTGGTGCTCCGGGAAGTGTGTGATGCGGAGCAGGGGGGGGGGGCTTTCCACTCCTTCGGGTCTGCGGTGGCGCCTTACACACACTGCGCTTCGAGGCTTTTTTCTTTGATACTGGCGGTTGAACTCCTGGGCTCTCGCACAAAGCAGCAGTCCCAGAATGCTAGGATTGCGATCCTCCGGCCTCAGCCTCGCAGAATGCTGGAATTACAAGCATAGCCCACTACTCTCACTTCCTTTTAGTAGGGTAACCCCACAAAGTTCTTCGTTGTGGGTGAAAGACAAAAGTTGAGTCCTATTTCAACCTTTGGGAAGGATTCTTAGTGGAGAGATGTCTGGATGTCAAGGTGAGAGAATTGCTGGGTTTTACAAGAGGAAAATTTTAGACTATGTCACAGTGTATTCTGTGGAAAGGGGGAAGGCTACAGATATTCCAGGTGTTTTCTGCATCAGCCAACACAGGGATGAAAGAATGAGGTGGCACAAATTAATACGGTAACCTTCACTGAGTGCGGTTGTTGAAGTCTTATCCTGAGCCCTAGGGAAATAGTGAAGGTTCTGCACCCTCAGAGCTCAGTCCTATAGTAAGAGCTGTAAGTGAAATCCAGTAATCAGAATCCAAATCAAAGGCAGAAATAAGCCAAGAGGGGAGGGCTGTGAAGATTCAGAAAAGGGGTCAAATCCCTTTGTGATAGGGAAGGGAACAGGTATAGAAGAGGTAGGTGTGGAGAATGTGTAAATGTGTTAGTCGAGTAGGGAAAGGAAATTTAGATTGAGACCAAATTAAATTCACTCAATCAACAGTTTTTGTTTGTTTCATTTGAGGAAAAGTTTCACTGTGCAGTTCAGGCTGGCTCTGAACTCGCAGTGATCATCCTCCCTCTGCCGCCACAGTGCTGGAATTACAGTCATGCCACATGCTGGGCATTAAGCAAGCCTCTTTATTTTTTTGTCTTTTTAAGACAGGGTCTCCCTGTACAGTTCAGGCTGGCCTTGAGCTCACTTTGTAGCCTAGGCTGGTCTTGAACTCACAACGATCCTCCTGCCTCAGCCTCCAGAGTGCTGGGATTACAGGCGTGAGCCACCACACCCAGCAAGCAAGCCTCTTTTTATACTGTTAAGGTTGACTTTGTCTCTGTTTGAACTTCTAGGGTGACAATGAAGAACAAGAAAAATTACTGAAGAAAAGTTGTACATTGTATGTTGGAAATCTTTCCTTTTACACAACTGAAGAACAAATTTATGAACTCTTCAGCAAAAGTGGTGACATAAAGAAGATCATTATGGGTCTGGATAAAATGAAGAAAACAGCATGTGGCTTCTGTTTCGTGGAGTATCCTTTATGAGTGTGTAATGTTGCTGTTGAACTAGGGCAGAACACAGTGGTTGGCTGCCTGGTTTTGAAAATTGAGGATATTAGTTTATATTGTTTCTATTTCTTCCTTTATATCCATACCCTAGTGTCACTAAAAGCTGATAATACCTCTGTTTTACCTGAAATTCATGTTTTGTTCAGGGTTGATCCTTTTAAGAAAAATGTCAAGAATATATACCTTTGGTAGCCGGGCATGGTAGCATATGTTTGTAATCCTAGCACTTAGGAGGCAGAGGTGGGTGAACAAAGCAAGTTCAAGGCCAGCCTGAAATACACTGTGAGACCCTGTCTCAAAAACAAACAGAAACAATGCATACCTTTGGGCTGGGGTGTGGCTCAGGGTAGAGCACTTGGGGTTTGATGTCCAACACTCAAAAATTGGTTTGGCATTAAAAACCCAAAAGGGATAGGAAAGGTAAGGTCTCCTATCACTCTGAGTCCCTAAATTCCTTCCCTATCTTGTCTTGGAGTCTTTCCAAATACAGTTCTATAGATATGTAGTGGTGTTTTTCTTTAACCTATCTTGGATATTTTTCATGTCAGCACATGCTGGTCTGCCTATTTTATAAAATGCTATATTCTATTTTATGTATAGCTATCTATGTTACATAGATTCATTTTATAGGTAAAAACCAAAACCATATGTATGTATATGTGCATTTTTATAGTATTGGAGATGGAACCCAGAGCCTTCACACTGAGCTACAGCCAACACTTTTTACTTACTTTTTTTGAGATTAGGGTCTTACTAAGTCATTAAATTGTATAGCTTAGGCTATGCAGTGCTCCTGCCTCAGCCTCCTAGTGTGGTGGGATAACAGATATGTGCCACCACTTCTGGCTTGAAAAGCTCACAGGGTGCAGGGACAGGGGAACAATGAAAAACCAAAAGGTACCATCTAGTAGATGATGAGTGTCTGAGAACCAGTGTTTTCATTTGCCTTGTAGGCCCAAGGTCAATACTCAGGATGGCAGATCGAATTGAGCCCAGGGACTCTTCACTGACCCATATCCCTAGCCCTTTTGTATTTAGAAACATGGTCTGTCTAAGTTGTTCAGGCTCAAACTTGGGTCTTCTTACCTAAGCCTCCCGTAATTCTGGGATTACAAGTGTTGCATAATCACATTAGTTGTGCTTTGTCTGTCTAACATTCATTCAAAAAGAACAAAAAACCCCCCACAAAACCCTACTGAATGCCTACAGTATTCTAGGCATCATTTAGGTGCTGGATGTTACATTTCACCAAGTATTTCTTTACCTGTGTAAGGGTAAGAAAAAAAAAAATCTATTGGCATTTTCCAAAGCCAGCTAATCGCAATTGCTTATAGACTTTTAAAATACCATCCCAAGTAGATAAATAGATTTGGGGACTACTGACCTGGGTAACTGTGGTTGCTCTTCAATATACAGTGCCCACTTTGAATGTCATAGTTTCTTGGATAACTGTACAGTTTGTACTCCAAACCTAAATCCATTTTATATTTACAAGTCAGAGAAAATACAGAGACAGAGCAAGGGATATATAGCTCATTAAGACTGGTCATCTAGCACACACAAGGCTGTGGTTTCAATCCCCAGCACCAAGAACAGAAAAGGCAGTGGCCCAAGTTAAGCATTAGCAGAAGGACTCAGGAAAACCTGAGCAGTGTACCCCTGGGAAAGAGGGCTTTTCCTCTGTTAAGTGCCCATGCAGACTGACCCGTCTGGAAGGAACCCCTCAGTTGTAATACTTGTACTTTCTTGTACATTGGATCAAACCGTACTTCTTCAGTTCAACTTCATTTAGATGTTGCCTCTTGTGTTTCCAAATCATCTAGAGCAATGCTAGTGTTTCTTAACACTAACACTTAAGGTACTACTCAAGACCTGATGCAGAAAATGCCATGCGTTTCATAAACGGGACACGTCTGGACGACAGGATCATTCGCACGGACTGGGATGCAGGATTCAAGGAGGGCAGGCAGTACGGGCGCGGGCGATCTGGAGGCCAGGTATACAGGAAGGGTCTCTGGGCCGAGCCTTGGCCTGGGATTCCAGGCTTTATAGGTGTTTGGTCAGTTTGTAGTTAACTTTTTGCCTACAGCCCTGGCGAAAATCACTCATTGATTTGATAAACAGTATTTGAAATCTAGAGACAGTACATTGTGTAATGTCTACACAGAACTGTTACTGAGCTTGTACTAGAGCCAGGTGTTTGCCAGAGCATGCTACGTCTGGCCTACTGGAACGTTCAACAGGCCCTGGGCAGCCCTTACGTGGCTGTAGGCGGGATGTTCATTGCCCTACTCTCTGCTACAGCTTTGTGTTCTTTCCCATTAAGGTTCGCGACGAGTATCGGCAGGACTATGATGCTGGAAGAGGGGGCTATGGCAAACTGGCACAAAAGCAGTGAGTGAGAGCCCCATCAGTGCAGAGATTCCTTCCTTCGGACTGCTGAAAAGGTTACCAGAATCATTTTGTTACCAGATCAAAAAGTATGTTCTATGTGGCTGGGAATGGAGCTCAGTGGGGAAAAAAAGAGAAAAAAACACCAAGTTCCTCAGCAGCAGATTTCACCTACGATCTGTCAGCCAAAAGCTACCATGCTTCTAGAAGGACAAGAAAAATGTAAACATCCATTTTCTGATGCTTGGGTCTAAAGAGGCTCATGATCTACACTGGGACTTGCAATGATTCTTTTTTAAAGTTGAAGTTTGCATGATGTAAAGTTAAGATAAAATGGGAATTTTGCTATGTTGATATGTAGCTTTACTGTAAATTAGGAAATGTCTGACAACCGGATTGTTTTCTGTGTTGAATTCTGATTTCTAAAGGCAAACTTTGGCCTTTGTAAATATTTGGCACAAAAGCCAGAGGCCTCCGAGGACCCTCCCCACTTCGTGCTTTACTTTCAGGAAATGGTGCAGGACTTCAGTTCTGCTAAATACATTTTTCAAAAGATGTAATGTTTTGCCTAAAGCTGAAAAGAAAGTCTTAACACGAGATACTCAAAAAATTTATTTTGCATTTGTAAAGTAACAGATGATTTATGTGTGAGCATCCTTTTTCTTAATTAGAAAAAAATACAAAATGTTTTCATCCAGCAACAGTGTATCTTCTGATACGCAATAGTATGTGAAGGTTGCCCTGAGTACTCCCCTGTGAACATCTTTCACTTTAGAGTATTGTGGGTTTTCTCATTCAATTCCCAACTGGTTGTTGGAGTTTTTAAAAAAGCTGTTAACAGTTGCTAAGTAGGAAGAAACCACTTAAAACATGTTTTTATTCTGATTTGAACTAATTTATATTCTTCTGTAGTAAGATACACTTCAGATTTCTAAAGGCCTTAAAACCAAAGACATTGGTTCCTAAATTGTCTTTTGTAACAAGATTACAATAAAGCTGGACCAACTTACTGTCTCTGCTGTCTCCTTATTCAGGACTGTAGATGAACCTGGGGGAGAATCTGAGTAATGTGTAGTAGAATTTACACTAGTATTTCAGCCTGACATTCCAACAGTCACAGCTTCACATGAAGAGAGAACTTGGGAAAGTGACAAAAGATGGACTGAGCAGCCGCCCTTGGAAGAGTGAGTGAGTTTTCCAGAAGACACACGCTGTGATGATGGAGGGGAAGGAGGCTGGGGCTGATTAGGGGACCTTATGTCTCTTCCTTGGGCTTGATGCTAAACATGACTCCTTTCATTACACCCTCATCTGTTTCTCTCAGGAGCAGCATCTGACCTCGCTCCCTATTTAATCCAAGTGAAAACACAGTTGTGTGTCTTAGCTAAGATGGGAATTTCAGAGTGCAGGAAGCTTCAGATCTAGCCAGATTGAGATCTGCAGAAAAGTATGAAATTCGAGCCTTGAATTCTGCCACCAGTGTGGTTGCCACTCACGCTCTGTGGCTGTTTAAGAAAAACCTCTGCACACCTCTGCAGTTACACAACTCGGAATGCTCAGCAGACACACGGGGAGTGAATGCTGTAGTGAATGCAAACGCAGAGGCTCTGTCATTTCAGAAAACACTGCTGAACAGTGCAGCTCTAAGGGCCGACTGCTTAGTCTCATATGGTCACTGTCCTTAGTGAACCTTCTCCATGACTGCTGTCACCGGTCACTAAACAGTACACAGTATTTAACACAATAGAACACAAGTTTATAAAGGCATTTAGTTTATTCTTCAAAAAAATACTTTGCTAGGAGAGTTGAGTACTGTAATTTTACATGATCATAATCTTTAAATAAATTCTTTTTCTGACCAACAAGTACCATTTAAGTAAACAACTTGTCTAGGTCTGTTTTTGTAACACCCAAATACAATTAGCACTTCTCAATGGTATTCCCTAGGTCTTATTTACAGGCCAGGAGGCAGTGCCCAGCACATAACTAAGTATGTGCTTTATGACAGCTGAGTAATTTGATTTCATTACACAGAGCAGGTAACTGGTTTTTGTCATTTATACTATTAACTCATTGTTTCTCACCTGAAGGGTCATGACCCACCCAGACGCTCCCATCACTCCTCACCCAGGGAAGCAGTGAACCTCAACTGTACAGAAGGGCACCTCAGATTAGGCAAGTGCTGGCCGTGTCCCAGTTAGTTCTGTTACTTTGTTCGAACTATAAATTCAAAACAACCATGTTACTCCTACTCCTACTAAGTAGAAAATACAATGCCAAGCTGAATATGTGGGATTATGGCAGCAGCTGCTTCTTCTCCCTTCCTTACAGAAGATAACTGAAAGTTGATTCTCTATGACTAAGAAAACTAAAAGTTGATAATCTACATTCACTGCTACCAATTTAACAAAAGGAAAGACCACTGGGCATAGCAGGTGCAGCTTGCTACGCCTGCCAGGGAGAGGCCTGGGCATCCTGAAGGTTTGTCGGAACAGCTTTTCACTGAGCGTGGCCTGCTCGGCCCTAAGACCCTGTCTGCTTCCTGTGAGCGCACCTGCTCTTCACTGAGGGCCAAACTATGCCGGGAAAGCAGAGCTTCACTTCTCTCTCACCGAATGCCTAGAGTGTATTTCAAAAATGCCTCTGTTACAAGGAAGCAATTGCTGCAAACATCGAGATAAGACTTTCTAATCTAGAACTTGAGCTAAACAAAGGTTTCTGCCTAATCACAAGGAAACAGGGAAAAGCAACTATGAATGACAGAACTGGTTTCAAGAAAACAGCCACCATTTAGACTAACCATGCTGGGTGCTACACCCCAAAGCACCCCATTACATTGCATGTGAGTAGCTGGACTTGGACAGCTCATGGCAGGTCTCTTAAAACCTCAGTGCTGGGTAAGACCCCGTCCTCAGGTTAAAAGGCAGCAACCCAAGCTCTGGGCATCGGGGTGTTTCAGGTCGGCAGGAAACATATTCCAATGGTGGAGCACCTGCCTTGCTCTTGGAGCCCTGGGTTCAATCACCACTACCACCAAAAAAAAAAGACTGCTGCAGAAACAATCCTTCCTGTCTTCTGCATCACAGGTCTGTCCCAGGAAGTGGTACATACTTCCCCTCTTCTCCAAAGCAAAAGACATTTTGAATCAATAGCCTCACTACAGGCTACTTGGATACAGGTACTACAAAAAGGCAAATATCTCACATACAAATTTTGAACAATCATATTTGCATAATTATGCCTGAAAACTTTTAAGACATCTTCGCCATTCTGACTTGTCATCTTTCCTAACAGGGACACACAACCTTACCTGTAGCAGCAAAAAATGCCTCTGTTTCTAGGCTTTTAATGACCTGACACACAGTAAGAGATACTGACCTGGTCTCCTGCTAAGGAGTCTGAGTCTATAGGACTTGGGAGCAGAGGGGCTGGGCTGTATGCTGGTGTTGAGAACCCACATATAAACCCGGTCTGACTCAGCTCTCAGTTGGCAGCAGACAGCCTTTCTTGCCAGACCCATGGTCAAGTTACACTTTTTGTTTTCTCAGCACCCCAAACTTACCCAGCAGAAGTTCAAATGTCTTCTGCCATTTGCTTGGTTTTTTCTGAAATAGCCTCTTGGTTTCTTACATTCTCCCCCAGATCAGAAAAGATAACTGGGTAAAATTAATATGAAACTTTCCTTATTTCCTTTCAGATGTGTGGTGTACATCTGTAATCCCAGCACCCCGGAGGCAGGAGGACTGCCACAAGTTCAAGGCCAGCCTGTACTATATAGCAAGATCATCTTTTTAAAAAAGTCACAAAAGGCCAGATTGCAGATGTAGATCCATTGCTTTCATCCTAATGCAGCTAAGTATAAGGAAGGGCCTACTTTGGCCTGTCCCAGAAGACAAATTTCATCAGATAGGAAAAAGCAACTCCTGTGCTAGAGTGTGGCAGAAGCCATACAAGCCCTGCACATCACCGAGGTAACCAGAGAGGAGAGACCCTGCTAAGATATCTCCCAGGGAACCAAACTGTCCATACCTCTCTTTCTCTCTCTGCCCACTTACAAAAGACTTGGTCAGACTACAATTTGAATTTTGTATTTCAGAGATAGAAATGTAGCTAGTGAATTTTAATTTTTTTCACATAGAAGGCCACATAAGGGAAATGACAATTTGAAAATCACTTCTCATTTGTTTGACCACTAGTGTGATGGATACTGAATTTTTTCACAAGTCAAAAACAAAACTGAAATACAGGGAATTCAATGTAGGCTGCAGACTGTAATTCCTAAGACCAAGATAAAATCTCATTTGTTAGGACAACTGGCACAGACTCTGGCTCTCCCCAAAGTAGGTGCCGTGCACTGCCATGAGCCTCCAGGAGTAGATGGCCACCTGTTCACAGCTACCTCTATGCCCTCAAGAGGGAAGCCAGCCAGAGGTGCTGCTGGCAAAGTAAACAGGACTGGCTCTACGGTCCACTCCTCACTACCCTTTATGCCCCAAGAAGCACCTACTATTCTGAGTTATGCTGTATCAAAAACATCTTGCATCTTTAGGTTCTGGAATTAAAAGTTAACCTGTATTCAGTTCACATCTAACTAAGTTTCAAAAGTTGCACCAAATCTACTAGGCTTTTAATACTCTTCACTGCATGCTTTGTCTCTATGCATGCGTTTGGATAATAAATATTAAATATGGGAGGGACACGCGTAATCCACAAAATTAAAAATGAAACCAAAATAAACATCAAAAAAGTACGTGGTAGCTGGAGAAATGAATAAGGGCAAAAATAAATTTGAGGTAACAATCGTGGCCCAATACCACTGATCTGAAATATCTGTAAAAATCCAAATAAGTGGAGATTCAAGTAACAAACCATCTGCTCCAACTTGGTCAGGCTTTGCGAGTCCTCCCCAACTTCAGTCCAGGAGCCGGCACTCACATAGCTCCTTGTAGATCCGCTTGCGCACACGTGGCATGTCTTCTTGCGAAAACTGGAAAGGCTGCTCCAAGGCGAGGCACTTGCAGTACTGCAAAGATCCCAGAAATATGTAAGTGGCACGTGGGGCTGGGCACCAGCCAGCACCATAGACAAAAGCAGAGGCCAGTCTAAAGCAGCATTACAAGGTCTGTGCAAACTTGCAAAAGCATTCCTTCAAAGCATTCCAGATTACAGTTAGCTTTGCAGGCAAGTGTATGGTGAAGCACTGCCCTCCCTCGCTTCTTCCAGATACCATGCTGTGGAAGCAGCAACTGGGAAGAGACAGGCTCAGTCCCCCACAGAGTGTAGTCTGCCACTGACAATGCAGCTAAAGCTGACCTGAATTTGCCCACAAACCCCAACATTCATGAGATCTGTCAAACTGCTAAATTCACGGATCATAAATATATGTGTAACTGAAAATTTTCCATAGCTCTTGTAGACCTACCAGGGGTCTTCAGCATGATATGGCAGCATCTGAGTGTGACACTTACTTAAAATATCATTATGCAAAGACTTGCAGGTTGTCTGTAGATTCTTTTTTTTTTTTTTTTTTTTTTCCCTTTCTCCTTTTTATCGGTACTGGGGATCAAACTCACGACTGCCTGCTTGCAAGGCGGGCGCTTATGCTGCTGAGCTAAATCTCCAGCCCTTGTCTGTAGATTCTTAAAGTTAATTCTGCCAATGCCAAGGGCCTCTGATACAGAGAGATGCAAGTCCCTCTCCTGGGTCATCTGGCTTGAAAATGACCTGATAAGACCCAGATGATATTCATTGCTTATTCTTAGCCAGGAGAGCTGATTCTTCCTAGAGACCACTGGGAAGGGCATAACTGCGCCACTGCGCCTCAGCAATGCGGGAAGGCAGCAGGGGAAAAGCATTCTGCCTCTTGGACCTGTATCTGCACACACAGGGATGCTTACACTCCTCCCTGAACCCCACACACAATTTATACAGTGCAAATGCTGAAAAAAAAATCTTTACCTGGAGCACAAAGACTCCACAGTCACTGTCATTTTTCTGTTGTGGAATACACTGAGAGGAAAAACAAAATGGCCATTAAAATATGGTCAAGCACTGCTTGTAAACTGCTGTTGTGTGTATGCGTGGTGCTGGGGATCAGATCCAAGGATCTCATACCTGCTGGGCAAGTGCTACCACTGAACTACCTCTTGTTTTATGGACAAGTGAGCAAGACACAGGAAACTTGTCTTTGTGGGAGAGTTAGTACACACCTCTGGTATCCTTTTTCTTTTTTTTTACAGTTCTACAGACTGAACTGAGGGCCTTACAATGAGATGTATCCCTACCACTTTTTAAAATATTTCAGACAGCAGCAGCGCATACCTGTAATCCTAGCACTCAGGAGACTGAGACAGGAGGATTTCCATTAAATTGAAGCCAGCCTGGGCTATACAGTTCGTTCAAGACCAGTCTCAAAAAAACCAAAATAAATAAAATGAAATGAAATTCTGAGACAGGGTCCTAACAAAGTCCCTAGGTTGCCAGCCTGTTCAAATCTGCTGTCCTTCTGCCTCAGTCCCCCAACATTCTGGGATTACAGGTGTGGTAATTTAAGCATGTGATTTTATGGTGACATCTGGCCACATTAAAAGAGCTATCAAGTGGCAACCACACTTTACAGAATATTTTGCCTAAATATGAGAAATAGGAATTCAAATTAAACACCTATGTTAAAAACATCCATTTGGACAATTGGTATTGTTTTCAATTCACTAACAATGGAATCAAAATGGACCCATGGATCTCAGAACATATGCCTGGCTCTGAACGCTGAGACATGCAACTCTGCTTGGCAGCTTCTGCCCTGTCACAGGTAATACACAAGGCTGTCCTGTGCTTTGCAAGAAATGAAGACAGCTGGGCATGGTGACACATGCCAGTTACCTCAGTATTTGGGAGGCTGAGGGAGGAGGATCACTATGGTTCAAAGCCAGCCCAGGCTACATACCAAGATCCTGTCTCAAACCAAAACCACAAAACCCAGGAGGGTTAACAGTATGTTTCCAAAAGAACCAGTTACTGTATTCTGCCTGAAGTGGGATTATGAAACATTCTAACTAAATTTAGAATATGTACCTAGACAATCTAGTTGGGTAAACTCACAAAATTTACAAGTTCAACGCTGGCTTGAACTAGTATAGTATGCTATTAGAAACACCAAAGTTCAGATTAATTTTAAAAATCAACTAATCTTGTTCATTTGGTTGTGGGTTCAAGGTTTATTCCAGGACTCGGCCTACACTGAGGTTCAAGGACCTGCCTCTACCAGTACTTCTGATGTCCTTGGTGAAGGGTGAGAACTCGGCTTCAGTTTTTCTTATCTATAAAATAAAGATGCTGTTCAGCACTAAATGACTGACTCTTTCCCAGGTTCTAAGGGATAAATGGAACCAAACAGTCATTTTAGCATTTCTTTAAGTATACCTGGGTCATACAGAAATAAGAGCGACAGTGCGCAGGGGATTTAGCTCCATGGTATAAGTGCCTGCCTGGCAAGCGCAAGGTCGTGAGTTCAATCCTTGGTACAAAAAAAAAAAAAAAAAAAAAAAGAAATAGAGCCACAGGCAAAAGGGAAAAGCCAAGCCCCTAAGCAATTTGTTTTACATTCCAGCAACCGTATTTTTAGCAGCTGCCCCAGGGATGAAAAGGCTCAAGTGTTTGTTCCCAAGCACAGGAAATTGAGCTGCCAGGGAATGGAACACTAAACAGGATTATCCTGAGCCACTTCTGGACAGCCTCCTCTGGTTCCTCTTGGTCACTGTTACCAGCCCTCAACACCCACCCCCTCCACCCCCACCCCCCACCCCCGTGACATCCCACGCGTGCCTCAGATTTACCTTCGTAACAGCAGTCTGCCAACCCTGAAGAAATTCAGGTCTGTTTTTTTCTCTGGCTTCAGTCAGCAAATACTTTCTTATATTCTGGTTAAAAAGAAACCATAACACAGATGCTCTGTTCCATCAGTTGGTGAAAAATGGAACCTGCCCACAGCAGACAGAAGCAGCGGCTGCGGCCACAAGCATACGGAGCATGCATTGAAGAGGTAGGGTAGAGTTAGTTCCATCACAGCTGGAACTTTGTTCCTGAGCTTCCATTTCACATCGTTAAGGAAGACTTAACCCTTCTGCATTCGAGGTATAAACTCAGACTGTGGACACCATTGTTTGTTTCTCTAAGTTTTGTGAGAGGGTTAGCCACCCTTCCCAGCAGTAAGTCAATTTATATACTGGCAAGGCAAAAAAGCAAGTCTGAATCACTGCCAATGCTCAACAGAGAAAAGGAGCTCACAGCAGGACTCAGCGGTAACTAAAACTAAGTGAAAAACTCTTGGGTAGACAGGCTCCTTGTTTTTGAAGGCAGCAGGAAAAGTGGCATCTGGTTTCAGAAAGTTATTTCAAACCATTCAGAACACTGAATACAGTCAGGCCCCCTGTGTGATGAAGCCTGCTGGAGTTTCAAGATGCTCCTTTGCCCTCAACCTCTTTCTGTCCCTATTTCTCAACATATTAAAGGCAACATCAGAGGCTACATGAATTAAACATTCCCCCAAAGGTGGAATAGAATAAGCTATCTCTTGGGGAGAAAAACTATTTGGTGAGAGCAATTATTTTTGTATGGGATGGTACTGGGGATTGAAACCAGAATTTTCACTCCGAACCACATATTTACCTCTTATTTTATTTTTATTTTGAGACAAGTTGTCCAGGCTGAGTTCAAGCTTACCCATAGCTCTAATGTACAGAAGTTTTAAGTTCCGAAATGGTTAAATTTATTAAATTGTTCCTTGTGTTTACTGGGCAAGCAACAAAACCTTTCTTACTCAAGAACATATCTTCTATATTTTATTCAAAATGCTTTCATAATCTTGTATTTAGAGCTTTCTTGTATCTGAAATGTTTTTTGGGTTGTGTGTGGGGGTTATTTTATTTTTTAGGTTTTGTTGTTTTGGTGCCAGGGAATTGAACTCATGAGCTCGCACTTACCAGGCAGGCACTGTTCCACTGAGCTATATTCCCAGCCTGGTTTTCTGTTTTGAGACAGGGTCTTGCTATGTATTCACAGCAACCCTCCTGTTTCTGCCTCCTGTAGTACTGGGATTACAGACGTATGCCACCACACCTGGGCCTAAACAGCTTATCTTTCCCAACTAAATTCTCATTTATACCTGAGGTAAGTTATTTCTGGATTCTTCACGCTATTTCATCAATGTATTTGTCTACTCAGAAGCCAATATAGACAGTTTTAATTATTAAAAAAAATTTTTGTAGCCGCTTTGGTAACTAGTAGAGTAACTATGCTTTCCTGGGCGTAGTTCAAACCTATCTTGGACGTTCGTGCATATGAATTGTACACCATGAATTCTAAGACCTATTTAAATTCCATTTAAAATTCTATTGGGAGCCAGATGTAGTGGCTCACGCCTGTAATCCCAGTACTTGGGAGGCTGAGGCAGGAGGATCGTTGTGAATTTGAGATCAGCCTGAGCTACAAAGTGAGCTCAAGGGCAGCCTGAGTGAGACCCTGTCTCAAAAAGACAAAAAAAAAAAAAAAAAAAAATTCTCTCGGGAAATTGATCAAGATGAAAATTTGTGTCAAACACTTTGAACAGAACTGATTTCTTTCCAATACTTAGTCTGCTTATCTCACCATCTACTGAGATTTCTTTTAAATATTTGAGTGTTTTTACCATAAAGGATTTCCACAATTCTTGCTAATGGACATATGACTGGGTAGTTTCTGTTTTGCTGCTTTTGTACATATTTTCAATTGCATTTTCTAGCTAGTTTTTATCTGTGCAGGAAAAACCAGGAAAGATTTTCTAGCTTTTGCGTTTTACCATCCTGTTGAACTAATACGAATCTCAGCCAAACTCTAATATTGTGCGCATTGATTTTTGTCAGTTGTGATTTCTTCTACTTATTTTGAAGACACAAGCCAAACTTAGCTCTAAGAGAAACCCAGGAAAACATCTACCCATATTCAAGACACAGTCTTAAAGGGAATACACAACAAATGCTGACAAAAGTCCTAAATGACATCTACGTCCTTCTGAAGGGATCTGGATCCTGGAAGCCGCCTCTCCCCACCTGCAGAGTTCTCTCTAAGTCCTTTTCTCTGCCCCTAGCTAAGAAAGCTCTCAGGACACAAACTTTCTCTATGGCTCTGACTGCTGTTCTACCAGAGCTAAGATGGATTTGCTTAATCACAAGATAAATGAGGAAATAGGCAGGATTTTACCTTACCTCTACACAAAACTTAAAATGAATGCCTTGTGAATCATAAAATGAAATAATTCGATTAGAGAGAGTCACTGTAATGAGAGACCAGTGGACTTCCAGATGAATAGGAATCAATAGAAGACTCTTTTTAAACAAATCCACCTATGAAGAAAAAGAAAGAAATCATATCATCATGGATCAAACGGTAAATGGCAGCAAAAAGTCACTGACTGACCTTTGGCCTGCCCAAGGTCATAAAACTGGGAAGCACTGAGCCAACATCTGCACCCAGATGGTACTCTAAAGTCCATACTTGTGACTATTAGGCTGTAACATACAAGGAAAGAAAAATGAAGACACAGAAAACACTACTTTTCATTTAACCTACTAATCTGTGTTTATCAACTGTCCAATAGGATGTGGTCCCTTATTTTTGTGCTTACCTCATTTTCTTAGGCACATTCTGACCTAGACCCCACGCTCCTCTAGGAAGAAACCACAATATTAGAAAACAGCAAAAGGTCAGGTGTGGTGGCACACATCTACAATCCCGGTGCTCAGGAGGCTGAGGCAAGAGGATCCTCACAAGTTTGAGGCCAGCCTCAGCTACGAAGTGAGCTGAAGGCCAGCCTGAACTGCATAGCAAGACCCTGTTTCAAAAAGCCAAAAAAAAAAAAAAAAAAAAGTCTATTCGTCTATCTTTCTATGGACTATGTATAGATGTTAAGCTTATCAGTGCTGAGTCAAGTCTGCTTAAAGTTCCAGTTGTGGCTCTTCTACTTAGTCAGATGACTTCGTGTCTTAACGTCCTTATCTACAAAATGCAGAAAACAATGGTACCCATCTTATAAAGCTGAGAGTAACAAAAGAACACATGAAAAATGTACAGAACTGTGCTCATTAGCACATGATGAGCAGCAAATAAATCTTAGCTATCATTATTTCAAATGCAAAACAAAACCAAAACAAAAAAACTGACATCCAAAGCAAGTGGACATCCTCTCTCTCAGATGTCAAAATTAACAAATACTTTACAACTCTTTACATCCCAATGCATCCTTTACAATTAAAACATATCCTTTCTGATCTAGACATTTTCCTTTCCACCCAAAATTTCAGTTGTAGACTAATAAAAAGTGCTACATAAACATCTGTAAAAGTGACTCTTTTTTTTTTTTTTTTCTTTTTTCTCTTTTTATCGGTACCGGGGATCAAACTCGCGACCGCCTGCTTGCAAGGCAGGTGCTTATGCTGCTGAGCTAAATCCCTAGCCCCATAATTTTCTTTTTATAGAGATTCTTTAGAGGTCCCTTGGGTTAAAACAATTAAAAGACTAATAAACTTTACCAGATTCCAGGAACCAATTTTCAGGTAATACCCTGCTATAATGATGGTTTGCTGGTCTGTAGCACAGCCCTGAGCAGCATCTCTAGGCCTAGGCAGCCATCTGCAAGCTTCTTGGCCCCAGCTGTTCCTTGGGTATTATGCACATTCTATCTCATCGCCTGTCAAGACTGAGGGCATCAAGCTAAGAGTAACTTTCAGGGTCATTTTCAGGGTTTGCAAGGAGACTCAATCGCCAAATTTCACAGTGCTAGTTCCAGCACTGTGAACCTGGAGTGCCGCCTAGAAGCCTTCAAACCTCCAATCGCCTTGAATTTAAGGAAAAGCAGAGCTCGCAGACCACTCATGACAAGAACCCACACACACAGTGATCACTCTGTAACCAAACCCCAAACCTAGCCTGCCCTGCCTTCTGCTATTCTCCTTCAGCTTCCAACTCTAATAAACCTTTCCCAGCTTCACCCTGACACATCTTAAAATTCTTCTGCTAGGACATAGGTCAAGAACCTAGTTGGACTGAGCTGAGGTCACCATCTCCTTCTAGGGGGACCTCCTGAGACCCCCTCCAGTGACAGGAGCAACCAGAAAACATGAAACATGTTTCCTCAAGTTGCATGAGCTGTCCCAGCAAACTATATAACTGCACCTAAGGAGCACCATGGGAACTGGGATTTACAGATACACGGTCAGCTGCTGCACACGCAAAATGATCCCAAGCCCCAACATGATCAGCATCAGGAAGCTTCAGTCTTGCAGGACCCAGCTCCCACCCTTGTGAGTCTATTTCCAGGTACACAGCATCACAACTGGAGACTGACTGGGCATGGTGATGCACACCTGTATTCCCAGCACTCGGGAGGCTGAGGCAGGAGGACTGTCAGGAGTTCTAGACCATGCTGGTCTACACACTGAGTTCAAGGCCGGCCTAAAATGAATGAGACTCTTGTCTCAAAAACACAAAACAAACAAAAGGGGGCGAGGCTTTAGCTTAGCAGCTAAGTGCCTGCTTGGCAAACATGAAGTCGTGAGTTCAATCCCCGGTACAAATCAAAAACAAAAATAAAAACAAAACAACACAACTGATGGCTAGCTAGTGGGGACACAGAGCACTCTATGGAGAAACTAAGCTCGCCCCTTCCCTCTTTCTTTTCTCTTCCTCCCTTTCTGCACTGGGGATCAAACCCAGGGCCTCAGGTTTTCCTACTGAGCAACAGCCCCAGCCCCTGAATTCTGCCCTAATCTCTTCCGTGTACCACTCCAGTCAAACTCATTTCTGCTGCAGAGCCTTTAAATCCACTCTTGGTGTAGCTAGAATTCTCTTCTGAACTTCAGATGGTTGGTTCTTGTCAGTAGCAAGTTTTCAGGGAACTGCGAGCTCTTCAGAGGCTTTTCCTTACTTTCTCTCTGTACCGGCCAGCCCTCCTCCTTCCACCTCCTCCAGCTCCTTATCTCCATTACTTTGCCCTCTCTCTTGCTTTTCCTCTCTTCCTCTTTGCAGAGCTGGTGATCAAACCCAGGGCCTCCAGGTGTATGCTCTGTTACAACAACTCCATATGATTAGATTACAACACTCCCAGATTAGATTTTACTTACTGGCTTACTTAATTCCCAAAACAAGGGCTTTATCCTTCTTTCTTCCTATTCCTCTATCCTCAGTGACCAGAAAGGTGCTTGGCATGCAAAAAGAAGTCAATACTTTGAACTGGTAATTCAAGTACTTCATTTCACATCCCTTGAGCTTCACAATACTAAAAACTCAGGAAAAAGCAGCAATACAGAAATCACATAGTAATCTATCTTGTTTTTTCCTTCATATAGCCTATTTTTAGTTCTTAAGAACAGTTACCTTTACAACCTCAAAATAATTCAACAGACATTGCTCTGGCAGTATTACTTGAAATAAAAGTCCCCTATAAAGTTCACTCCAGAAGGGAGACAATATTCAGTGTAGCACTAAGAAAGAAAACAAAGGAAAAGCAAGGGAAGAAGAAGCTGGAGAATACCATTATATTTACTTTTAGTGACGCTAGGGACTGAACCCAAGGCACGTGCTCTGCCACTGGAATGGATCGCCAGCCCTGACGGGTACTGCTGTGGGCAGAACAGCCAAGGCTGACCTCTGAAGGGAGCACATCTGAATAGAGGCTGCAATGAAATGAGGGTGTGAGTCACGTGTGTATCCCAGGGAAGAGCATTCTCAGCAGATGCAAGAGAAAGCACGAAGGCCTTGAGACCATGAGTGCCTCCAGGAAGCCCATGTGGCTGGAGCATGTGACTAAGGGTAGAAGAGGAACAGGACACATGACTTAACCTGTATTTTTCAATTTACCAACTCCAGAAACACTTTCTATCGCCTTCCCTCTATAAAAGATATGAAATTAGTAAAACATACTGATGGGAGACCACTACAAAGTGGCTCTGAGTATGATATAGAATAAAATTAACTGGTTTTCTGTATTTACTTATGAGTCAGTCCCAGGCCTACGTGACTTGGCTCAAAGAGTGGCAGCTGGCATGCAGTAAGTGCAACTCTCCACACCGGCAGTCACAACAGAGGCCTGTGCTGCTCCGTGACACTGACAGCTCTGAGGGCAAGAGAAAGCTGCAGCTGGGGACACCTGGTGCTCACTCCAGCCACATGGCTCCTGCTGCAGATGTCAACCTTAGACATGTTTACTGCTTGGATGCCATATGTTTATTGCTAAGAACTGGTGTTGTCAACTTTTCTGATAAGAAAGAGTCTGCTGATCTGTATTAACACAGGAAAGTAAAAGTTCTTTTTCTTTATATTCAATTCCTCTGGTCATTTCTGAGAACCTAAACTTGACTTATAGAGCTTTAATAACATTTTCACCATTTTCCTGTATCTATTTATTACACACAACAATAAATTGTGATCTATAATAGCAAAAAAAAGAAAAAATTACTCCTTGGAGAAGTGTTTGATCTAAACTTCCCAAGGTCCTGTTCAGCTTCCTGTCTTTACCTTAGCTATCCCTGCTTCCCTTTGTTTGAAAACTCAATAAAATGTCTTTGTCTTAGCTCCTGGAGAGTTGTTTTTCTCCCCTAAACAACTTAATTTGTTTGTTTGTTTGTTTGTGACAGGTTTCACTATGTGGTGCAGGCTGCCTTAAATTCACTTTGTAGCCCAGGGTGCCTTGAATTTGCATCAACCCTCCAGCTTCAGCCTCCTGCATACTGGTATTACAGGCATGCACCACCACACTCAGCTCATAGAGTTTTGACCTTCCTGGACCCCACCAACATTATTACTCATTTCTTCAATTTAAGCCTTCATCATAACTCAGTTTAGGAGATGGAGGCGAGGCCAAGTCCTCAATAACACTTTTCACCCTTGATTTGTTAGCATCATATGTATGGAATAAACTAACTTCAAGAAATAGTGACTACATCACAATGTTCACCATTAACATATTCCATGAAATTGATTTATCAACATATCCAGCTTTTTCGTTGTTACTGTAATTAGCAATTAGATGAACTTTCTTTTTTTTTTAATATAGAGAACTTTCGGAAATTTCCTTGGAATTGTCAGCAATTATTGAATCAAAGAACTGAAATTCACAATTGGCAATAATATTATAAATTGAAGGTGAAGTTTAGAGAAATTAGATAATCTGACCAAGACCTATAGCTACTTAAGGGGCCAAACTAGGATGTGAACTCAAGTCTTGATTCCTGAATTCACTGTAACTATTTCCCAAAACCTGTACTCTTCTTAGTACGTATTTTAACACAATTATTTGTCCATAACTATGTAAGGTATCACCTTAGTGTGTATAGTCCATTCAGTAAAAATAGGTGTTCGTGGGTGTGTGTGTGTGTGTGTGTGTGTGTGTATGTGTGTGTGTGTGTGTGTGTGTATGTGTGTGATGAGATGAAACCCAAGATCTTAAACATACAAAGCCACTGGACTACATGTCATGTCCCCAGTCCTCCAAGTAGCACAAACAACAAAAAGTTGGCCAGGAGTGGTGACAAACACCACCAGATCCTCTCCTGGCAGAAGGATCTAAAGTTCTACCCCAGCCCAGGCAATTCAGCAACCTAGCAAGATCCTGTCTCAAAATAATCAGTACAAAAGGGATATAGCTCACTATAAAGGACTGGGCTTCAACCCCCATTACCAATCAATCAATAAAAAGTTACAGTACCTGAAGAACTGACTAGAATTTAAACTTCATTGGTAAATTTTGTCAAAATATCAAAAACAGAACATAAATGAGCTTTTAAAATAATGCTTCTGGCAGTCACTGAAAACATTTCATATTACCCTGACTTATTTCCTTTTGCAACTGAGTAATCTAAGGTTCAGGCAGAGTGTCCTGTCCAACTTGTACAACCAGTTAACAGCCACACTGCACCATAAATGATGCTCTTTCATTCTGCATACACCAATCTACTGGGAAATGCAAAAGCCTCACTAGTGTCTTGCCTTTCAGACAATGAGATCTGTAAAAAGTCACATAAAGTTTATTGCTAATTAACATATTACACTGAAGTTCTTATCCTTCCACCCAAAGTGGCCTATTCCCTTCTTCAAATTTAGAATAAGAGAAAGATAATACCTTTTTAGTCCATCTCTTAACTCCATTATATCCTTTGGTTACCAGCTGTCTGTGAAAAAAGCTGTTGAAGAAGTGAACCTGGAACAAACACCAAATACAAGCAACCAGATCATATAAGGCTGTGCCCAGACTTAACTTGGAAAGAAAATGGAAAATGTTTAAATGTGTAAACATAAAATAGACAAAAGGGAGAGGAAAAGTTTCTTCTTTAAAAAAATTACCAAAATACAGATAATACATTACACAGTCTAAAGAAGATTCTGTTCCAAATTTTCCTTAGAATGACCTTGTAACTGCAGTGCACAGTCAGAGCTGGAGTGGGGCAGTAAACAGATTATCTGAATCCAATCAAGCAAAGAAGCAACCTAACAACTCTCTCCAAATCAGGTGATCAAGTTGAAAGAGGCCATGAAAAAATGAAGGAACGATACCTTGAACTCAAGGCATATGGATTACAAAACTAACCCCATCTGAAGAGGCAGATTTGGGGATTCTTCCAGCACAGCTATGAGAAGGCCTTAGCACAGTCCCTTCTGGTACCAACAGAATTATCCTGGCCCCCGGGAAGTCGAGACCTAGATCCTCAACTTTAGGTTCCTGGCTTACAAGTGGTATTGGCTCATGTGGAACAGTGCACACACTGTGATCCTGAAGTGTTCACTCTGACTCTGACTAACTCCAGTTATCAAACTGTTCCTTGAGCGCTGAGATTCTCAAGGTGTGGTACCAGACCAGAACAATCAGCAACACTTGGGAACATGTTAGAAATCCATATTCGCAAGCCCTGCCCCAGACCTGCTAAAACAGAAACTCCGTGGGTGGAAGCCAGCAGTCTGGTTTTCTAAAGCTTCTAGATGATTCTGAGGCACATTCTTTTGAGAATCAAGTAATGGAACGTAGATAAGAAGAGCTTGTGCAGCTGTCTCTAGAGCTGTGCATGAAGCTAGCATGCATCAGAATCTTCTCGGAAGACTGCTAACACCCAGAATGTTGGGCCTCTGGGCTGGAGCCTGAGATGGTGCAGTTCTAAAAGCTCCTAAGCGATGCTGGTACTGTCTGGAGACTACACTGTGACCCACTGCTGCAGGTGAGTGTCCTTTTAAGATCTGGCACGTGGCTCAGTGGTAGAGTGTGTGCGCCTACCGTGGACAAAGCCTAGGACTGGATTCTCCGTCCTTCAAGTAAACAAATTAACTGTTTCTCTACTACATTCACAAAACAAAATATTCCCGTGATCCAAAATGTGTGGGTATTTCTCCGTATCAGCAAACATGCGATCAGTTCTTGAATGCTAAAATTAGATTTAGAATTAAATGTAGAGGTAATAAAGGTAAGTCAAATCTTTGAAGTCAATAAATTTGTATGTGTTCAATCTTTCTGATTAAGAGCATGACAAAAGTCTTTTACCTTATGATTCCTGTTTAAAATGCACAAGAGATTTGTAATTTTAAATATAAAATTACCAAATACTTTCTGTATTTATGAATAATTGTAAGCTTTAAGTATTGGATATACTTTTATTTATTCATGGTACTGGGGATTAAACCAAAGGCCTTTCCACTAAACTGTATTTCCAGCCCTTTTTCTTTTTTTAATGAGGCAGGGTCTCATGTCACTAAATTGCTCAGGCCATGCTTGAACCTGTGATCTTGCCTCCTAGAGTCCTATAAAGTACTCAAAAAATGTTTCAGCTTAGTGGAGTACTTGGAAAAAATATTAATTTTAAATACAGTTTTGGTATGTAACTAAGCTCTTAAGAGAATTTATACTTAGTGGATGTTGTGTCTGTATTTGAACTAAATATCAAAGTTTTTTACGTTGAAAATGTGAAGATGCAAACTATTTTACTTTTGGGGGTAGGAGGTGGGGTTTGAATCCAAGGTCTTTGCACTGAGCTAGACTGCAGCCCTTTTTTTAAATTGTGAGACAGGATCTTAGTCCCCAAATTGCCCAGTGGGGTAGAACTCTGCCTCAGCCTCCCAGAGCGCTGGAATAACAGGCATCTGTCACCACACAGGCTCTTTCACATTTTTAAAGAGAGTTAAGACTTTAAATAGCCCCTTTTGTGCATCTTTCCCACAGGAATCCCTTTACAATACCAATAAACACATCTACCTGGACACAAATTAGAGAAAGAAAAGACAGGCACTATGAATTTCTTATGCAAAAGTGATTTGATAACATTTAAACCTAATCTCAGTAATTATCAAGACATAAGCTAACCCTTTTTTTTAAAACCTAAGAACTATTAAATAATTTTATTAAAAACAACAACAACAAAAACCCTATGCTATACAATTTGACACAGGCCTCTCCTGAGAGGAAGTTTTCACTTACTTTATCTGGGACTGCATCCATTATCAGCTCGCCATACATATTAATGACCTAGGAGAAAGCAAAATTGGCTTACTAACCCTGTTCAGAATTTCTGAAGCAGAACAAATACTGACACTAGTAGCAATAAACAAACTTTCTGATCCTAGTATTAATGAGTCACTTTAGTACAGAAGAATCTTAAATTCCTAGAGATAAATATAAAGTCAAATTTCTATGACAACTGACCAATGTTCTCTGCACCTTTGATACACTGAGAACCTGTGACACACCGACCTGGTCATTCAGCCAGTTCTGACCATCCAGGGTGGCCAGATCATCCATATCCAGCATGTGCTTATTGTAGAAGATGCGAAAGTTGCATTTTTGATGTCTGGCCCGATAGTTTGTTATTTCCCTATTAATAAATGGTTTTCTGAAATAGATTTTAAAAGAAAATGGAACAAACATGAGTTGTACTCAACATATTAACTATCTTTTCCTAAATTATTTTAACGTTTAATTTTAGCACCACTGACATACCTATTAGAAAAGTCTTCATTAAAGACATCTTTTAATCTTGCAAGGACATCTTTTTCACTGAGTGGGACCAAACTGCCATACTTTTTCATAACCTCATCTAGGAATCCTTTAATAAAGAAAAATTAAGATGGAAAAACAAACTTTTCAGCGAAGTCATTCTCCCAGTACTTACTATATATGCAATGCTCAACACCTTCCTACCCTTTATTACAACATATGTCCCAGCTACTCAGGAGAATGAGGGTGGAAGATCACAAGTTCACAGCCAGCCTGGGCACCTCAGTAAGACCCTGTCTCAAAATAAAAAAGGGTCGGGGCAGGGGTTGGTATGCAGCTTAGCGGTGAAACACTTCAGAGGCTCTGAGTTTGACTGCCAGTACTGCAAAAAGGAAAAAGAAAACAAAAACTAAAATGGGTTAAGTCCTTACCATCTTACACTGAGATTCTAAACTACTGGCACATTATTAGGGAGCTGGCTAAAACTGAAGACTGTCACATTTCCATAGCATAAGGGCCATTCCCTCCCTGAAAGTGGCCATTTAATCTAAGTTGTGATTTCCCTAGGACACATTTGCCAGAGAAGCCACATTTAAACCTGTATGTTTTCATTATATGGTTTGCTATACTTGAATAAGACTTAAAATTCTTTGTTTTTATTTATTTATTAATTTGTATTTTTGGTCCTAGGCATTGAACCCAGGGCTTTGAGGATACTAAGCACACTCTAACATATTATACCTCCAGCCCCAAGATTTTAATGCTTATGGAGTCTTCTGTTTTTTGACAGGGTCTCACTCTGTTGCCCAGGATGGTCTCAAACGCAGAACCAAGCAATCCTTCTGCCTCAGCCACCGGGAGTAGTGGGACAGCCCTATGAAAAGATGCTCAACATCACTGATAAGGAAAACGCAAGTTAAAACCAAATGTGAAATACCTCAACCCTGTTAGAACAGCTTTTATCAAAAAGACAAATGTAAATTAGTACAATTATTATGGACAATAATACAGAAGGGTCTTAGTCAAAAACAGAGGCAAGCATGGTGGTATACATCTGCAATCCCAGCTGGTCCAGAGGCCAAGGTGAGAGGTTCACAAACTTGAGTTCAGCCAGGGAGACTTAACAAGACTGTCTGGGGGAGGGGGCAGGAGTAGGGAAATACACCTGAAAAATTTCTATGAGTACAGTCCCCAAAATTAGGGCTAAAGTCTCAAAAGCAAAGAACATGATTTTTGTCTAGTATTTTTGTCTTTTGTGGCACGAGGGGCACATTGGGAAATGCTTTGCACTAAGCTACATTGCTAGCCCTTAGTTTGTCTGAGGTGCAGAGATTGAGGGTGGAGTCTCAAGCATGCCAGGCAAGCATTCTGCCACTAAGCTCCACTCCGAGCCCAACTCAGCCCAAGTACACTGGCAGCACTAAGGACTGGGCTATCCTACTCCTTTATTTTTTGAGCTAGTCAATCAGTGGCCCGGCCTGGGCTTGAACTTGTGATCTTCCCACCTCAGCCTTCCAAAGTACTAGGATTACAGACGTGTACTACTACGTCTGGGTCTGCGTGGGATTTTTAAAATTATTTTTTAAATGTCCTCCTGTAAGTTTAACAGCTTTACTAAAACATGATTAACATACCACTACTTCCACCCTCTTACAGAGTATGATTCAGCCATGCAACCATGCTACCACCTAATTCCAGAACATCTACACTTCCCTCAAAAGTCCTGCACCCATTGGCAGTCTCCTCTCTCCCCAGCTCCTACAAATAATTAATCTACTGTATGTATGACTTCTGGGCATTTGAAATATGACATTATAAGTTATGTGACCATTTTATGTCTAGCTTCTTGCACTTAGCATGTTTTCAAGATTCATCCACACTGCAGCATGTACTAGTATGTCACTCATTTTCATGACACAATATTCCATTATATAGACAGACCAGATTTATTCATTTGTCGCTTGGGCTTTTTGGTTGTTTCTACCTTTTGGCTATCAGGGATAATGCTGTTACAAATATGTTTTTTTGAGTCTGCTCAGTAACAGAGCAAGTACTTAGCATGCACGGAGCCCTGGGTACCATCCTCAGCACCAACAAAAAGATTCTGTGGGGCTGGGACCAGAGCTCAATGGTAGAACATTTGTCTAGCACACAAGAGACCCTGGGTTTCATCCCTAGCACCACCCCATGCATGGAAAGTTTCTGTATATTTTGTTTCTATTCAAATTTTTAATCCACCTGGAAAGCACTGCAGCACAGGAATCTATTCCTTTTCCTTCTAAAAGCAGCTAACTTTGGCAGTCATTTCTCTTAATCCTTAGTATGCTATGATCCTACCACACAAAATTTACTGAGAGTTTGGCATGTATACTGTATATGTTCTAATCCTGACTTACTCAGCCTTTCCGATTTGTTCTGTTCTTCCCTTTGCATTGTGGATTGAGAAAGCAGGGCAGGCCTAGTGCAGGGAAGTAACTGCTCTACTACTAGGCTAAGCTCCACTCCGGCACCAAGCATTTCAATCTGACGACTCACACATTTCTCTCCAGTTCTGAGAATAACATACCCTGTTATTTTCTTCAGTTTGCCTTCTAACACTCCTAGCGTGTCTTGAAAGAGGTTTAAACTTTAGCTCTTCTTTTACATGAACTTAACACTTGCAAAGTAACACAAGGACAGACGCCAAGACTTTCATATATTACCCTCAAATCTTTTACAGTTGTCTTACACAAGCATAACAGTGACTTTTTTTTGTACCGGTGATCAAACTTACGACCTCACACTTGCCATGCAGGCGCTTACACCGCTGAGCTAAATCCCCAGCCCCAACAGTGACTATTTTTGCAAAAACTTGTAAGCAACTCATACAGCACTCAACACAAGTTTTTCAGGGAGTAACTTTTCTTCATACACATATTTATGATGAAATAAATGCTAAATTAAATTATGAGACAGCAATAAGTTTCCTATCAGGGGCCAGAGATTTAGCTCAGTGGCATTAAGTGCCTGCCTGACAAGCCTGAGGTTGTTTGATCCCCAGTACCACACACACACACACGTTTCCCATCAGTACAACTTAATAAATATGTAAATCAGCTGAAAGGCACTAATCATATCATAGAGTGCTGGCACCTGGCACAACGTGCAGCGTAGGTCTGGCTACCTCTGTACAAGTACTCCAAGGAGCAGTAACGGTGCCAACTCCTACACTGATTCCCACATTGACTGCTTTACTCGTCCTGGCTGCTTAGCTGCAGCTCCCTTTTTGCTGAGTTTGTCTCCTCCAGCATGTCGGCTTCCTTCAGATGAGCTCACCTCTATTGGGTAACTCGAGGAGGGTAAGGCTTGGGATGGGCAAAAGCTGCTGCTCTGCCCTCAACCAGTGGAGTATTCCCAGCATTCACCTTGACAACAGTAGCCCTGGTAACTCCCTCTCTGCCCACACGAGGTGTGGCAAGGCAGGAAGGGTTCTTCAGCAGTGCCACTGTCCGTTCGGGCTTGTACTTCCACTCGTTCTAGCCAACACGCACCTGCAGCATTCTGCCACTTCCCTGCCACCGATCCTTTCTCCCCTGGACCTTCCCTCCACTTCCTACCTTAGGGGAGCTTTAGTTTCCCATTCATCCAAATTCTCCTTGATGTTTTTGAACACAGAAATACATGTGTGCTTTTAATGTATTTTCGCTGATATGAATCTGATAGTAAGGACAGATTTCACATACCATATTTCTTCCTCATGAAACGGAATACATTTCTAACAAATACGTTTTAGTAAGTGAAGGAAATTTTCTCTATTCCTAGTTTTTTAGGAGATGTAAACTTGAAAGCTGAGTTTTACTAACAAGCTTCTTTCTTTCTTTCTTTCTTTTTTGCAGTACCAGGGATCGAACTCATGACCTCACACCTGCCAGGCAGGCGCTTATGCCACTGAGCTAAATCCCTCGCCCCTAACAGGCTTTTTCAAGCACTAAACTTGCTAAGATGCCATGATTTCTCTACTTCTGCTAAAATAACGAATTACACTACAGATTCTTAACTCATATGAAGAATTCCTATTTCCTCAGATGCTATAGTTGTTCTATAGGTCGATTCATATTTAAAGTGTTAGAGCTAGTAAATGGATATTTGTGTGTGAATGTCAATTCTTTCAGCTGTAAGTATCATGGTCTGTTAACTTTTTTTTTTTTTTGAGGTAGGGTCTCATTATGTATCGTAGGCTGGCCTCAAAGCAGCAATCCTCCTGCTTCAGCCTCCCAAGTGCTGGGATTGCAGGTGTGTTAACTTATTAAGGAAATTCATCTGATTTGTGGACAATAATAATACAACTTGTTGTACAGATTTGTTAGCTTCCTCTTTTATGTTGTTAGTGGTGAACTTCTTAGACATATTTAATTGTTGGGAAAAGCACTGTTTAAACTAATGAGAACTCTAATAACTTCTCAAAAAAAAAGCCAATTATAACAATGTGTTGTATCTGCACAGATATATCCTATACAAATGCACAGTATATATACACATTCATCCGATGTATCTGCATGTATTTTTTTTAACAAAATTGTATCATACTACCAGTCATGCTGGCACCTGCTTGTAATTCCAGCACTCAGGGAGGCTGAGGTAGGAGAATCATGAGTTTGAGCCAAACCTGGGAAATTTAGCAACTTGGTGAGAACCTGTACTAATATAAAAAATTAAAAAAAGAACTGGAGGTGTAGCTTAGTGTGAAGCCCCTGGGTTCCATCCTCAATACCAAACACATGCAAAAAAGCATTCATACCATTTTGCAACTTGCTATTCAAATTTCATACAGACATCTTTCAGTATAAAAATAGAAACATAATTCATTTACTTTGAATGCTGAGGATGGAATCAGGGCCTCACACATGCTAGGTACTCACTCTACCAGTACACCGCAACTTTGAACCCTAAACATCTGCGTAGTACCCTATGTCCTGAACGTGCCTTAATCTAAGCTTTAACAGAAATTCTTAGTGTTTTCAATTTACTATAACACAAGTGATACATCATATAAATAATTTGTACTTTTACAACTAGGATAAATTTCAAGCGGAAAAATGGTTCCAAGACTAATACTGCCACATTGTCTTCCCATATGTTTACTCCAAATCACTTTTTTTATTTTGGTTTTTGTGGGTTTTTTTGAGACATGGTTTCGATATGCAGTTCAGGTTGGCCTTGAGCTCACTCGGTAAGCCATGCTGGTCTCTAACTCACAGTGATCCTCCAGTCTCTTGCCTCCAGAGTGCTGGGATTATAGGCATGTGCCACCACATCTGGCTCTAATTCACTTGTTTTGTTTTGTTGCAGGCACTTATGCCGCTGAGCTAAATACCCAACACTCCAATTCACTTCTTAATGAAGTTTGACAAAAAGACTTTTATTCTGAAACAGGTTCACACTATGTACCCAGGCTAACCTGCAACTTGATTCTCCTCCTTTAGCCTACCACACTACCATACCCAAGGAAAACAGCTGCTTTGTTTCGTTTTGCTTTGTTTTTTAGTACCAAGGACTGAATCCAAGGTCTCTGCACTAAGCTACAACCCTGGTCCAGTTTTTATTTGGAGACAAGGCCTCACTAAGTAACTAAACTGCCAAGGGATGGCCTCCGACTTGTGATCCTCTTGCCTTAGCTTCCCAGAGTGTGGGAATTATAGGCCTCTGCCACCAGGTCTGGCTAACAGTAAGCCTTCCAAACATGGTGTGAAAAATAGAGAAGTCAGCTGCAGGTGGTGATAGATGCCTATAACCCTAGCAATCTGACTTCATGAGATTCTGCCCATAAAAGGGTTGCAATATAGTAGTGTGAAGAACTTGGGTTCAATCCCCAGTACTAGAAAATAAATCCTTTGTATATTGTTAGTTTGTAGAAGAAACAACTGGAAATCAATGCAAGTGTCCATCCAATCAAGGATTAACTAAACAATTAATGGAACATCTAAGTAACATAGTGACAGCAAGTCACCAAGAACATCCAAAAGTGTAAAGAAAGCCACAAATGGAAGCACTCTTGCAGAACGGAGAAAGGGCAACAGATTTGGGTGAGGGACAAAACAGTGCCTACCAGAAAGGCAGATGGACAGCTGCTCGTCATCCACAGGTGACGCCTTCTGACTATTCTTGCCACCTCGCAAAGGACTCTCTAGCTTGAGTTCACTGCATGCCAGGGGTGCTTCGAGCGGATTCTTACAGTACGGGTGGTCCAGCAGCTTGGAGCTGAGGATGTTCTGTTTGAGCACCCCCTCCTCCTCCATCTGGCAGCTCTCAAGCTCCGCAGTCTGGTGGGACACAAGCCCATCCACACCACTCCTGGCTTCCTCGGCTCCAGATGCCGCCAGCTCTACCTTGTTGTCACCCAGGGCGCCCATCCCATTCTCCCGACTCAGAGCCATGGCGTCTCCCTCAGTTTCCGAGGGGAACATGTTACCCAGATGATGCTCTGACAAAGGGCGCTCACCAGTCAGCTCTGCACACTCCCACCGAGCGGAACAAGGCATCTGGTCCCAGGCATCGGTGGCACCGCCATTCTGCTGGTCTGGGAATGTGTCGTCTACAAGGGGCTCCTTGCCCACACAAAGGCTCCCTTTAGTGCGGTCTTCGGACATGAAAGAGTTCTTTCCCTTCGCCAGCACATCGCTGTCCATATCTGGAGCGTGCAGCTGACGCCGGCAAGCAGAGTCTCTAGGTTCTGTGGAAAGGAATGGGCTGCAACTGCCACCCTCCACGTTATCCCTAAGGGTCTCTTGATCGTCTCCAGTGACCTTCTGTACCCAGCTTCGCTGGGCTTTTCTTAGCTTACAGACTTTGCTTTTTGTTCTGAAGTGCTGGGATCTGAGAATCCTATACTGAAATCTTATCATGGATAATTTCTCATACATCATAAGAGGAGACACTTTTACCCTTCGCTGTTGGTTAAGTTGGACCTTCCTTGGAATCAGGAGTCCCCCACTCCTGTGGCGCTCCAGCCCTTGGTAGCAGCCATAACAAAAGCGTTTTCTTTTATGGTTGCTCAAAGTGACCACAGTCTTGCCACTCTCCCCTGGACCCTGCCTCTCCCCACTGAACGTCATGGGAAAGTCATGTGATGCTGTCCTAGGTCTGCAACCGCTGGCCTGACCTACAACACTATTTGCTGGCAAACCAGCAACTGCCTTCAAGAGATTCTTCTCTCCACAGGATTCACGGTCCAAGTTCCTTGCTGAGGACGGCAACTTCTCTGCATGGAGTCTCAGGAGGCCCCTTGAGGAAGAAATGAAGTGCTCTCTTTCCACTTTAGAGGATACAGTGCTAGCATTTGGAGTAGCCACAATGAGCTTGCTCTTGGCACAAAGGGCTTCATCGTGGATCCATGTTTTCTGAATTTCAAGAGACTTCTTTCTACACTGCAAATACCCCAGCTGTCTGTTCCAAGTGACTGGCCTTCCTAACTTAGTTTTCAGAATGCACAAGTGTTGGTGAAAATAGAATTTCTTAAAGCCTACAAACCCTGTATTCCATTTCTCAGAAAAGGCAAAGTGAATTCCTTTCCTCCATAGACTTTTCCTCTGTTTTTTCATTTTTCTGATGCATAATGAGATCTGGATGTAGCTACAGAGAAGAAAACAAAGAAAAGTTATATATCACTCTAAACATAAGATTATGAAGACATACACAGCAATTAAGGGAGAAAACTAATAAACAAGTGTATCTCCCTCAATGTAGGCTGTGGGACAGAACAAAATCTTACTTGATCTAAGTTTTCATCAAAATGAAAATTAGACAAGAGGGAAGAATGGGCACTCTAACAAGACCCTGCTTGCTATACATGTGTCTTGGAGAGAAAAAAAGGGGGGGGGGGGGACCACTGGAACAGCGTGATGGTGCACATCTGTAATCCCAGCCTTCAGGAGGCTGACACAGGACTGCCCCATGTTCAAGGCCAGCCTGGGATATATATGGCAGTGAGCTCAACACCACCCTAATCTTCAAAGACAGACCCTATCTCAAAAAATAAAAAGGATGCTGATAATGTAGCTCAGTTTAAGATCCAGGGTTCAATCCCCACTACAGAAAGTAAAAAGGTTCAAGAATCATTTCCCAGTATGTAATCAATTTCTTTTCTTCCTCTGCCCCTTTTTTGAATGCTTGAAATTGAACTCAGGTCTGTGTGCCAGGTGAGCATTCTACCTCTGAACTACATCTCTAGCCCTTTTTATTTGATTTTACACAGGGTCTTGCTAAAGTGCTCACAGTAGCTTCAAATTTGCAATCCTTCTGTAGTCAGTTTCTGGTGGAAGACATAGGGTAGGGAATTAGAAGAGGAGCTCTTAAGTGTGGCTCAGCTTTGCATTAGCTATGTAACTCTGAGTCAGTCAAACTGTTCTCATTTGTACAATGAAAGGTAGGGAAGGGAGGGGACTGATTTCATATCCATTTACTTATAACTTACTCCACAGCAAAACAACTTTTTCCATAGAGCACACCCCCGCCCCCACCAGGGATCGAACTCACGACTGCTTGCAAGGCAGGTGCTTATGCCGCTGAACTAAATCCCCAGCCCCATAGAGCACATTTTTAAAAGTACAGCATAGAACCTTTGCTGTGTAAAGCTGAGTACCTATGACACCGAGAGTATGGGTGGAGCGAGACGAGGAAGGACTGGTTGAGAAAGTCTGAATAAACGAGGCACAGTGGCCCAGAGTGTAACCCCAGGACTCTAGGTGAGTAATCAACTCATGGCATCAGTACCTCCTCCTTCACCAGCCAGTCAGGGTCTCTGGGTGACTGACTACACAGGATGGATTCTGGATGAGAGGCACACTCATCCAGTCACTAGCTTGCAGGTGACCAAGTAATAAGAACCACACAGCGCGCGCGCACACACACACACACACACACACACACACATACACACCCCTTTCACGAACAGTGACAGATGAGAACTAAGCCAAACATAATCTGCCTCTGAATTTAGTAAGATTTAAAACAAAGAGTGATCAGAAAATATGCTGAATGTTGCCATTTAAGGGTTTGCCTTTGTTATTTGTGGTGCTAGGGAGTCCAAGGCCTTGGGCATCTCCCCCTGAGCTACACCCCCAGCCCTGAATGTAATTTTTATTTTTGGGGGGGTATTTTAAAAAAGAACTTATTATAATTTAAAAAAAAAAAAAAAACACCCCAAGAATAATGGAATAAGTGTGTTCAAAACAAAGGGGAGAATTTGAAGGGGAGCTGAAATTTAAGGCAGTAGTCCAGAAGGCCTAGAAACAAGCTAGAAGACCTCATATAGGCTTGAAATTAGAGCTAACAAACACCTGTGAGGATGAGTATGGGTGAACTGGCAGAGGAAGGACTGGCTGAGAAAGTCTGAATAAACCAGTCGCCGACACCTGTAATCCTAGGACTCTAGGAGGCTGAGACAGGATAACAAGTTTGAGCCTGGGCAACTTAGTAAGCTCCTGTCTCAAAATTAAAAAAAAAAAAATAAAGAGTTGGGAGTATAGCTCTGTGTGAATGTCTGGATTTCAGCTCTCAGTATTTCATTTTAAAAAGTCTGAATTAAGCACCACTTGGACCTCCAAGTCCCTTCTCCTACCTTGGCAAATAAGCAAAGCTTCACTTTTGGAGCAAATCCACTAAGATGGCCTGGCACGCCATGCAGCTGTGGGCAGAAGTAAGCTGCAGTGTGGGCTTCCAGTGACCTTCCTCGTTCAGCTTCCACAAGCGGTCCCCATGTGTACACCTGAGGGGATGCATTTAAAGAGAAAAGATAGTGACATCTTCCAGGCCTCAAGGATTACTCCACAGTGCACCCTAAAGCCTAAGAAACAATGTGAGCCCTCCCCATTCTTTCTTGTTTTCTGGTTTTTGTTTTGTACCAGAGATTAAACTCTTAATGTTGTGCTTACCAGGTAGGCGTTTATGCCATGGTGCTAAACCCCCTCCCTATCCTTAATGCCCTGCTCTTTCCCTTTTCAACAAGGGAGGAGGAACTTATGGTAGAAAGGGTAAAACGGGTATGCAGACAGAGATCCAGGCCAGGTCTGAAGACAGAATTACATGGTGAATTTGAAACTAATGACACTTTTTCCCACTCATCTCCCAGATGCGCAGCAGTCTACTAACAGATGATTGAAGACTCTTCTGTAGAATCTGATCACTCCATTAGAAAAATTCATAAAGACAGATAATTGCCAAAAAATGGCCCAACAAGGCCCACTTCACCAGGCACCTAAAGCTAGCATCCCATTAGGTGTTTAGAATTCTAAAGCAGCTTCTCAAGTCTGCTAATCAGTTACCACTCGTCTTTCCTGCTTCCCAGCTTCCAGAATTTGGTTGTTATCTACTTTCCTCTTATTCTTCATCATCTTCAGGCTTTTGGGAAAATGAAGACAGGGTCTCACTGTGTAGTTCAGGCTTGCCTAGAACTCACAGTGACCTTTCCACCTGAGCCTCCCAAGTGCTAGGATTTCATGTGTGCACTACCACACCTGGCTTCCTCTACTATTTTAATGGAGTCTTGAGGCTAGTGTGGACTTACATGCTTTAGTTCAATATATCCTTAAATAGGCGCTGGGGATTTAGCTCAGTGGCATAAGAACCTGCCTTGCAAGCAGGCGGTCATGAGTTCAATCCCCGGTACCGATAAAAATGAAAAAGACAAAAAAAAAAAAAAAAAAATATCCTTAAATACTGCTGAATTTAAAAACAAAAAGTCAAGTTAGGGCTGGGGATGCAGCTTAGTAACACAGTGACTGCATGGCAAGCACAAGGCCCTAAGTTTAACTCCTAGTACCAAAACAAAAAAAAAAGGTCACATTACTAAATAATATATACAAGCCCATTTTAAGGAAAAAATATTACATATACATATGAAAAATTGTCTAAAAAGTATGTATAGCTAGCTGTTAAAAGAGTAACCAAACTACCCAAAGCAACCTATGGACTTGCAATGAAATGACAAGGTGCTATGGATTACATCTAGATGTTCCTCCAAAGCCTCATGTTCTTACAGGTGGGGCTCTGGGTAGCTGACTGGATCTTGGGAGCAACCTATTCATCGGTGCATTAGTTCACCAATAAGTTTACAGCTAAATGCGATGTTGGGAGGTAGGTCTGGCCAGAGGTGGGTCACTGAGGGCCTGGCCTGGAAGGGCTGAGCTCCTCCTCCTCCCATGGTCCGCTCTGCTTCCTATCTGCCATGGTGCCCTGTCTCGGAACCAGTTGATTACGGACTAGTGATTATGGACTAGAACAGTGATGGCAAACCTTTTAGAGTTGAATGCCCAAACTGCAACCTAAAACCCACTTATTTGTTGCAAACTATCAACATTACACTTAAGTACTGTACTGAAGTTTTAGTTTAGAATAAAACTCAAACATTTAACATCTTTTGTCTTAAAAGAAAAATGCAACAGACATTTCATTGATAAAAACAGCTTCTTTTTTTTTTTGTCTTTTTTATTTTTTATTGGTACCGGGGATCGAACTCTCGACTTCCTGTTTGCAAGGCAGGCACTTACGCCGCTGAGCTAAATCCCCAGCCCAAAAACAGCTTTTTATTGAAAGGCAAAATTTTGCATTTGAGGGGCTTTTGCACAATTAATGGGATCTTTGCTATTGTTTGCATGCTGATAATCTGTTAAACTTTGGTTGAGATGACTTGGCTTGAGAACCAACAGAGAGGTCTCTGCACGGCCACTCAGCACTTATGCTATAGGTCCACCACCACTGGACTAGAACCTGAACAAACCGAGTCAATTGTGGGTGTTAGGTATTGTGTCATGGCGAAAAAAAAAAAAAAGAACCTAAGACACAAGGGCATCACAGGATATTGTGAACTAGAGGAATAATAAATAAGGAAGGTGATATTCCACATCTGTCAAACATTTGGTACAGGTGGGCATAGTAGCACATGCCTATAATCCCAGTACTGTGGTAAGCTGAAGCATGAGGATCACAACTTTGAACCCAGCCTGAGGAACTTAGTAAAACCTTGCCTTAAAAAAAAAAAAAAAAAAAAGAGGCCATTTACAGACTGCAGGAAGGTGGGGGATAAAACCAGGCCTCACCAGGAGGTGACCCTGCCTGGAAATCAGCGCCATACGCAGGCCAATGCCAGAGTAGGAACTGCCAGCCAGACCCAAGCCTCTCTCTGTGAGTCAGCATCTTTCACAGACTGCAGAGGGAGAGAACCAGGCCTCACCAGGAGGTGATCCCCACCTAGAAACCGTGTAATTTTCATTGTTTTGTTGGGTTAGGTTTTATTCTCTTTTGTTTTGTTTGATTATGTTAAATCTGATGGCATGAGCAGTTATTTAAAAGACAGCAAGACATATTATGGCCATTAATTTGGACTTACTATTGGCTTCTTTTGAAGTACTTTATTGCATTGATCATTTTGTTATTGTTTCTATTCTATTCTGTTATTAGATTTTTACTATGTCTGAAGGTCTCTGCAGCTATTTTGAAGACAACAAAAGGCATTATGGTAACTACTGTTGATTTTGTAAGTCCTGTCACTTATACTAGTTTATTTTGATTGGCTTTATTCTATTTTCCTTGTTTTATCCTCTTTTTAAAAAAAGAAATAAAGAAAAAATAAAAATTAAAAGAAAAAGAGAAAACAGCTAGAAATGTAGCCCAGTGTGAAAGACCTAAATTCAAACCCAAATTTAAAAAAGATCATAAATTCTAGTACAGCCTAAATAACTTAGTGACTTAACAAGATAATCATAAGATTTTTTAAAAATTGGCTAGAGATGTAGCTCAGTACAAAAGCCCCAGGTTCAATTCCTCAGGAGGAAAAGAGAGGAAGGGAAGGGGACAGAGGAAAGGAGGGAGAAAGCAAACAAGCCAGTGACAGACAGACAGACAAGACATATACACACACACATACACACAACCAGACAGCTGAATATGTTGGTGTCTGCCTGGAGTCAGTCCCTGACCTACAAATATTGGAGTTTGCAAACTTTCACAGGTATACTGTGTAAGACTCACTTTGTTGGGGCTGGAGATTTAGCTCAGCGGCATAAGTACCTGCCTTGCAAGCAGGCGGTCGTGAGTTCAATCCCCGGTACCGATATCGATAAAAAAGAAAAAGATTAAAAAAAAAAAAGACTCACTTTGTTGGCTTACAAATGAATCCAACTTACAAACAATTCTCCCAGAATAGAACTCTGTTGCTAAGTCAGGGACTTACTGTAATTCCAGCGCTCACCAGAAAGGTAAGAGGACTGTGAGTTTAAATCTAGCCTGTAGTAAGTTACAGTCCAGCTTAGACTTAATAGTGGAAACCTGTTTCACTCAAAGGGGCAATCAGGAGAGAGAGAGACAAAAATAGTGCAGGGATGTGGCCCAGTAGAGAGTGCTTGCAAGGCATTCATGAAACCCTGAGTTTATGCCTCAGATTAGTATATGCCTCAAAAAGAAAAATGGTAAACAAATCAAACATGTTTTTTGGTGGTATGCATCATCAGTGATACTGCACTATGGAAGTATACATCTATTAAATTTTCTGTTCAATAAATACTGGAATTTCTACTACTAGAAGGGCACCAATCTTTCAAAGAATTCAGTAGGGTGACTCACTTGCCAACTAGTATTAACAAATGTGACACACAAAAAAAGGTAAAATTCAGAGAATCATGGAAATAACTTGCAAGACAGAAAAGTCATCTTCCACCTAATTATTTTTCAACTGAGACAAAAAATGAAACAGTTATTAGGCAAAAGGAAAAGGCCGGGTGTGGTGGTACACGTCTGTAATCTTTATACTCTGGGAGACTAAAACCAGAGGATCAAAAGTTCAAGCCCAGCCCTGGCAACTTAGCAAAACTGCTTCAAAACAAAAATAAAACAGGTTGGGGATAGAATTCAGTAGCCCATGGGTTCAACCCACAGTGCACCAAAAGGGGCTGGGGGGACCTTCAGCATCTCTTAAGAGGAGCTGCTACTTCACATAAGGGTGAAAGAAAGGACTGAAAAATAGGACTATCAGATCTGATTTGTATTCTTGAAGAGGCAAAAGATAAGAGGCTGCTACACTGTACCAGCAGGGGCAACTAAGTGTCTGGGAGACTCAAAAGGACTGGGGCATAGCTCAGCAGCAAGGCCCAGGCTTCAGGCCCCCTCCCACCCCAGCCCCACTGAGGGGAGGAGGGAGAGAGAGGGACCACACATTGGTAGAATGTAGCAGATCAGTCTTTTTTTTGGTGGGGGGGGGGGGCCTTTTTCCTTTTTATCGGTACTGGGGATTGAACTCACGACTGCCTGCTTACAAGGCAGGCGCTTATGCCGCTGAGCTAAATCTCCAGCCCCAGATCAATCTATCTTAACAACTGCCAGTCCTTAGAAAGGTCTACATGAAAAAAAGCCTATGAAAGTGGTACCATTCATATGGAATACAAATGGAGAAAGATTGTGGGAAAAGGGTATACTGTTGGACAGATAGTACAACTCTAGTTAACAGATGGTTACGGCCACCACAGAAGCATAAAGCCCAGTTCACAAGCTAAGCTCCGTAAGATGCTGCCTAATACTTCAAAATAAGTAGTCCCATATACCACAATGGAGAGAAGCGGGGGAAAACCTGTCTATACAACCCTGGATTTTCAATGTACCAGAACTGCAAATATTCTTAAATCTGAATTTTCCAGTTTTTGAAAGCTTAGCATTAAAACACTGATTTACACAACAATGAAATAATACTTATGAATTCTACCAACACTTGATAATAAGTTTATTGTTTTTTTCATAAGAAGTTTTAGTGTTCTTTCACCAAAAAGTCACCTCTTCAAGTGTTAAGTTCAACTGCTTAAACTACAAAAAACAGAATTACACAGAGTTCTTACCTGAATGGGCCACCGCTACTTCCGCCTACTTTCTGGGCTCAAAACACTGTAAAGCTTGAAGCTTTGATTCAAGCAGACACTTAAGGGAAGGAAGAGAAAGAGGAAACTATAAAGGAAAACAAACATCTCTATGGGACTGTTAAACTAAATGTGAAACCTCATCCACAACTCTGTAAATCATGTGCGTCACCTGGGGGGAGGTTTTTGGTTTTGGTTTTGAACCCAAGGCCTCATTAGGAGGCAAACTCTTTAATAATGCAGTACACCCTGAGCCCTTGAGAAACTTTAAACACACACACACACACACACACACACACACACACACACACAAATACCCACCTGACGCAGAGTCCAGGCATTTGGGGTTCTGCTTTCTTTGACTTGGGGCCTCGCTAGCTTCAAGCACTCTTAAGTAGCTAGAGCTCTAGTCACTGCACCAACCTGTTTTATTTTGATTACCCAATTGATTCTAATGCCAGTCAGGTCTCAGGGGATATGGATTAGGTGACCCAGAAAGTGATATACATAAATTGGACAATTCTTTGTTAAACATATTAAAGATTGCACTTAACTACATGCTGCTCTGCAGCCATCATCACGCCTCACAGAGGCAGAGCACACCCTTCTTCAGCCCAGAAGAGCAGGTTCTATTTAAGTCACTGCATCTCCCTCTGGCTGCTACTGGACCCACACTTCTTTACCTCGGGGTCAATTACACTGCAGAGTGGTAAATATTCACTCTCCATTACAGAGAAAAGTAACTGCTCAAATTAGAACTATAATATCCAGTTAAAGAATTCCAGCTCCTGCATTTTCTCTCTGCACGTTTTCGTTTTTCTTTGTCTATCTTGAGTACAGAGCAAAACTGACTCAAATCGTCCTTCATTGAGTTTTATCAATAAACACGAGACACCTGGATGACTAGGTGCATGAAAGACCAATAGGGAGGAGATCACCCAAATGCTGGGATTACAGGTGCACTCCCTGCCCAGCGTTTCTGTGTACTTTCAATGAATGTGAAATGTGTTAGAAGCAGAGAGAGGTCTCAAAAATAAGCACAGAGAATTCCTTCTAAAATAAGCCGTGGTGTAAATGAAACTCCTCCCAGCTTGTCTCCCAAGAATGGCTTTCTGGGCATGTGTAAAGAGCAAAGTGGTTTAAATCATTCCTCACTGATTATATTTTATCAATAAGTATGAGGCATCTGGGTGACTAGGAGCGTCTGATTTCTTCCTAAAGCTGCCCATCCAAAGCACAGACAGTTAAAATCCTGGTGAGGAACCCCTTCTCCACATCAAGCTTATATATTTTGGAGAAGCAAAAAGCCATAATTAAGAACTTATCGTCAAATATCCTTGATCTCTTTAACGTACTTTAACCAGATCCCCAAATCATATCATAAAATTCTGCCAACTATTTTATGTACGTATAAGAAAACTCTTCACTTTACAGTCAAGAATTAAAAATACTAGTACCAATTAGTAGGCTAAGATTTCAACTCTGCTGTTTCTAAGTCCCAAACTCATCTTCTCCACACTGTTTGTGCCGAAAAAGGATGGCCGTACAGAAGGGGTACCACGTAGCAAAGACAAGAGGAAAAAGCCGCTTTCCAGCACAGTAATGTCCCCCGAGAAAGGGTCCCATGAGCGTTGGGAAGGAACCGAGGCTGAACAATCCGGTCACATAGAAGCCCTCGATTTGCAAGGCGAAAGGCGCCGAGGCCTTGACCTGCACTGTCCCTCGCTAAACCGCCCCGGGTTTCGGGAGCGGCGGCCGCAGGCGCCAGCTTTCCCCGAGCCTGCGTCGCAGAGGTCCGGCTGTAGAGAAAAAAGAGAGGGCAGCGGTCCCTCAGGACAACCGTCTCCGGCGTCCCCACCAGCCAAAGCGCGCCCGAAGAGAGGCTTCTCCCGCGCCTCGGGGTGGGGGAGACACCGCCCGAGGCGGCCGAGCCGGGCCGCTGAGCTGGCGCGCCACGAATGGCCGGTTGGGACCCCGGTCCGCCAGTCATTTGCCACGGAACTGCCCGAGCTCTCGCTTACCTGAGCCCCTCACTCCTGGCATCTACTCCGCCGCAGGCCTAGGCTCCGCAGGAGCCGGGACTGCGGCCTCGCCGACGCCAGCGCGGAGGGAAGAGCAGGCAGTTAGGAGCGGTCTGGCCTGCTCGCGGTAACCACGGCCGCACAGTTCTACAGCGCCGCGGCGCAGAGTTGTAGGCGCTCACTTATGGCGTCACCACCTCCTGCGCTTCCGCCTCGCGGGGGCGTGGCACCGCCCGGCTTCCGTCCGGCTCCGCCCGGAGCCTGGGCTCCTCTGCTACGGGCTGAACGGGCGCGAGGTGGCGGAAGGTCCGCGCCGCGCGTTTGCGAATGAATCTGTGCGACCTCTTTTCAAGTTCCTGCCGCGAGGGGCCGCCACGCACTGCAGCTGGTATACGGCCCCGCCCTGCACTGAGCTCTATCTTTTTGCCATAAGCAAAGAATCACTGTCCTATTCTGAACTGCGCTTTTGAGGCCTGGCTTAAGCTTTTTCACCTCCGGTTTCCATGTTCATCTTAACCCGTGGGTATTGTGATTCACTTTTGGTATTGTTTCGATACTGAGGGTGGAACCCAGGGCATTCGCACCGAGCTACCCCTGTTGTTTTTTGAAACAGGGTCTCTCTGTATAATTCATGCCAGAGGTCCTCTTATTCGGAGACAAGATGTCGCAGTTGCCCAGACCGGGCTCCAAATTTTGAGCCCTCTTGCCTCTGCCTTCCACAGTGCAGGGCAGATGGGTGTGCGCCAGCGCTCTTGGCTGTCATTTGCGTCAGTCCTGTCACCGAGCTGCCCAGTTGAATATTTTCCAAGGAGAATCGAGTCTAGTTTTAGTCAATTGTTGCACCAGCTCTGAACGATTACTGACTTACCGGGGCCTTAGGAAGAAGGCTGTAGTAAATTTTCAGTTCTCTTTCTGGTAGAGGAAAGTAACTTCAGCCTTATATGTTGATCCACTAGTCATTCAATAACATTTTTAAAATGTGAATATGCAAGACCTCAGTCTAATTGTAGAGAGACATAATAATCCAGTGTCCCAACAGGTAAAATATATAGTAACACTATGATGGAAGATGAAGTTGGTTTTAGACATTTGGTTTCTAGCAATAAAGTGGAGATAAATACAATGAGTTACTATGAGTTGCCTCAGGTATAGGCAATAAAGATGTGTACTCAAGGGGCTGGGGATTTAGCTCAGCAGCGTAAGCGTCTGCCTTGCAAGCGGGCAGTTGTGAGTTTGATCCCCGGTACCTACTTAAAAAAAAAAAAAAAAAAAAAGATGTGTCCCTACTGTAGAGAAGCTAAAGACAGGCTGGGGGTGTTTATCAGTGGGAACGAGGTAGTGTATAAGAAAGAAAAGTATGGGGGCTAGGGATTTAGCTCAGCGGCATAAGCGCCTGCCTTGCAAGCAGGCAGTCCTGAGTTCGATCCCTGGTACCGATAAAAAACGAAAAAGACCAAAAAAAAAAAAAAAAAGAAAAGAAAGAAAAGTATGCTGGGTGTGGTGGTGAACACCTGTAATCTCAAGTCAATAGACTCCATAGTGGTGAGTTCAATGTCGAGCTGGACTACCAATGAGACTGTCTCAAAAAACCATGTACAAGGGGCCAAGGGGCCAGCCTAAGTGTCTGCCTGGCAAGTGCAAGGTCCTGTGATTCAAAACCCACGAACGAGAGAGACACAAGAAATACTGCCTGTGAGACAAGTGACCACCTTTACCTCTCATTGACATCCTGAAATGCTAAAAGCTTACCCTGTAAGGGAGCGATTAGATCCTCTTTCCAGCAGGGAGCTAGAGGGTGTAGGTCACTAGTAGAGTGCTTGCCTTCCATGCACTGAGACCCACAGTTTGATTCCCAACACTACAAAACAGTCAGTAACAACTACAAGCTGATTTGCTTTTAATTATCATGTGTCAATGCTAAACAACAGTATGGTTCTTTCCAAACTAAAACTTTCTATAGTCTTATTTCTACACAATTAAAATACCTTCAAATTGGCATATTCCCTCAGTTTAAATCTTTTGAAATTTCCAATTCCAGCCAACATGAAATAACAGAAGTTACATTTACCCTCCTGTCACCAGAGTTTAGAGCAAAAGCCCTAGCTCCAAGGGTCTCACAATGCCAATCAAGGAGACTAGGAGTCGAAGGCAAGAAAGGTCTTTAATTAGTATAGCTGCACCAGGAAGACACAGAGGTTCAAGATCCATCTTTAAGCAAGGCATGGGGTACATGCGTGTAATCCCAGCACCCTGGGAGGCTGAGGCAGGATAGGAACAATTTAGCAAGACTTTCTCAGAAAGGGATATAGCTCAGTGTGGGCTCAGTTCCCATTCTCTGTCCCCCCAAATCTGTCTTCAAGGGGCTAAAAGCTGCTTGGGGTTTCATGGGAAAAGGGAGACAAAAGCAGGAGTTGGAGTCTGCATAGCTGAAAGCTAGGTAATCCTGGTCAAGCACTGGGCAGCTGATGTCTCAGACCGGACTTCTGAGATTTCGGGGCCACGACCATTGCCTGGAGGTGACTTGGTTCCTAGGAGGCTCCAACTAGGAGGAGAGACTCAGTTCCTACCAGGGAGTGACTGTGCCCACTGGGGCACAGTGCCCTCATCATGGGGTGTGAAGGCTTCACTTTTCCTGGAATCTGAAGTGGCTGCAGGTTTAAAACCATGCCTGGAGACTTTGGGGCATCACTTCAGGGGATCTGGAACTGGATATTGTTAAGTAAACGCTGGCAACTGGATGTCCCTACAAATCCTGAAAATTATTATCTTAATGTTCTCAGACTTGAGAGGGAGGAGATAAGGCTGGTGAATTTAGGGTTAAGAAACCTCGTATTACCAGTTTTTAGGCAGACACCCTGTGATTTACATGCCTTTATGCAGAGCTGAGCAGATCTAACCCAAACTGCCTTATGTATAATTAAGAATCACAGACTCCGCATTTATTTTTCCAGGAGTGGAGTGGAGGTCAGTCTTTGGCAGGGCTGTACCATTTCATTTTGTAACAGTAATAACTTTGTTTTGGTACTGGGAATTGAACTCATGACCTCGCACTTGTGAGGCAGGCACTTAAGCCACTGAGCTAAATCCCTGGCAACATTAATAACTTTTATTAAAAATGTTTTACTAGGACTAGAGACAACCCAGATACTGAGGAAATTTTTTAGCCATGCTAAGATGATTTGAATTTATTTGTATCTGAAAGGTCATTCAGAGCTAGGGACACAGCTCAAGGGTAAAGCATGGGCCTAGCATGCATTTCTGATACATAATGTAAAAAACAAAGAAAAAAGAAAAAGGTCGTTCTGACAGCAGTGTGGTGAATAAAGCTCTAATTTAGCCTAAATAGCTAAGCCTATAATTCCCAGCACTCAGAAGGCTGAGGCAAAGGGGTCTCTGAGTTCATCATGGGCTATATAGTGAGTTCAAGGCTAGCCTGAACTACATAGGGGGATCCTGTCTCAAGAAAATAAAACATTTTAAAAATCTGCCTAAAATGCCCAGGGCCTGAAGCCCAGGACAGAATGGAGAAACGTGTTATTACTAAGAGGCAGACCTACCTGACACAGCCCAGGACACGTCCCCAGGGGCGAAGGCAGTGTTAGCTGCTGAGTTTCCAGTAGAGGAGGGGATGCAAGACGGAGGAGGGTGGTGCAGAGATGAGCTGTGCACTGTGGTTTGAGGGACCTATGTGATGTCTAGGTCTGGAGTGCAACCAAGGTGGGTTTTTGGTTTGTTTAGTGACACAGGGGACTGAGCCCCTCAGGACCTGGTGCAGGCTGGGTAAATGCTCTACTACTGAGCTACATCCCCAGCCTTCTACTTGTAGCAGGATCTTGCCAGGTTGTCCAGGATGGACTTAAACTTGTGTTCCTCCTATAGAAGAGAAAGAATTTGCGACCCTCCTGCCTCAGTTCCCAAGTGATGGTGAGTGTGCACCGCCACACACGACTGAAAGGTGTTGATGAAGCTGTCTGGAAGTTGCCAAGTGACAGACAAAAGTCATGTGGGAAGTCTGGGCAATTCGCCTGGGAACAGCACACTGGGGGCCTTCCGAGAGGTACCCAAGGAAAGCTCAGAGAGAATGGTGCCCCTGAGATCTAGGGGCTCATTTCAAGGAGATAGATGAACAGCACTGAAGGACAGAAGTCTTATCAGGACTGAAGATGGCCCACTGAATTAACCACGAAGTCAGTGGTGACTGTCAGTGCACACCCATCAGCCTAGCACTCTGGAAAGCTGAGGCAGGAGGATTGACAAGTTTGAGCCCAATCTAAGCAATTTAGTAAGAGCCTGGCTTAAAATTGAAAAAATAAAAGAGCAGGTGTAGGGGGCTGGGGATTTAGCTCAGCGGCATAAGCACCTGCCTTGCAAGCAGGCAGTCGTGAGTTCGATCCCTGGTACCAATAAAAACGAAAAAGACCAAAAAAAAAAAAAAAAAAAAAAAAAAAAAACAAAAAAAAAAACAAAAAAAACAGGTGTGTAGCGGCTGGGGATGACACAGCTCAGGGTGAAAGCTCTGGGTTCAACCCCCACTACTGTGTGGGGAAAAAAAAGCACTGGTGCTGTTGGCTAGTGATGGTTCACTGCCATGTTCCGGCAGGATGAGGGATACACTAGGTGTAATCTTTTTTTTTTTTTTTTTATCTTTTTCATTTTTATCGGTACCAGGGATCGAACTCACGACCGCCTGCTTGCAAGGCAGGTGCTTATGCCGAGCTAAATCCCCAGCCCTTAATCTCCTTTTTTTTTTTTAACTTTTTATCGGTACCAGGGATTGAACTCACGACTGCCTGCTTGCAAGGCAGGTGTTTATGCCGCTGAGCTAAATTCCCAGCCCCAGTAATCGCCTATTTCTTAAGTGCAGTTGAGAAAAGCCCAAGGAAGGTGGTGTGCAAGGGGAGACTTGCACACGTGATTCTGTCATGGCGGGGGCTGGGCTGAAGCTGAGGGTCAGCGCAGGTGCAGCCTCGCTATGGTGAGCAGGAGGGCCGAGGACCTGGGAAGGAGGGATGTGGAGAACGGCTGCCAAAAGGGGAAACATCTCCCACCCAGACAAGCTTGCAAAGACAGAAGTCCAAACAGGCTTTACTTTTTTAAAAAATTGTTTTGTTGTGATAAAGGCTTTATTATTGTAGTCCAGGCTAGCTGACAACCCCCTATGTAACCCCACCTGGCCTCAGATGAGTGATCGTCCTGCTTCAGCCTCCCCCAAGTGCTAGGGAACCCAGGATACTCGGGCAGTAGAGCAGAAGAAAGTAGTGTTGAAATCAAGGGACACTGAATTAGGAGTTGTGAAATGGCTTTGGAGAAAAGGAAGAGGAAACAAAACCACTGACCGCTGGATGGCACCAGGAGCCCAGCTCAGGACCGAGATGCTGACAGCATGCACTGGTGTTACTGCAGAACCAGCAAGTGTCTAACGTATTCATTGAACATCCTGAATTTCGTATCTTGGTTTCCTGAGACACTGTGTAGTTCAGGCTGGTCTTGAAACCACTATGCAGCCCAGCCTGGTCTCAAACTCATGGCAATCCTCCTGCTTCAGCCTCCTGAGTACATCACTGAACATCTTAGTGTGTATGTGAATGCCAAAACGTAAGGAAACCCCCCCTCCAAAACAACCACAAAAGACCTTTTATGACCTCACTTCCAGACTTTTATGTTAAAGTCATCCTTGGAGACTTTGAGGCCTTGGAAAAACTCCATTTCTAACTCAAGATGTAGCTCAATGCACTGTACTTGCTCTAGCACTTGGGAGGCTCAAACAGAGAACTGAGGTTGAGGCCATTCCAGACTAGAGTGAAGCCCTTTCTCAAAGCAAAAAAAAAAGAAAAAGAAAGCTTCTGTTGCTTAAATCACCATCTATGGCATTTTGGGGGGAAGCCTAAACTAAAACACCACCTTTTTTTTTTTTTTTTCGTGGTACCAGGAAGCAAATTCACAACCTTGTGCTTGCCAGGCAGGCACTTATGCCACAGAGCTAAATCTTTGACACCCCCCCACCGTCCTTTTAGACACAGTGTTTTGTTTTTGTTTTTTTTTGTCTTTTTCCTTTTTATCGGTTCCGGGGATTGAACTCACGACTGCCTGCTTGCAAGGCAGGCGCTTATGCCGCTGAGCTAAATCCCCAGCCCCAGTGTTTTGTTAAACTGCTCAGGCTGGGCTCAAACTTGGAATTCTCCTGCCTCAGCATCCCAAAGTGGAGCTAAGATTACAGTATGCATACCAAGGAAACATCTTTCTAATTAACACAACAGGAAATACTACACACACACACACACACACACACACACTCTTTTCTCTTTTTTTCTTCCTTTCCCCTGGTACTGGGGATCAAACTCAAGGCCTTTAACATGCTAGGCATACTTTGAGTTTATGAAGAAGGCCATAGAAAGGAAACTCAGAAAGCAAGAACAAGCTATAAAATATGATAGTCAATATATGTTCAAAACAGAACAGACAGAAATGTTTAAGAAAACCTTCCTAGAAAGATAAAAACAAAAGGCAAAGTGTTGAAAATGAGAGCATCATAGCACTGCCTGGCAAGTACAAGATCTTGAGATTTGATTCTCAGTACCGGAAAAGAGAAGACTGGGCTGGTGGTGCACACCTATAATTCCAACACTTGGGAGGCTGAAGCAGGAGGATCACAGAGAGTTTGAGACCAGCCTCGGCTACAGTGTGTTCAAGGCTGGCCTGAACTACATAGTGAGATTCTGTCTCTAAAAAAACAAAGCAAGCAAGCAAGAAGGATAAGAAATAAAGATTAATGTGAGAATTCCAGAAAGAAACACCAGGGGAGGAGCTAAGAGACAATTTTCGAAGAAATGTAGTATCGCACAACTAAAGGTACCCAGGGCAACATTGTAGGATAAAAGGTCCAGGGAGGTAGAAAAATGGGCCCTAAATCAAGATCTACCAGGACGTTACAGCTTGTGTCTAGTTGTCCCCCGCAAAGCCTCGTACACTCATAGCAGGGAGTTTTGGGAAGTGGCTGTGTGTGAGGCTGGGATTCAGGGTGCGTGGTTACTGCATTAGTCCACTGACGGCTTAGCAGTGCCGGCTATAGTGATGGGAAGGCCCCCCTGGGTGTGGGCAGCCTGAAAGGGGCACAAAGGAGGGAAGCAGGCCTTTCTGCTGCTGCTTGGCCACTCTGCTGCCCTACCATGAACTGTTTCTCCTCTACCCTGCCACCCTGCCTTGAAGCCAGCTATGAATTAAAACCTCTAAAAACTGGGAGCTGGGGCCTGGGGATTTAGCTCAGCGGCATAAGCGCCTGCCTTGCAAGGAGGCAGTCGTGAGTTCAATCCCTGGTACTGATAAAAAGGAAAAAGACAAAAAAAAAAAAAAAAAAAAAAAAAAAAAAAACACTGAGAGCTGATGTGTTCGCTTCAGGAGCACAATACTAACAAAACTGGGAGCTGAAATAAACCTTGTGTCCTTTAACTCATGTTAGGTATTTTGTCTTAACAATGAAAAAAGTGGGATTTAGCTCAGTGGTATTAGCACAGATAGAAACGTTTAAGCACGTGATCATGAATCTGATCCCAGGTACAAAAAAATTAAATAACACAATGAAAAAAGTAACCAAGACACAGGAGTAAAAGGCTCTGGGACCAGAAAGCATTGAGCTCAACATTCCCAAAGGTGGTTCCAATCTGTATAATCAGTTACATGCACGGTGTTTACATACACGCAGTCTTCACATTTCTACTCCCCCAGTCCTGCACCTTGTTCTCAGGAAGCACACTTCTCTAAAACAGGGACTAAACCAAGCAAGACATTCAGTGGTCAGGAAACAAAGAATACAACTCAGGAGACAGATAAGCCCAGCCTCAGATACGGAGGTCAACGGCCTGGAGAGAGACAGCCTGACCTGCAGCCCCAGCCCAACTCTAGGACACCCCCGGCCCCCACACCCAGCTGTTACCAGCGGAGTTGATTAACTGCACAGGAAATACTCTTACAGGGTTTTTGCATTTTTGTAGTGAGTTTTGGAAAATGTGCTGAGAGGAATACAGAAACTTGCAAAGAAAACCAAACAATGAGAAAATCAGCAAGAAAAAGCAAAGAGTTATTCGACAAGTGACTTGCAAGGGTATAGCCTGGGGACTACTATAACAAACTGCTCCCATCTTCAAGGAGAGGTTAGAAGGAGGGCACACTGAGCCAGACAACCCTAACACAAGGACGTCTGAGGCATTTTTCCTTCACTGTTCCACTCCTGAATAATTACCATCAAAATAATTCTGTAATCTTTTTTTTTTTTTTTTGTCTTTTTCGTTTTTATCGGTACCAGGGATCGAACTGATGACTGCCTGCTTGCAAGGCAGGCGCTTATGCCACTGTGCTAAATCCCCAGCCCCTAATTCTGTAATCTTAAATCACAAACATTAAAGGACTCTACAACCCAGCACACTGAGCCATAGAAACTTAAACTGCTCCCGGCACTCACCCAGGCATTTTGGAAACTTTCTTAAGCAAATGCTTTGCTGTAATTAAAAAACTATAAGCCAGATATGGTGGTGCATGTGTGTGGTCCCAGCTGCTGGAGAGGCTGAAGGTGGGAGGATCACGAGTCAAGTGTCCAAGGCCAGACTCAGCAAGAGTGCAATTATGTGCGTGCTACATAATAAAACAGTATATAATTATTTACGTTAGAACAGGACTAGGCAGCTTAACAGTTTACATCCTACATTCTCATCCCAGCTTAAAACTATATAATAAAGTGATGTCTCAAAGTATTATGTACTCCATAAAAAATTATTACTTTGGTATGAGTCTCTCTAGGTGGCCCAGGCTGCCTCAAACTTCTGATCCTCCTGCCTCAGCCTCTCAGGTGGGAATAGAAGTGAGCGCCACTGTGCCCAGCTCAAGCTCTGTACTCCAAAGGACTTCCTGGCACAGTGAATGCAGAAATTTTGGCTAGATTCCTATTACACTGGCCAGATGAGAATTAGTTACTGAAGTGTTCAAATCGAAGTATTTCCCTCGACCTGAGAGCCAGGAGTATTTGTTAGTTTGTTTTGGTTTTTTGTCTTTTTGAGACAGGGTCTTGCTGCCATTGAGCTCACTCTGTAGCCCAGACTGGTCTTGAAGTTGCAATGATCCTCCTGCTTCAGCCTCCAAGTGCTGGAATTGCAGGCATGCACCACCACACCTGGCTTGTCAGAAGTTTATTCAGAACCAGGCACAGTGGTGCACAACTGAATGCCAATACACTGCAAGGCTGAGGCAGACACCAGTTCTAGTGCAGCCGGGACAACTTGGTGACTTAGCAAGACCCTGTCTCAAAATTTAAATGGGTTAAGGATGTAGTTAAAGAAAATAAAGAAACTAAAATGCAAAACAGGAAGCCTCGTTTTCTACCCACAACTTCTTAGAAATCTTCTAATGGTAATACATTCAAAATAGCACCTTGACCCCATTTTTTTTTTTTTTTGGCGGTACCGGAGATCGAACTCGTGACCTCGTGCTTGCCAGGCAGGCAAACGCTTATGCTGCTGAGTTAAATCCCCAGCCCCAACCCTGACCCCATTTTTAAAACATTCTTTAAAATTCTGTATGCGAGGCTGGTCCGAGTGCAGTGGTGTTTACAACTAATTGATCACAACCAGTTACAGATTTCTTTGTTCCTTCTCCACTCCCACTGCTTCACTTGACTAGCCTAAAAAAAAAAGGAAAAATAAATAAATAAAATAAAATTCTGCATGCGCTTTGAAACCCTATTACCCTTTTCATGGTTTTTTGCTTATTTGTTCTTGGTATGGGAATTGAACTTAGGACCTTGTGCTTACCAGGCAAGCACTTATGCCACAGAGCTGCTGCTTATCCTCAGCCCTATTAAAAAAAAAATACCAGGTACCAGGAATTCAACTCACTACCTTATGCATGCTGTTCTGTTTTTTTGAGGTAAGGTCTCGCTGTATAACTCAGGCTGGTCTTGAACTCACTGTGTAGCCCAGGCTGGCCTCACACTCATGGTGATCCTCCTGACTTAGTCTCCCCAGTGCTGGAATTATAGGCATGCACCACCACGCCCAGCTCTCTTACCCTTTTGAAACATCTATGCGTTTAGGCTATTCTGATCATAAGAAAAATAGAAGTTTAGGAAAAGTAAAAATAAACATTAAAAAAGTTTATTTCTAGCCCTGAAGAACAAAATTATTGAATGAAGCCATCAAATACAGCAGTTAATGTTAATGTAACAATTAAATAATTGAATGGAATTAAAACTAATAGAAGAAAACATAAAATTTGAAAACAAAACAGGCTATTTTAACTGCATTTCTATCTAGCAAAATGGGGTTTTGGGGGAGGTGCGCGGCAACACATTCCAAACAAAGATGCTGAATTAAAATACAATTGTTTCGTAAAGTAGAATGACAAGGCTTATCATACATGTCCTTCTGCCCATCTTCCTGGAATTGTCCTAGCATGGTGTGTGAGAAAGACTTCAGTTCTTTCAAAGCCGGGCCAAAGGCTGACCCAGTGGCTCCAACGGCATGAAACACAGCATCTCAGCTAATGTTGAAGAAATGTGCTGGGCGAGGGAAAAAAGCATGTGTGTGTATTTCTTTCTTGCACACGTGTATGCACATGCTATACAAAAACCAACTTTAACTGCTTAAGTATCTATTGCAGGGGTCACAGAGACAAGGCAGACAACCTGCTTTTTATATTACCAAGAAATTCCACTATAAATTAGTATTTGGTTCTATTTTAGCTATAATCAGCAACACACCCTCATTTAACTGGACATGGGTCTCAATGCATTTGAAAATGTTAGATTCTATAATTAATGCAAATTCTTTTAAGCACCGACTTTTTTTCAGCTTTTACAGTTGCTGCCTGTTCAGATCTAAAGTCAGATCTAAAATTACTCTGGCTAGAACACATTATGTGCAAACAAATGTGGCTTTAAGGGGAGTCTCAAGGAGAAATATTCATAGGTAGGTAGTTTACAACTGCTTGTTATAGGCACAAGTTTAAGACTGGTGGCTACAAGGTAAGTTTTAAGCAGCTTAAGGAAGAGAATTCATGCTTGGTGCCAGGCACTCAACACAAGAAGTCAGAACTTGATAGCCACGTGTCTCAGGCTGCACAACCGCTTTCCTGGTTTACTATTCTAGGCGGGTAGAATGTTCAGTATCTGCACGGTTTCCCAATTTTAACTGTTCCCTAATAGCAGCAAAAGAAACAAGAGCAAAAGATACCTTTAGGACCACCAGAAAGTCTACAAAATAATAAATAAGACCTATACTAATATTGTTTTAATAATACATGAGGACTACTAAGGTAACTTTCAGATTTAAATAGGAATTCTAAAGTGATCATCGAAAGGGTGAATACAAAAGGCAATCATTAAAACACCATCCATCTTGATTCAGATATAACTGTTCTTTCAACATGATCTGAACACTTTAATTTAAAATTAATAAATCACAATTCTGTATTGCTTTTAAGATTATTTTGTTTAAAAACCACACAGTTCAGAATTAACCAAAGTATATTTCTATGACAGGTTAGTTTATCCAGGTAAGTAAAAAATAAACCACAGTGCAGCTCCCTTAACCTAGGAGTCAGGTTTTAATGACGAAGTCCGTTGCCAGCAATGGACACGCAAGTAACCATCAAAGAAGTGGCAAATACAAACCCCAACTGCTTCCATCGGTAGGACCGCACCGTGCAGAGTCCCAGGGAACGCGGGGCATCAGCACATGTCCCCTGGGCCTGGTTGGCGTGCTCAGGATGGACACGCCTTGTTGGGCAGTTGGGAGGCTCAGTCTCCTCATCTGGCTGGCTGCTCTTTCCTGGCAGTGGCTTATTCAGCATCATTGAGCCAGACAACAGCTGACAGTGTGCAAATCCAAAACTCAAGAGGCACCGCAGCTTCCCCCGGAAACCTAACCGCTCGTGTCTGTAACTTAGGGATGGCTGCAGAAGGCCAAATACAGGCCAGAGAAAGGTGAAGTCGAGAACCAAGACTGAAAACAGAGGCAATTAAGTGCTCTAGATTTTAGTTTCACTCGTCTTTGTACTAATTTTTCTGAAAACCTCTACGTATTATCAATAATAAACAGCCATTTCTACTCATACTAGGAGTCTCTTACCACAGATAAGACGGCAAAAACAAACAAAACCTGCTAGTTTTCTCAGTATACTCCAAAATAGCAAAATTATTTTAATTCACAATTTATACTACTGCAGGGTGGCCAGCAGGTATGAAGTTCACCAGGAGAAGACAGTGGGGACAAAATGCCAGAACCAACCACAGATGGCACGTGAGAAGGGACAGTGCTTCCTCCAAAAGCAAAACAATGGCAACAACACAAAAACAGGACAGGAGCAGAAAGGCAAAGAAAACTGGAAGGGGAGCAGAGAAGAGTGGGCACTCTAATAATTAATGCTATAGGTCACAGACCTTTTATTAAATCTCTAAAATAAAAAGTATTACTATCAATAAGAACATTTCATTTTTCTTTTTCCAGTTTTTTTTTTACATGAATACTCTCCACTTAATTTGAAAAAACATAAACAGAAACTAAAATAATGCAACATCGCAAATGACCCATGAAGGGATTTTAATTCCTATGAGTCAAACGCTGGTAATGAGCTAGTAACACTGGAACTTAGTACAAACCCTTACAGTTCACTGATCGTAAGCTGCATGTCTGGAACACTGACATATCTCTCATGATTCTATTTTAGAACTCATCAAGCTTCACGTCTTTACTTTTGTTTTTGCTAGCCCCAAACATTTTTCCTTTTAAAAGGGAAAAGAAAAGAACTTTTCAGTTCTGAAAACTCAATGGTTATTGTACTATTTCCACAGGGAACAGGGGTGTTCATAAGAAGTGAGAGAGGGTTAATCAACGGAAAAAACACCTAACGCTGCAACATATACAGAAACATATTTCTAAGATGAAGGGGAAAGGGCAGGTAGCGGCACCAAACAAAGTCATAAGGCCCAAATTGGAGCAAGAACAAATAACTTTGGTTCCAGAAGCCAAATCTGAAGAGGAAACAGGTCAAAAAGGAACACAAAATGTAAGGATGTACAGTCCGTGGATTCTTTTTCTGGTTCAATGATTTAATTATAAATATAGATTATTAGTCTTTCTATACATGTAACAACAAATGCCAAACTCACTACCATGAAATTTCTAAAAATGACTCTTTCACATTTGTTAAAAAAAAGTAAAAATCACATACTTTTCTTCCCCTTCCTTCAGTTCAAGTTCTGAGCTGAAATATTACATGTAACAATAGCTGGTTCTAACTTCTAAAAAAGGTTAAACCGTATCAACCTCCTTTGTCAATATCAAAAGCTACATCATTTCTATCTTACTTGCCTTGAACTTAGGCATGAGAAAAACTTCTCAAAGCAAGTCAAATGAAACAAATCAAAGAAAAGGAAAGCTAGGAAGGAGAACAGGAAAGCAGCAGATGAAACGAATACTCTGAAAAACTCGAATCTGCCATTCAAGTATTGAAAACACCCCGAAGGAAACCACGAACAGGATCTACTGTGACAAAGTCAGTGAAATAGAATGCAAATAGCATGGTAAGTGGCCTGCTAGGCTGTCTGCTGCAGACGTAAGCACAGTGATTCAGTCCACCACTCCTTTTGGACCCTAAAGAAGGGGTTCGTTTGAAAGTCGTAATTCTCTTTTTGCAATTTTCTCTTGGTTGTCTTCAGGGACTAGTTTGTGATTTTCCTCCACGTCATGCAGACCATTTCTTTAAACTTCCAAGTGAGTACTCATTTTCATATATTAAAAGACTTCTTTAGAAAAATGGAGAGGAATGCAAGCCACGGTAGTGATGCTAACGGTTGCTCTTCATCGCTTCCTTCGCCGCCATGATCAGTGGTGTCAAGCTCGACAATGGTTTGGCCAGTTTCAGGAAGGGGTGCTGCCAAAATGGGGGAGGATAATGAATAGAAGTCACCAGCTTCTTTCGACTAGACATCAAATACTATTTATGATCATAGTTTATTTAACAAACATTTCTTTTCTTTTCTTTTCTTTTTTTTTTTTTTTTTTTTTTTGGTCTTTTTCGTTTTTATCGGTACCAGGGATCGAACTCACGACTGCCTGCTTGCAAGGCAGGTGCTTATGCCGCTGAGCTAAATCCCCAGCCCTTAACAAACATTTCAATACCTGACCAAAACCCTCAAAATTAGTATGTCATTTTTACAGCTGGTGGCAGAGCTGTTTAGTGTTTCTAACTGCATACAATCTACAATTAAATTACTCATAAAAATATTCATGCCAAGCCAGGAATGGTGGCACATGCCTATAATCCCAGCACTCGGGAGGCTGAGACAGGAAGATCATTACAAGTTCAAGACCAGTTTGGGCTACAAAGAGCTCAAGGCCAGCCTAAACTGTATAGCAAGACCCTATCTCAAAAAGACAAACCAACAAACAAAAAAATCATGCTAGCACTGAGAACAGATCTGAGAATAATATGCAAAAATTATAATTATGATATTAATAAATTCTATTTCCAGTAGTTAGAATCCTAAAATGTAGCAGCTGCCTTATTCCTAGTGATCAATGAATAGTAAAACACAATTAACATTATGAAAGCTTTCTGTTGGTTACTCAAAAAAATCAACTCTTTTGAAACAATGATATTATTTCCAAATTTACCTGTAACAATTCTTTGGCTGACCCCCTTTTCTCCACATCCATTTCCAAACATCGATTTAAGAAATCCCGAAAGATTGGAGAAAGTTTCTCTGGATTCTGAAGTTCTGGGGTTCCATTAGTGGCTATCAGATACAAGGCCTAGAAACAGAGTAACATCTTCAACATACTTAAGGTATCTCAACAGAGTGTCCCTTATCAGATCTACAAGCTTTTCCTCTTCCCTCTTTATGTTAATAGTTGTTCAGTCTGGGCAATTTAGCAGATCCTTTCTCAAAACTAAAAGGGAAAGAGAGACAGAGATAGAGACAGACAGATGCAGAGACAGAGAGAGGCTACAGCTCAGTGCAAAGAACCAGGGTTCAATCCCCAGGACTGAAAAAAAGGTACAGCATCTTACTTTTCTCCTTAACATTCTCCACTGACTCCCTCATCTTATCCAGAGTGTAAGTTGGAAATCTTGGGCTAGCGATACAGCTCAGCAGCACAATGCCTGCCTTGCAAGCACAAGGTCTTGAGTTTAATTCTCAATACAACAACAACAACAACAAAAAGCTAGAATTCTTCCAAAAGCTGCCCAAGATACTACACTGCCTCACTTCCTTCAGGGAGTCACCGTACTCCCCACTCTGTGCCCAGCATTCTCGAGTAACACAGCAAGCTGTTCATGGACTTCGAATGACCAGAACACTCCTGCTGCAGGACCTCTGCACTTCTTGTTCCTTGTGCTGTAATACTCTTCCCTGGGTTAGCTTCGCGCACTACCTCACGTGCGTGCACCAACGCCTGCTCCAGTGACCCTCTCCAAAGCGTGCTATTAAAGCCAACACCCCGGCCCTCTGCATGTCAGCCCCAGCACTTGGGGTCCATCGCTTAAAATATTCACCATATTCCCATTTCTTTTATTGTCTCTTGCCTTCCACTATAATACTACGTTCATGAGGGCGGGAAGTTTGTTGGTTCTATTATGCAGCACTTTGACTAGTACCCAACACAAAGCAGGTACTCAAATTAACATTAACTAGCTGGACATGGTGACATATATCTGTAATTCTAGTACCTGGGAGGCTGAGGCAGTGGCCTGTGTCCAACAAAATAAAACACCCACTATCTGAGTGAATGAAATGATAGGGCCTTGAAAATTTTTCTGTACAGTGTTCTAAATTAACTATTAAAATTATTTTAACTGCTTCTTAAACTAGAACCCTTGGTGATGGGGCAAAAAAGTACTCAGGAAACTGGATATAGTGGCACATGCCTGTAATCCCAGCACTCTGGGAAGCGGAGGCAGGAAGATCAGAAGTTTGGTCCAACACAGGCAACTTGGCAAAATCCTGTCTTAAAATAAAAGAGTCTAGAGCCTCGCATGGTGGCGCATGCCTGCAACCCCAGCACTCTGAGGCTGAGGCAGGAGGACTGCTGTGAGTTCAAGGCCAACCTGGGCTACATGAGCAGTTCAAGGTCAGCCTATACTACATAACAAGAAATTGTCTCAAAAAAATAAAAATAAAAAATAAGGCCAAGCATGCAGCTGAGTGTAAGGGCCTAGCTTCATTAATACTATAAAGCTGGAAACCCAGTACTCAGGTGGCTGAGGAAGGAGGATCACAGCAAAAGACAGCCTGGACTATATAGCAAGTTCAAGGCCAGCCTGAACTGCACAGTGAGAACCTGTCACACACACACAAAAAATAAATAAAAATAAGTACTACAAATAAGAAAAGATTACAAAATAAACAATCCAGCTATTAAAAATCTACAAACTCGCTGAGGATTTAGCTCAGTGGCATAAGCACTTGCCTTGCAAGCAGGTGGTCGTGAGTTTGATCCCTGGTACCGATAAAAAAAAAAAAAAACCTACAAACTCCAGCACAATTCACAACACCTAAATCTTAGAAGCAGTCTATATGTCCATCAATAGCTAAGTGGATTAAAATATGTGATATTTACAGTGGAATACTATTTTACCATAAAGCATACACTTGAGTCTTTTGTTGGACAGAGGACATACCTCCAAGCTTCGTATTAAGTGAAATAAATCAAGACACACAAGCTTAAATATCACATGGCTTCTGCAGAAATAAAGAGTAAAATAAATGACAATAGGAAACAATAAAACAGATCTTTAGCATATGGAAAGGGAACCAAGAGCCAGAGGGTGGAGGGAGGTGATGGAAACAGAACAAAAAAACTGGAGGGCCAAGGATATAGCTCAGTAGACAGGGCCTGCCTGGCAAGTGCAAGGTCATGAATTCCATCCCTGGGACAAAACAAAAACAAAAAACTGTGATGTGCTGCGTACATGTACCAAGTTCCTAAGAGAATTGTGATCATTAGATAGTACCCCCACAAAAAAGGGGTCCAGAAGATGGAGATAGGGAGGGGTAAAAAAGAATTACGAAGTATCATGAACTAACTCCCCAAGATGAGTGTAACCATTACACACACTTTGGTCATTAAACAAAACACCTCTAAATGCCTCAGTTAACATTTTCAGTTAAATTCAATATAATGCAGGAGCGATATGATATATGGACCGTAGGGCACAGCCTAGGTTTAATTATCTCTCTATTCTAAAATCTTGCCTGATTCTGGATGCACCAAGCTCTGAGTGCAGGTTTTGTTTAGGGAAAAGCACGCCCTTCACAGTGCGGTTGGTGTTAACCGGCCTTACCCGCAGAGGGTTCTCATTGAGGTATGGAGGCTCTCCTTCCACCATCTCGATAGCCATGATGCCCAGAGACCATATGTCCACTTTGGGACCGTATGCTTTCCGTGTGACCACCTCGGGCGCCATCCAGTAAGGGGTCCCAACCATAGTGCTGCGCTTGCTCTGCTCAGGGGTGATCTGGGCACAGAAACCAAAGTCGGCTACGAAACAAAACGAAATAAAACACCTAATTAAAAATTTCAAGGATAGCTTTATCTGAATAATTCACTTCCAATGACATAATTATATTCTGACTATTCAGCCTTTTATCAGAATGTGTGTAAAAATATTTTGATATTACTTTTATAGAGTGAAGATTATTAGAGAAACCTTTATTGTGAATAATTCCTTCTGCCCTAAAAAGTTTAATAAAATTGAAAAATATGAAAAAACGACCCAAGTTGAACCCCAAAACCAAACGTAGTGAATTAGGGAACAGTCAGGACACAAAGCCTATGCTGAATAAAATAAACAGTGGGCTCACTAAGCAACTCAGTAGAGCACCCAGGAAATAAACACACTTGACTGCTACAGTTCCATCGGAACATGGACCAGCACTCCACCCACCTTGGCTGCCCCACTGTCAGACCAGGGTTGGGACACCTAGGTAGGACCTGATGTAACTTGGTAAGGAAATCAGGATTGGAATCTAGAATCACTTCTTGCCTCCCACTGTTAAATCCTTTGACTTCTACGTAACCAAGTATTAGTAATCAGGTTTGTAATTTAGACTTTTCATCATGTATTTAATAAGCTGAATAGTACCCATGGATAGCCCGGTTGGTTTTATCTGACTACAATATTTTGTAAAGTGTTTTCCTACAACCAATTAATTTTTAGATCTTCTGATTTTAGTGCATTTATCTGCCTCCTTATTAAAACTAAAAAATATTATATTTTATAAAAATATTAAATTATATTGTCATTCCTATACTGCTCAAAATTTAAGATGGTTTTAGATTTTCTTTTTCTTTTTTGATACCAGGGACTGAACTCATGACCTAGTGCTTGACAGGCAGGCACTTAGGCCACTGACCTAAATCCCCAGCCCTAGTTTTAGCTTTTTTTTATAATATTGAAGACATACCTCTGTACTTATGTGGTATATCTACTCAGTAATTCCATAGAATACCATAGGAGCAATTTTTAGATAAAATAATATTCATACAGAAAATGAGTACTTATAACAAGCCAGGTATTACTCTCAGTATCTTAGAGCAGTATTGTTTTTAACTTTTCTTCAATACTGAGTATTGAACCCAGGACATCCTCTGGTATGCTAACCAAGTGCTCTAACATTAATCTATACCCTGGTCCCAGGTATATTAAAATTATACTCATTTTAAAAGTGATAAAACTGAGACAACACATTAAAATTACACTCTCAGTTTTGGTCTTTATTTGAGATAGGGTCTCACATATTTAAAGAATAGAAATCTTATATTTTGACTATTTGACTGAATAACCTTTAGAGGACATAATTTAAAAAAGAGAAAGACAAAGACAAAAAAGCTGAAAAAGGTGTCAAGCTCTTTAGGAGAAAAACTAATTCAAAGAAAACTGAAGAGAAAGTGAAAACAGATCCAATGAGATTAAAAAACATGCCCAAAACTGTTTAGCAAGCAATACTACACCTGCTATTTAAACCAGGTTCTGGACACTGAACTGTGTCCAGTTCACAATACGTACCTTATCACTAGATTCCTTTCCCCTTTCTATACTAAATCATAAAAACTTTAATACAAGAGATTAATTGAATAAAAGACAGGAGGACATTATAATGAGACAAACAAGTAACAAGTTAGTGTTAGTTCATTTGGTACTCACTAAGTTTAACTGATCCTTCCATTCCCAAAAGCACATTGTCACTTTTGATGTCTCTGTGAATCACTTGATTGGCATGTAAAAACTCCAAAGCCTGTAAACACTGAACAGAAGAAAACACCTATCAATAATACAGTCCTCAGAAGTTGCCAGGATCAGAGATCTAACTACCAGTGTCTGCCTGGAAAATGTGAGGCCCTGAGTTTGGTTCTTGATACCTCTCCCCCCTCCCCCGGCCACCCCGCAAAGCCTCTAGTCCACAGAAGACCCTATAATATTTATAGAGGAAAAAATACTATCTCATATACAAAGTTATGAAAACGAAATGCTCCACTTAGTAGGAAGACCCTTTCCCACCCTCTGATCTCTTCTAGAAACCACCTTAAATAATTGCTCTCGAATCCTTTCCCTGCCTTGCTTTTCTTTTCAGACAGGGCCCTTGCATGTTGCCAAGGCTGGCCTTGAACTCCTAGGCTCACACTTTCAATTTTCCTGCCTCAGTCTCCCAGAACGCTGAGAATGCATTGTGTGTGCTACCATGCCAAGCTGTTCCTGTGTTTTTGAATGAATATACTGAGAATATTAACTTGGAAAAATTTAACAGTATTTTAATTTATTACTCCCATGAGAGTTGAACAAGTGAATTCTACATCATAACAACTAAAAATCCCATTCAAAATACCATTCTACTTATTCAAGGGAAAAAAGATATAACTGGATATTAATAGATTACATTTACTAGACATTCCATAAGATTCTTAAAAAGAATAAAATCCAAGACTAATACTTCTATAGTATTAGTAGAAACAAGTATCACAATTTTAAAATTCTAGCATACGGAAGAAAACACAAGAGAATAGCAATTAGAATTCCTAAAATAAATTTTTTTATTAGCTATGACAAAAGTTACCAGAAAAATGAAGTATAAACTCTTAAGTTTTGATCAGTTTTTTTTGCTTTGTCTTTTTGAGATAGGGTCTCGGTTGTGCAGTTCAGGCTGGCCTTGAGCTCACTTTGTAGCAGAGGCTGGTCTCCAACTTGCAACAATCCTCCTGCCTCAGCCTCCCGAGTGTTGGGATTACAGGCGTGAGCTACCATGCGCAGCTAAGTTTTGATCAGTTTTTAAGTAACCTAGAGAACTATTAAGAAGTTACTTCCTTCCGCCAACCAAAGGGATGATATCCCATCTTAGATAAAACATAAATAACTCAAAATTAAAAACTGCAAGCCAGGCCTGGTAGTAAATGCCTGTAATTCCAATATGGAAGGCAGAGGTAAGAGGATTACAGGCTACAAAGGGAGTTCTAGGCCAGCTACTCTTCCCAAACAACAACAAAAAAATACCTTCGTAGCACCTTAATAAAAGCTATAAAACATCATAGAACAAAATCTATAATCACTTATATATTACTGCACAAATGCTGAAAGCCAAATCATGAAAACAATATAGGCTTATGAACTTTTTAACAATTTTGTTCTTTATAACCATGATTCCTATGATACTGTCAGTTTCAGTGACAATAAACCATTAACCTTAGTCTCATTCGTAGGAAAAGGTACAGATTGAAGGAAAATTTACTTTTGGTCTAGACTTAAGACAGTCTGGCAAAATTCTACTGGCCTAATAAGCAAACAGCAAGAGTAGAATTTCACTAGTTAGTATCAGGAAACGAGATTTTCATCTTCCGTGAGGTCAACATAGCTAGGCACAGACTTAGTGATATTTAAGGTGAATATAGCCGTATGTCTTGCTTTGCCTGAGATGATTCTGATTTCCATTGTTGAGTGTTTGCGAACTTTTTACTCTCTAAGGATCCTATCTGGCCAGATATGGGTGAGGCATGCCTGCAATCCCAGCACTTAGGAGGCTGAGGTAGGACTGCTGTAACTTCAAGGCCAACTTGGGCTACACAGTAAGTTCAAGCCCAGTCTATACAGTGAGACTGTGTCTCAAATCAATCAATCAATCAATCAATCAATCAATCAATCAATAAGAAAGAAAGAAAGAAAGAAAGAAAGAAAGAAAGAAAGAAAGAAAGAAAAACAAGACACAAGACAAGACAAGACAAGACAAGACAAGACAAGACAAGACAAGACAAGAGAGAAAAAAAGTATCATGTCTGGACAGTAGCTCATGATCATATTCCTAAAATTCCCCTGTGAACTTGGCTCTTTAAGGTCCGTGCCTTATTTCTAAACTATATTACACATATAGAAAGGGACAAAAGGGACAATTGCAGAGAATGTACATAAAGGATGTCACATAACAAAAATTGCACAGAAAAACTTTCCTTCTTTGCACCTCTTGCTAACCACAGCAGAGGTCATCCCAAAGGAATCAAACCCACCTCTCTGCACACAGCGGCAATCTGAGCTTCATCCATGCATGTTTCTGTGACAACATCAGTGAGTGACCCACCAGCCAGGTACTCCATGACGACAAACAACTCGTCCCCCACCAGATAACTAAAAACAGAATGCAAAACACACTCATAGTTTGGTTTTTTCTAACCACACAGCACTCTATGTTAAAGAATTCAAATGTAAAGCACCACAGCAGTAAAGACCTGATAACTGGAGACCTAGGAAGAGAACTGGAAAGACAGTATTTCTTTTTGTGTGTGTTTATGGGAGAGTGTACTGAAAATCAAACTCAGGACTTCATGCTTGCCAGGCAGCTGTGCCACTGAGCTATATCCCTGGCCCTGGAAAAGAGACTATGTAACAGCACACACAAAAAAGTAATGATCCTGGATCACCTAAAAGATATGGACTATGCAAATCTGTATTATAACTGTGTATACAGATTACTGCAATGAAGACAATACTCTAAGAGCCATATATAGTGGTACAAACCTATAATCCCAGCTACTTGGAAGCTGAAGTTGTTAGCATGGGCAATTTAGCAGGATTCTGTCTCAAAATACAAAAGGATAGGGATGTGTCTCAGTGGTAGAGAGCCTAGCATGTGAGGTGCTGGGTGTACAATACAAAGTCCTTAGGAGTATGGGGGGTACTTGGGCAAATGTATTGAGAAGTTTATTTCTATGTACACAGTTCCATAGCTAGGGCTAAAGTATTAAAATATGTTGCTAGGGAACAGCTTAGTAGCAGAGCACTTGCCTACCATGCACGAGGTCCAGGGTTCAATCCCCATTACCACCCAAAAAGGAAAAAGAAACCCTTTCAAAAATATATGCTCTTTCCCCACTGCTATGGTTTATTTCCAGATTCTCCCCACCGCCAAGATTCATGTACTCATAGGTGAGGCTTTGGGGAGGTGACTGGATCATGGGCTTGAGATACTGGGTTAGTCCACTAATGATTCACGGCTGGGTGTGCTGTGGAGGGGTAAAGCCTGGTGGGAAGACGTGGGTTCTGAGGTCATGGCCTAGAAGAATATACATATTCTAGCAGATATATGTATCTCTTCCTCCTCCTACTACCTTGATCCCTCAATGCTGCCAACCTGCCATGCCACCCTCACTTAGAACTAGCTGATTATGGTCTGAATAATCCTTTCTCCTCCTTTAACTTGTGGTTGTCAGGTATTTTGCCTACCAACAAAAAAGCAACTAAGACATTCATCATAAACAAGTTTATATACACAATAAAAATGGAATAAAACCATCCATATTCATTATCTCCAATACAACCATTATTAATATTTTTAAACATTTTTTATTTTAACGTTTGTTTTCCTTCCTTTTGTTATCATCTTCTAATAGTCGTTTCTTCATTCATATGTGAGATTACTAATAAAAAAAAAAAAAGAAAAGCCAAAATACATGCTATAGTGGCATAGGTCTGTTATTTCAACTGCTTAGCAGGCTAAAGGCAGTAAGAACGCCAACCCAGGCAACCCAGCAAGACTCCAGCTCAAAATAGACATAAGAGCTACAAATATAGCTCAGTGCCTGGCAAATGTAAGGTCGTGCGTTCGATTCCGAATACCAAAAACAAAACAAAACAAATACATATACATATTATACATAAAAGTGTTGGTGATGTAACTCCAAATTGCAGCACTTGCCTAAAATGTGTGAGGCTGTGAGTCTAACCCCCATATTTGAGGGACAAGAAGGGGCAGGGAAAGAGAGGGAGAAAGGAAATGTACTGTGTTCTATGAACGCAGTATCCATTATTAAGGCTAAAGTCAAAACACATCTGTAATATTTAATTTTCTAATCTGCTTTTTGTTATTTAACATCAATTCTCTTGGTCTTAAAACAGAATCTGACTATGCAGTTTGAGCTGGTTTGAACTCTTAGGAACCCTCCGGCCTCAGCCTCTGAGTGCTGGGATCACAGGCAAGCACCACCACATCCAGCATTAGCATCAATTCTTAAACCAGATGAGCTTTTCCTAAGCATATATAGTTTGCCCATGACAAACAGCATTTAAAATAAAAACTAGGGCAGGGATACACCTCAGTGGCACAGTATTTGTGTGGCAAGCACAAGATCATGAGTTCAATTCCTGGTACCAAAAAATAAATAAAATAAAAACTACTATAAAAGTTTAAGAAATCTGTGGCTAGTCACAACAGTGGGCCAAGCACAAATCTCAGCAAAATCATTCCTTACCATGCCTGCTTCTGTTATTTGCACTGCACGCAGGGACCAGCCACAACATCTTTCATTTCCTGCCTTCTCACTTGCCAATGATATTCTTGGAGAAAAAGGATCTTCTACACTGCAATGTGCTGTTTTATCCCTCCTTCATTTACTTCTCAATAATGACATTCTACTCTGTTACAGCTATGACTAGAGATGTCCCCCCAAAGACTCATGTAGTCATAAAGGCAGGCTTTTTCAGAAGTTGCTGATCTACATGGTTCGGTGCTGAGATTAAGGATGCTGGGATTGAGGCAAGGTGATTGTGGGATCACTGCACTGAATGGACTGGCACCACCCTACTCCCAGGAGATCAGATACAATACAAGGGACAGAAAGAGACCTGTTTTGCCATTTTTGCTCTTGGTTTTGCTGTTTTCTGCCGCCATGAACTGTTGCCCCTCTTTCATGCCACCCTACCTTGAAGCCAGCTACTACAGACTCAAACTGCTACAACTAGGGTTGCGGATTTAGCTCAGTGGCACAAGCGCCTGCATGGCAAGCACGAGGTCGTGAGTTCAATCCTCGGTAACAAAACAAAACAAAAAACTACAATTGTGAGCTAAATAAACCTTTCCTCCCTTAATTTTGGGAGTCAGATATTTTGTCTCAGTAATGAGAGAAAAGTAACCAAGATATACTCTAATGTGGCTAATCTCTATCAAAACTATGAAACCACAAATTTCTATGTTTTTATCCTAATATTTAAAAAATATAAATACCTGTCCAAGAAGTTAACTATGTTGGGGTTCTTTAATTCTTTCATCACCATAATCTCATTAATGATCAATTCCTTTTTGGGCTGTTTCTGTAAGTTAATCTGTTTGATAGCGACCTATAATGGAAACAGAATTTTAAAAATCAGAACATTTTTCCTAGGAAGTTTGAAATACTAATCAGTTCATAATTTTTGTGCATATACTGTATTATACAAGGAGATTGCAAACAGTTCACAAAGAGGACTTCTACCCGCCACTGCTTATGTGCAAGGTTCTGAAATGTACAGTGCTGAAATACATTCAGACTTCTCAAATTAACCCATCAAAGATCATTCTAGTATCAGCAATTAATCCTCCTCTTCTTCTAAATAGGGGACAATTGTTTAAAATACTTTTTAGTTTATGATAGTAGACTCATAACTCCTTTGTCTCTTCTCCCTTTTTTAGTGCTGGGAGCTAAACTCAGCGTCTTTGCACTATTATCCCCAGCTGTTTTTTAGCTTTCAGCTTTTTGTGATGAGGTGGCATAAGATTCCATCTCAAAAAGTAGCTAAACTACCCAGGCTAGGCTTGAACTTCCATCTTTCTGCCTCAGCCTTCCGAGTCCTGGAGTTAGTGATTTGTGCCACCATGCCCGTATCTTTGGTTCCCTTAATATGAGAAATGCTACAAAATTTCATACCTTAATTCTTGCAACATATTCAACTAAACAGATTTCTATTAAGTACTTATTTTGTTTTGTAAGAAATGCAAATGGTAACATCCACAGTACAAAGGTAGGTAGTTGTAATTACCTCCTGCCCCAGTGCCACATCAGTAGCAGTGAAAACTGTACCAGAGGCCCTAGGGAAGAAAGGAGAAAAGACACAATCAGAGTTAAAGATTCTAAACCATTATCATTTACAACATCCAAAGATTTTACAATATGAAGCCAAGTGTGGTGGCACAAGCCAATAATCCCAGCGGCTGAGAGGCTGAGGCAGGAGGACCACGATGCATTTGAGGCCAGCCTGGTACATGCAATGAGTTCAAAGTCAACCTGGACTATGGAGAGACCTAGTTTCAAAACAAAGACTTTACAATTCAAGCAACTAAAAAAGGACTTCTAAGAGAAATAAAAGTGAAAACAAAAGGAGAAAAATGGGCTGGGGATTTAGCTCAATGGCTTAAGTGCCTGCCTGGCAAGTCTGAGGTTGTGAGTTTGATCGCTGGTACCAAAAAAAAAAAAAAAAAAAATGTGAACACTTAAGCCTTTGCTGGGGATTTAGCTCAGCGGCATAAGCGCCTGCCTGGCAAGTGCGAGGTCGTAAGTTTGATCCCCGCAAAAAAAAAAAAAAGAAAAATAAGCAATCCTTGTGCCCAAAATACCAGTCCTACAAAAAATGTAGGTAAAAAAAGTTCAAAGAAAAACATAATATGCACTCATAAATAACATTTCCCTGCTTAAGAAACAGAGAACCACAAGTAAGTTTGAGGGTCCGCTGCATGGCTGTCCCCCGTACCCTCCTCCCCAAGGGAGGTCTGTATTTGATGTGCATCCTATATTCAATGTGCATCAATTCTGTGCATTTCCTGCTTCTATCCACAAAGGTAAAAATCTCAATAGACTATATTTGGCCTAATTTTTAAATCCCATGTAGTCTTATTTTATGCATTTCTCTGCCATTTGCATTTTTTGCATTTCTCTGCCATTTGTAATGGTTATCTTTTTTCTTTTTCTTTTTTCCTGGTTTCAGGAATCTAACTCATGATCTCACGCTTGCCAGGCAGATGTTTATGTTGCTGAGCTAAATCTCTGGCCCTGTAATGGTTATCTAGATACACAAGTATTATTCTTGCTCATTTATTATCATTTGCGAGTCAATATATCCATTATCATGCTCAAAAGTATTAAGGTGATTTTAAAGCCAGTGCTTGGAATGAATTTAACTATTAAAAATACTCAATATAATCTTTTTCAATGCTGAAAAATGCATGTTTTTATTGCCTATAATCCTACAATAAATATTTTTATTCTCTTCTAAATATATGTTATAGGTAATTTCTTCATCTAGCTACCCCTTACCACCTATAGGAAATAACATTTAAGAGGAAACACTAATACACTGTTAACTGGTAACACTTGGATCAAACTCAACCTTGTGCTTGCCAGGTAGGTACTGTGCCACTGAGCTGTATTCCTGGCCTTTCTTTTTGTACTAGGAATCAAACTCACAACTTCACACTTACCAAGCAAACACTGCATCACTGAGCTATATCCTCACTAATAAAGTTCTTAAACAGCATCTAGAAACAAGTCACATTATGCTTTTACATAAACTTCCAGGGTGCCAAGCATAGATTTTGCAGTCAATGCTCAGTGTCAGTGGAAAAAAAGAGCATGCTATCAGCTCAGGCAGTACTGAATATTTTATCAGTCACACTTACCCCTGTCCAATTTTTTCATATCTCGTATACTTCTTCTTAGGGTCACCTATGCTCACAATAGTTCCTATTTTAAACAAAAATAGGAAGTCAGTAAAGAACGTTAAACGTAAAGTAATCTTGACATCATTATTCCTTTAATAAACTCTACAAACCTTAACAATAGTTTTCAAATACAATTTTTTAGACACAAAACATTGAAGAAACATAATAAAAGAAAAAAAGTCACCAGAAACATTATTTCCATTATGTTAGATCTCCCAATTAATCATGTTCTCAAAAACAATGAAATATGAAAGTCAGGCGCTCAGCCTATGTGAGACTAATGAAGTTCTCAAGATTCAGGATCCACTGCTCTACAACAGGCAACTCCTGGGGAACTGGTTGTTCTGCTTTTCTACTGCAGTGAATGATTTCCACTAGTGATAACTTATGGCACTACTTGGTGTCAGAAATAAATTATATTCAAATGAATAGCCCCTAAATGGCTTTTCTGATTGTTAAAATGTATCTTCTGTCAGTACATTTAGGAAGTCACTTAAGACTACAAAGATTATTTGACAGACTGATTGCAGCACTGGAGACTGAACCAGAGGGGCTTTGCACATCCTCTGTCCTTTCTACAGAGATAGTTTCACTAGTTACTACTCTGCCCAGGCTGAGCCACGTTATCCTCCTACCTCAGCCTCTGAAAGTGCTGGGATTACAGGTATGAGCCACCATGCCCAGCTACTCCACTTTAAAAGTCATCACTAAGAAAACAGGTTTTAAAATTAGAAGGCTAGATCCTAAATACCAGATTTTTAATACCAGCAAATCAAAACATGAGAAAATCGCACTCATTTTCATTTGGTTAAGGTAAAAAAAGATAAGAGATAGGTCAACGGGCCTCACATAAATCTATCAAATTAGCCAGTTAAGCTCAAATCAAGAAGCTAATGAAGCCAGGCATGGTGATGCACACCAGTAATCCCAACACTCATGAGCTGAGGCAGGAGCATGCCTGCAAGTGACCAGCCTGGGCTGCAAAGTGAGTACAAGGCCCACCTACAACTGCATGAGACCCTGTCTCAAAAACAAAACAACTGATTGCAGAGTGAGACCTATCTCAAAATGACAGTAAGTAAATAAATAAATGCAGCAAGCTAATGGTCCCAGGAATGGTTTAAGGACACACTGGACTATATAATGAGCCCCTGTCTCAAACCTCTGCCTTTCAAAGGCCTAAGAAAAAATTAAAAGAGAACAAAAGAGTATCAACAAAGATAGGAAATATGATAGCTAAAGGTTACAACTAACAACTGTTCTTACTGATTTTTAAAAACTATCAGCTCTAAGAGAAGAAATTTTCTTTCTTTCTATCTACCTCCCTATCTATCTATCAAGAGAGTGAAAGCAGGTTTATACTTGAAAGCACTGAGGCATCAGGAGCAAATAAATTTAGAGGATATAAATGTTTAAAAAAATCCATCTACTAAGTAATTTTCCTTGACCTTGTTGGGTCAGTGGTCAGTGTTTAGTTTTGTTTTTTTTTTTTTTTTTTTTTTTTTTTGGTCTTTTTCCTTTTTATTGGTACTGGGGATCGAACTCACGACTGCCTGCTTGCAAGGCAGGCACTTATGCCGCTGAGCTAAATCCCCAGCCTCTAGTGTTTAGTTTTTTGATTTATGATTTTTGTTTTTTAAAGCAGGGTCTTGTTTTGTAGCTCAAGCTGGCCTAGAAATGCAATTTTCCTGCCTCAGCCTCCCAAGTACTGAGATTATAGGCATGTGCCACCAAGCCCAGCCAGTCAGCAATCTTTTTTGTGTGTGTCTCTTTTTTGAGACAGGGTCTCACTATGCAGTTCAGGCTGGCCTTGAGCTCACTTTGTAGCCCAGGCTGGTCTCTAACTCTCAACAATCCTCCCACCTCAGCCTCCCGAGTGCTGGGATTACAGGCATGAGCCACCACATCCAGCTCTCAGTCAGCAATCTTTAACACCACAACAGCGATGACACGTCATCAGACATCACTGCTATTCTTCCCCTGGCCGTTTATCTTACTCATAATGTTTGATCCAAGTAAATGACAGATTATGAGTTAAATGAAAGACAAAAAAAATCTCATTCTGGAATAAGTTTTATGCCTACATGTATCTACACCTCATTTTGTTTAGTTATTTAGGGCTGTTTTTTTGTAGATGCCCAATAAGAGATATGGGTATACATAAATACACAGGTCTTCTTTGATAAAATTCCTGACCATGTCTTTTAGATCTGGCTTATGAGGGAAAAAGCACCCCTCTCAAATGGGCTGACTTCACTAGCTATAACATAGTATCTTTTAAATGTACATGAGAAGAGTGTTACTTTGATTTCACTGCATTTTAATTAAAATTACTATTCCTTTAAGAAAACAATTTTTGCTGGATGTGGTGGTACACGCCTGCAGTGCACCCTTCGAGGGAGGCTGACACAGGAGGGTCTGTGAGTTCCAAGTCAGCTTGGGACACATAAAGAAATTCAACGCCAGCTTGTACTACATAGTGAAACCTTGCCTCAACAAACCCCCAGAAAAGAAACAATTTTTTTTCTTCTGCATTAAGTAAAAATGTAAGGCATAAATTTAAAAATCCACTGGGGTCTTTTTTATTGTTTTTTAGTGCTGGGGAACAGTTTCAAGAGCTGTTAATTTACAAATAATGTAAAATGAAGATAACATACTTAATTTCTCCATAATCTCTTCATCTGTCATCTTGGTCTTCTTTTTTTGTTTGTCTGTAGACTTGGCCCCACCATCTACGTGAGAATCACCCGCTGGGGCAGGAATGGGGTCAATCACAGAGCGTGTGTAAATCTGCAGAAATACAGTAATTACTGAGATCTGAGCAAAGTATTCTCAGAGCTGTTTTTCTTGCCGGATGTTTTGTGATACCTGCCCACACCAGGCTGGCTCTCCACTGCCCGCCCCCTCCTCCCAGGAGCTCTCAGTCTCCCTGGACTCCACTCAGTTCTTCCATTTATACCGAAAACTAAGTTCTCTCTCCCATTGTTCTACAGGACAGGAACAACAGATTTAGGCTATTAAAGAATGTAACTAGGGCTGGGGATTTAGCTCAGTGGTATAAACTCCTGCCTGGCAAGCACGAGGTCATGAGTACAATCCCTGGTATCAAAAAAAAAAAAAAAAAGTAACTAAGAATAAATATGAAGCATTATTCTTTGGCACAGATGCGCGTATTTTTAAAACTTTTGTCTAGCAAAACAGCAGGCCCATGAATGAGATTTGTGGCAATCTAAAATAGCATGTTAATAAAAGATAATAATGTAGCAAAATGTACACAGCTGGCCATTCACATACAGGGGTAGAGAAAAGAAGGCCACACCAGCAAGCAAGCAAATTTGGGAACAACACCTGCATGGGCTGCTGTCAGACTTGGACAGACAGACCCCAGCCTCTCTCCTACGAGTCAGCGCCATTCGTGGACCCGGAGTAGAGAAAACAAGGCCACATCACCAAGTAAGACCAGTCTGGGAACCAGTGTCATGGGTGGGCTGCCACCAGACTGGAAAAGCCAGACCCAAGAGCCCCTTCTAGCACTCAGGCTGGCAAACAAGAAGCACCACCCCTCACCCTCACCATAAGCAACCAGCTTATCTGGAGAAACACAGGCTGTGATGATAGCTATGGCAGTGAAATGCAGTTGGACGCCTGTGGTACTTTGGTGTTTCACTAACATTGCAGGGCTAGGGCCAGGGTCTGATCATGGGTTCAGAGGATAGCAGTGTGCAGTGTGGCATCTGGGGGGATCTCCTTCTGAGGGTTGCAGCAGTTGCTGATTCCCTAGGGTCTTGATTTGGAAGTCCTATAGTGTTTCCATTGTTTTATTGGGTTGGGTTTTACTCTCTTTTGTTTTGTTTATGTCAAATCCGATGGCAGGAGCAGCTATTTCAAAGATATAAGAAATATTATGGTAGCAATTTTGGATTTACTATTGGCTTGTTTTGAAGTCCGTTACTGCATTCATTGTTTTGCTTTGATTGTTTCTATTCTATTCTGTTCTGTTTGATTTTTACTATGTCCAAAGTTACCTGCAGCTATTCTGAAGATACTAAGAGGCATTATGGTAACTATTATTGATTTTACAATGTTTTGAAGTCCTGTATCTCTTTTTTTTAAATCAGAAGTCCTGTATCTCTTACACTAGTTTGTTTTGATTGGTTTTGTTTTATCCTCTTTAAAATTAAAAAAAAACAGCAAAACAAAACAAAATGTGCACAGTTTAGAAATGTTTCTACTATAAGAGATAAAATGCAAAAGATAGAAACCTTAGTGTTGAATTAAACCTTATTAGTGGATTTTCTTCTTAATTTTCATAGCCAGTTTCACACAAAATAAATTTCAATTCAAATCAGCAGTCTGCAGAGCAAACTGCCCACAGCCATCCTCAGAGCCCTCTCAGCCTCTCTTATTAGCTGCTCTGAGATCACTATTGTTAAAATTTTTCCCTTGGAATTTCACTCTCAATTGCCCCATGACAGACGTCATAGCTTTGAAAGAAATGTAAAATGAGAGACAAAGGGGGCTAGAGGTTTAGCTCAGGGGCATAAGCACCTGCCTCGCAAGCAGGCAGTCGAGAGCTCGATCCCCAGTACCGAAAAAAAAGAAAAAGACAAAAAAAAAAAAAAAAAAAAAAAAAAAAGAGAGAGAGACAAAATAGATAACACAAGAAAGATCAAAGTTTTAAATTTGGAGAGCCACACACTCACTGATTTCGTGTGATCGGGGCGAGGGGCAATGACGGGAGGAGCAGCCTCTTCATCATCGTCATCTTCCTCGGTCACCACTGCTGACGTTTCTGAGCTCTTGGCATTCAGCTGTGTTCACAAGGGCAAGGTGAAGGAGAAACACCAGTACAATGATAAGGTTAAAATACGACAATCTCTATGTTGGTCTTTTTTAAACATATTTTTAAGTTTATTTCAATAGCTCACTTAAAATGATTAAATATAACTGGTTCTTATATAATAATTAAAAAGTAAAAGTGATTTTATGAACTAGGGAAAAATAAGCTTATGAAATAAATGTATATGACACATCAAACATGCTTCAGTACTATTTATGCCTTTACACATGCACACAGGGCTGAGGATTTAGCTCTGTGGCATAAGCGCCTGCCTGGCAGGCGCGAGGTAGTGAGTTCAATCCCTAGTACTGGAAAAACAAAACAAAACAAAACACCCCAAACATACACAGTAATCTAAAAGTAAACAATCGAGAGCTGGTGAGTTTCAATGTGGGGCTATTCCCCTAGGCTGTGTTCAGTAGGATAGCACAGGATGGAGGATACGGGCCCCAGGTATAGGCAGGCAAATCCTCTAGTCACAGTTGTGTAAGGAAACATTCCCAGAAGTAGCTAACCTGCTCCAGAGGTCATTATAAATGTTAACCACTTTAAATATCAAGGAAATTCTAATTATGGCTTCTCCAGCTAGCTAATAAATAAATAAATAAATAAATAAATAAATAAAAATTAAGTATTTACTTTCCCACGGTTGAATGTAATCTTATAAAGCAAAATAAAAATTGAAACCTGCTCTGGGTAACCTAAACTAGAACTAAAGCAACAATAAATTATTCACTTACTGCTTGTGTTCCTGAAGGGAAGCCATCTTTCTCTGAATACGAAACAGAAAAGAATGTTAATCAAGAAAGAAAACTTTACATAACAAAAGCAAACAAAAATTAAAGGAAGCTCATTTCTGGGGGAGGGGAGCAGTACCAGGGATTAAACCCAGCGCGAGGGGCAGGTGCTTTACTCCCACCACCCAATTCAAGTTTTATGTCATTTTGTCTCGAATAATCTCTTCATTAAGATGGAAATACCAGTATTTATGTAGGAACTTGTACAAGGCTAAGTTAATGACTCTCAAATCTTACTGAAGCTCCATAAATTTATTAAAAATCATTGAATTATACTCATCATAGGTGACACTGTGTAATTTATACCTCAAAATTACTAAAATTTAATTGAAGTTATCTGTCAACTGCATTTATTTTTTTTTTTTTTTTTTTTTTTTTTTTTTTTGGCTTTTTCGTTTTTATCGGTACCAGGGATTGAACTCACGACTGCCTGCTTTCAAGGCCGGCGCTTATGCCGCTGAGCTAAATCCCCAGCCCCCTCAACTGCATTTATTAAGACAAAACATTCACTGCTCAAGATATTTTCTCAGGGCCGGGAATATAGCTCAGTGGTACAGCACCAGTCCAGCAAGTGTGAGGTCGTGAGTTCGATTTGCGGTACCAAAAAAAAAAAATTTTTTTCCTCAGTATCATGGACAAACATAAATTTTCTTATGATAAATGTGCTCATTATGTATACCTAAAATGTACCAATAAAGTTTCTTTTTTTTTTTTTTTGGTCTTTTTTTTGAGATGGGGTCTCATTATGTAGTTCGGACAGGCCTTGAGCTCACTTTGTAGCCCAGGCTGGTCTTGAACTCGAAACGATCCTCCCACCTCAGCCTCCCGAGCGCTGGGATTATAGGTGTGAGCCACCACGGCCCAGCTTACCAATAAACTTTTAATACAAAAAACATACTTTCTCCAGAGAATTATCTACTAAGCTATCATTCAACTAACAATTGTACAAAGTAAAATCCTTATTGTGTTTTTTGAGACAGGGTCTCATTATGTTCCAGGAAGGCCTAAAATTTGTTATGTGCCCCCAGAGGCTGGCCTCAAACTCACCGTCCTCCTGTCTCAGCTTCCCAGGTGCTCAGTTCACAGGCATTTGCCGGTATGCCAGGCAAAGTAAAATGTTTGGCCTAACTTAATTTTTCATTTTCAAATGCTAGAGGTTTTAGTATATTTACATTGGATGAAAAGAATCTTTCGTTTTTCTGGTTAAGCTGTGCTTGTTTTAAAAATGATTACTAATTTACAAAAATTAGAATGTACCTAAAAGAGGTCAGGATCATTTGCAAAGAGTCTCCACTTCTTCCTTTTTAATGTGAGGATGCAAATATAGTTACATGTATAACTTTGGTTTAGTTTTCTGGGAGACAGGAGTTGACTGGTACTAAGGAATGAACCCAGAGCTTCTGCACTAAATTACAACCATGGACTTTTAAAAGTTTTTAAAATTTTAAGGCAGAATGTCACTACTTGGTAAACTGCCCAAACTACTCTTGACCTGGTGATCCTCCTGCCTCAGCCTTCAGCGTGACAGAATTACACCAAGCATGCATCTCTACACCTTGCTTAATTACATCATTTTTAAAAACTACATATATAAATTTCTCTACCAGGGGAAAAAAAATTAATGAATCCCTGGGAATGTAACTAACAAAATCCATACTAGGAGACACAGGACAAATGTCTTGGTTTAACAACAACAAAACAGAAAAAAAAGAGAATAACCACCTAAGAAAGGGAAGCCTGAATCTGAAAAGATATTCAAAATATCTCTCAACCAAATCCAAGTGGGGACTTGATACTGACGGTAATTTCAACAAAATGGGGGCGAATGTCCCCTTGTAATCTCAACACTCTGGTAGGCTGGGGCAAGAAGATTACATCCTTATTTTTGGTAGCAGGTATCGAAATCACGACCTCGAGTTTACCAGGCAAGCACTCTGAGCTGCTGAGCTAAATCCCCAGCCTGGCAAGAGCCTAGCCTGGGCTCAAATTAAGGAAGGGTCAGTCTCAAAATTTACAAAAAGGGCTGAGAATGTAGCTCAGGGCAAAGTTCCTAAATTCAAATTCCTGCTGCTGCAGAGGAGGGAGGACCCTAGAAAACAGAAAAGAAATGAATTTCCTTCCCCCCTTCCCTTTTTTTTTTTGGCTTTTTCTGATACCTCCTCACTGTGGAGTACAGGCTAGCCTTGAATTCATGACTGACATCAGGTCAGGCATGGTGGTGCAGCCTCATCCTACCCCGATGGAGGCTGAGGCTGTTACAAGTTTGAGTTGGCCTAAGCCACACAGTGAATTCAAAGCCGGCCTGAACTACACAACAGGACTGTGCCTAAAAAAAATAAATAAATAAAATACATAAATAATAAATTACCTATACCAAGGCCTGAATATGTGAACCTCCTGCCTCAGCCTCCCAGAGTGCTGGGTTATAAACATGCATCACCATACCTGGTTATTTTTTAAATTCAACTAGTTTAATTTAAAAAAACCTCAAAACAATAAAGTCAACTATATTCTAATTCTTATCTGATGAATTCCAATTCTGAAGTATAAATCTTTTTAGTTACAATGCTTATTTTTATGTATTTATGTATTTGATAATTTCAATTTTTGATTAGAAAAACATTAAGTCTGTAGTAAAATAATCTTCCTTCTATCCCACTAACAATATATCCTTATCATGAACTTATCCATAAATCTATATATTTTCCTTTTATTGCTACAAGCAGTAAGAAAAACCAAAAAGTCAAAATACTCATGCATCCCATTTCTAGTAAATCTGGGATTAATACAACCCCCAGACTTCAATTTAAGGGTAGCATCCATCTTGATTGAATTTTCAAAAGCTAACTCTAGCGGAGTGTGGGGCATACATCTATGATCCCAGCACTCTGGGAGGCTGAGGCACAAGGACTGTGAGTTTGAGCCCGGACTGGCCAAATGAGCAACTTAATGACTTAGCACCTTAAAATTAATAATAATAGTCATAATAATAAGGGCTGGGGCAGCTTAGTATCAGAGCAGCTCTGTCCAGCCCTTCATCAGATCTGACGGCGTACCCGGAGGAGTGAAACTCAGGTACTTCTGCTTCACCGTGTTGGAGTCGTAGAACTTGAGCACATCCAGCACGGCCTGCGGGTTCTTCTTCTGCTCCAGCTTGGTGATGTTGGAAGTCTGCAGCAAGCGAGCCCACTGCTCCGGCATGCCCTGGTGAGAGAAGCCAGATGCAGGCGCAGGGTGAATGGCTGTCATTTTCGGAGGTACATCATAAAATACATAAAACAAACCAGTACACACCATTGACTGAATCCTAACAGGTCTGGTTTTCTAAAATATTTTTCTATGTCTATTCTGTATGATTGTAATTAACAGGCTCAACTCTCTCCAGTCACTAAAACTTTTACGAAAAGCAAGGAAAAAAAAGTAAACTGACAAGACATGGACAGAAAATGTCAAACTTAATACTGAAGAAAATGCCTTGGCAGTGTTTTAATGCCGTAAATAAATTCCAACCAAAAAAACTTACAGTAAATTCTCCAGTAACAGCATCAAACCCAACATGGATGGTGTGCTCAAAATCAGACGGAGGAGAAATTTCTGGCCGCTCTTTTTCTTTCTTTCTACTTCCTAGAGCATTAAGAAAATAAGGTTAATATAGGCACTTTTAATCGTATGTATTTCTCCTCAGAGTAGAAATAAAGTTATTGTACAAATCAGACTTCCTGCAAATATCTGGACTGAGAGAAAACTGGCAAATGAAGGAGAGCAGTGCTCACTCTCCAGCACTGGGACAAAAACAAAATAACAAACTAATTTCAGTCACTCGTTGCTGACATAGGAAAACACTCGATTTTTTTTTGGTTGTAGTTTTCCAATGATGGGGGATGAACCCAGGGCCTTATCCACGCTAGGCAGCATTCTACCACTGAGCTATAGCACTACCCCTTTTTATTTTGAGACAAGTCTTGCCAAGTTGCCCAGGCTATCCTTCAACTTGTGATCCTTCTACCTCTGCCTCTCGTGTAGCTGGAATTACAGGCAAGTCCCAACACACCGGGCTGTAACTGATTCTTAAATATCGATCTCCTATTCTAAACCCTTAACGGCAGACGCTGAAGGATTTTCAATAAAAACTCAAACATGTTGCTGGTGAGTAAAGACAAGTTTATTTTTTCCCAATCTGGATTCATTTTATTTATTTCTTTTTTCTTAATTGTGGCTAGAATCTCTAGTATACGGTTGAGTAATAGAGGTAAGGGAAATTTTTTTTTAGTTTTTACTGATCTATGAGTTTAAAAGTTCTTTTAAAACCATTAGGTTTAATGTGAATTGTAAGGTGAATTGTAATGTTAGATGTCAGAAATGAATATTGGATTGTTAAGTTTTTTATAGATTTATCAAAATGAACACATGGTTTATCATTTCTATTTGTTCCAATAGAGAATTACAGTGATTCTCAAATGTAAAAACTAACCTTGCACTTCTCAAATGAAATTCACTTAGTCATGATGTATTACTCTGATCCACTGTTAGATTCCAGTTACAAAAATTCTGCTAACACTTTCACAGCTATGTTCATGAAGGGCTCATGAGATGTCTGCTTTGTATTGTGCACTGGTTTTTGAGGTAGGAGCTTGCTGTGTAGTCCAGGCTGGTCTCGAACTCACAGCAATTCCCCACCTGAGATTCCAACTGCTGGGACTTACCGGTGTGTGCCACCACACACCTGGTTCTGCTTTCTTATCTTGTGATATCTTTGGTTTAAGAATACAGGTAAAGCTAGTCTCCAAAGAGAAGGTGGAAATCATTAGATCCACTCACGTCTCTGGTGGCATGTGTCTTTTAGGAAGTATTTCCATGTCATTTAAGGTGCTGTACTTCTTAGTCCACATCTGTTCATCCTGTCACCCACCCTCCACTCAGGGTCTCATGTGCATTAAGTGTGCACCCTACCACTGAGTGATGCCTGGTCCCAGTCCTGCTTTCTCTTTTTAATAACTACTGAATCTGTAGGGATGGCAGAATTCTCACTCTCAACCTGGTAACCCATGTATTATTTTTTCCTACCAGTCTGGCTAAAGATTTATCAAGTTTATTGATATTAAACATTGCCCACTTTCATTTCATTAATTTCTAGTCTCACTTATGGTATTTCCTTCCTTCTACTTTGGATTTCATCTGAAAGTCCCTTCTAGTTTATTAAGAAGGCTTAGTTGAAGTCATTCATATGAATTTTTTTTAATACAGGTACATAGTATTATGAAATTTCCTGTAAGTACTGGTTCAGCAGAATCTTACAAATGTTGACGGTTTGAATTTTCGTTCAGTTTTGTCTACGTACTTTCTAAAAGGGCTTTTAACTTTTAAATTTACTTTCCAAATATGTTCAAAGACCTCCCTGTTACTGATTTCTGATTTAATTACATTCTGGTCACAAAATATATTTTACATTATTTAAATCTTGTACTTACCATGTTTGTTTGTTTGTCTGTTTTACTGGTACCAGAAATCAAACTCAAGACCTTGCACTTGCTAGGCAGGTGCTGATGCCACTGAGCTGTATTCCCAGCCCATTTACTACATTTTTGAAATTGTCCTAGAGGGCTGGGGAATTAGCTCAGTGGTATCAGCATCTGCCTAGAAAATGCAAGGTCATGAGTTCCATTCCCAGTACCAAAAAAAATAAAAGACATAAATTGTAAGTTTCATGTGCAGTTAACAAGAATGTATATTCTACTGTATTTGGATACAATGTTCTATATATAGCTATGACGTCAAACTGGTTAATAATCATGTTCAAGTCATTTATCTCCTTACCAATTTTCTATCTGGTCTCTACTGCGAGAAGTATATTGGAATGTCTAGTTACAACTGGATTTGTCTACATTTTGAAATCTTGGCAGTTTTGTGTCATGCATTTTGAAGCTGTTTAGTACTTTTTTTGTTTTGTTTTGGTTTTGGTTTTTGGTACCGGGGATGGAACTCAGGACCTCGCACTTGCCAAGCAGGTGCTTGTGCTGCTGAGCATAACGCCCGGCCCCATTAGTACTATTTGTATCATCTTAATAAATTAACTTGACTATTATTATAAAATAATCTTCCTAGTCTGTGATAATACTTTTTAAACCCTAAAACATAACTTTCTGATACTTACATATAGCCAGTCCAAGTTTCTTTTTGTCATATTTTCTCCCTCCTTTCCACGGTGTTGAGAACCCTGACCACATACATGCTAGGCAAGCATGCTACCTAGCACTGAGGTACACCCCCAGAACCAGACACACTTTATTTTAACCCACTTTGTGGCTTAATGTAAAACACTGTAACTTTATGTAAAAACTTCACGTAGAAACATTTTTATGTAAAAAAATGGACTTCCTGTAAACAGCTCACAGAGATGCTGGATATCAAGCTTTTCTCTGTCTGCTTTCGGATGCCCCTTTATTTAGCTCTTTTGTCACTGTGTTTACCTGTTTACAGTTCAATGGGTGGTAGTGCACATGGGCTTGTGCAACCATAACCACAGTCTACCAAGAACGGCTTCAGCACCCCTAGAAGACCAGGTGTAGGCATCAGCCTCGACTCCTGCCCACTCCCAGCCCTTGGCCATCACTGATCTGCTGCCCATCTTACCGAGATTTGCTGGCTATTTATATAAATGGGATCATAGGGTACATAGTTCTTCTGTGAATAGTTTTGCTTTTTGTTTTTTAAAATTTATTTTTCAATTTTTATTAGTCCACATGTGCAATGCATAATGAGTAGACTCATTGTGAGGAGTTGGTACTGGCACATAACACATCTTAATTCTTTTTGCTTCTTTTTCTCCTATAGAGCAGCAATTTTCTTTACTCAGATCTGAGTCCTCCCTGTCCCGCAGCCTAGAAATGCTCTAAGCAGAGAGTGCAGCAGTGGTAGGACGAACCTTATTTATTTCTGCTCTCTTAGGAATCACTTCACTGCCTGAGGTCCAAAGCCCTTAAAACAATCTTTTGTGTATTCCCCACTGCCCTAGTTCTTTTAGGTGGGAGGGCAAATCCAGTCCCTGTTGCTCACTGGTTTTCCTGAGCGTTGTAAGGTTTCAGGGTGCCTATAATCATCATTCATTCACCGTGCTGGGTTCTCAATGAGCCCCTTTAATCTAGTAATCTTTTTTGTGAGATTTGGAATACTTTTTCCTGTTACTTCTTTGAACAGTTTCCTCATTCATTTGCTATCAGTAATTTTCTCTTGTATTTCCCATCTGTCCAGGGTTGATCTCCCTGGGAGAATTTTCTTACTGATACTTGTTTTGGTAATCTTAAACACTGATTTCCCAAGAATTACTTCTAATTGTTTTCTGAGCACTCTTTCTCTTTGATGTCCTTTCTTGTTTCACAGATTCAATTTATCTTCTCTCTTTGAAGATTATACAGTAAGTATGTGTGTGCTGACTGGCTTTTCTGGTTTGGTAGTTTTCTCCGTACACTGTCTGCTTCTAAATTTCTTTTTAAAAACTCCTTTTGTCTAGGACTCTCATGTCTAAGGGTTTTTCTCCCATGGTCTGGCAACCCTGCTGACTGCCTACTCATACCAAAAAGTATTAAACAACTAACTGAGAGATAAGGTAACTTTTTCACTAAAGATGGGGATGGGCACAGGATATCTAAAGTACTCTTTCTGCAAAGCGTTTTGTTTATCCAGAGGAAAAAAAATCTTCCAATCTCTTGTTTGAGAGCTATGAGTCAGGGCACAAGTATTCTGAAAGCAGGGCAGAGGAAAGGCATTCTGTATGCTGACTTTCATTGAATCTACAGTTTTTATTATGATGCTGCAACTTTTCCTGACTCCCCTGAAAAGAACAAAGGCCTCTCTGGTTTAATTTCTCCTGAAAAAATGCAAATATTTTTTGCCCATCACTGCCCACTGAATAGGGGTTTTAACTGTATGGCTTTACAGGGGGTTTAAAAGTGGAGTGCTTGGGTGTCCAACACTTCCTATGTAGATTTTCCCCTAATTCCTCCTCTTTTCAGCCTACCTATCACACTCTCCCTTTCCCATACACAGGGCATTGTGTGCCTCTAAATCCTGAGCCTCTGGGGTGTTTAGAAGAGAAACTGGCTCACTCCCAACAGACACTGTCCTCTGCAAAGCTCAGATGATGTCTTTCTCTGCTGGTAGCTTAGCCAGGTGCTCTTCCCCCCACTTTTTTCCTTTTTGTCTTTTTGAGACAGGGTTTTGCTATGTGGTTCAGGGTAGCCTTGAACTCACTTTGTAACTCAGGCTGGCCTCAACTGGCTATCCTCCTGCTTTAACCTCCCAAATGCTGAAATTACAGGTATGTGCCACCAACCCCCATAACAATCCCCATAACCATCTTGCAAATCTATTTTGAAAACGTTTATATCCTACTCTTTCCTCTGTAAGAATAAAAAAATTTTGTTTTATTTATTTACTGTCATTTTGATTGAGTCTTGGGAAGAAGAATAGAGACATAAAGGAAAACTGTACTATAAAAGTTAAAAATCATGTCATTAACATAGAAAATCAGAAATGGTACTGCATGCTGTTTTCTATTTACAGAACTACAACTGATTTTATATTAGCAAGAAGCATTATGACTTTTTAACTAGATTTGTACTCACATG